CAAGTGACTCAGAGTCACAGTTAATCGATATATTCACCATATAGTCGTGCTAGTTCTGGTCTTAAATCTTCGTCTCAGCGATAAAAATATTTCTTTTTTCAAGAACTGTGGGACTCTAGAAGGATGCAGATTGTCTGGTCAAGACTCCATTATTTACAGACCATCATCATGCAGATGTTATATTGCTAGGTGCGGCGTTCAACAACAAACAAACACGGGTTTATGTCCGAGGGGCATTATGTTTCAGAGGAAGGTAGAAACTGACGGTAAATAGAAGAGAATAGTTGGACACATTTCAACAATAAAAAGAAATGTAAGTCCACAGTGACGGGAAGGGTCTGCAGCCTGGTAACAGTACTGAAAACAGAAAGAAATGCCAGCAATACGTAAAACCAATATGGATTACCGGCGTAAGGCAGCCATATTCTGACGTCGTCATGGTAATAAAAACATGCAACCGTATTGATTTTGTAAAAAGGCTTTATATTGGAAATAAGAAATAATAAAGATAAATATTTCACAGAAAGACAGCATTTACTGGGCCAGATGATGACGCTCAGTCGGATGTTTTGTACGTCTACTTAAGGGTACAAAGAACAAGGACGTGTTATTTTGCTTAGCTAATGGCCCAAGATGTATGTGTACAGTTCTAAGTTGTTTGAGTATCCGTGCGCTGCTGATTCGATATTTCAAAACTCGGTGTTGATCTCAAGCTGTCGTTCACATTACGTCAACATTCTGTTTGTATTCCAGAAAATTCCTCATAGTTTTTTTTTGGTTTATATTAACAGTGTCTGGGTTTGTTTGACACGAAACTCAAGTCAGTCAGTGTATCTCTAAAAGTATGCCTCATGGTATGACAAATTAAACACGTTAATCCACTTGAGAGTGAGTTGGGTTTTACGCCGCTTTTAGCAATATTCCAGCAACATCACGGCGGGGGACACCAGAATGGGCTTCACACATTGTACCCATGGGGGCAATCGAACCAGGGTCTTCGGCGTGACGAGCGAACGCTTTAACAACTAGGCTAACAACCCCCACCCACCCCACACACACAATACACACACTAAAGGGACTTATAGACTTTGATAGAGTGAGTGAGGTAGATTCGCCTTTACTGCTGAACTCCACACTCGACAATATCGCAAATGTAATACGACGTTAAGCACTTGGTGACCATGGGCGTGAACAATGCTGGAAAGCATAAAACGTCTTTGTTGTTTCTCTGGAATATTCCCGTTCTGTGACGGCAGTGTGTAAATAATCTGGACCAGACATTTTTATATCATTTGGCGAATTCAAACGGCGCAACGTACTCAATATAAGTGACAATAAAGAATTGCATCAGACATACAGTTTCGCTTTGATGCATCAAATTCCAACTATTTATAAATAATCTGTACCAGACCATCCAGCGTGTGACCTCATGAGTGAGTGAGTGGGTGAGTTTAGTTTCACGCCACTTTCAGCAATATTCCAGTTATATGGCGGCGCTGTTAATAATCGAGTCTTGACCTGACAATCCAGTGATCAACAACATAAGCAACGATCAACGCAATTGTTAGTCGCCTCTTACGACAAGCATGGGTTACATAAGATCAATTCTAACCCGGATCTTCACGGGTCTGTGACCTCATGAGGTGAGGTGAGGTGAAATTGGGTTTAACGTCGTGCTTGAGAATATTTCGCTCATACACTCTCTCAAAAAAAAGAAACGCAACCCCTATCTAAATATCTGACATCATTTCTAGAATAAAGATGGTGAATTTAAATTAGAATTTTCTTCAAATACTGTTAATACGTTCCCATCTGATCAGTATAAGCTCCCAAACGGAACCATTTTCACACATGATGACCTTTGTATCTGTGTTATTTGAGAAAGTGCGAAATTGTCATGTACAAAATGCTAAAAGCCTGTTGCACGTGCAAATCGTTGAAAACACAGTTCATGTAGAGGGTTTTAAAAGCACGCGTAGTTTGTAATTTTTCTCTCATAATTTGCTCTGCAAATCAAGTTCGAAAATGCCCCGTTTGAGTACAGCAAATCGAAATATTGCCATTGGTCGCATTGAGGCCGGGGAAAGCTTTGGAACAGTTGCCCGTCATCTAAACGTACACAAAACAACAATCTCACGACTTTGGAATCGTTACACACAGTTCCATGCAATTGAAGATCGTCCCAGGAGCGGTAGACCTAGGATCACCACACCGGCTCAGGATCGCTTTATTCGACTCAGCCACCTACGTAATCGGCATGCCACACCCACCATCACTGCAACACAGGTGCCAGGTTTGAGGAGAGTATCGGCCCAAACCATCAGGAACCGTTTACATGAGGCAAATTTACGTGCAAGAAGACCAGTTGTTGGGCCCGTCTTGAAACGCCAACATCGACGCCAACGTCTCAGGTGGTGTACTAACGTAAGGAGATGGACCCTCAGAAACTGGAGAAGAGTCTGGTTTAGTGACGAGTCTCGTTTTCTTCTTCAACGACGTGACGGTAGACAACGTGTCTATAGACGAGCAAATGAACGTTTTGCACCGAACTGCGTTCGACAGGTCGACAGATTTGGAGGAGGAAGCATCATGGTATGGGGAGCCATGTCTTACAACCAACGGTCAGACTTGGTCATCATTCGTGGCAATTTGACGGCACAACGGTACATTGATGACGTCTTACAGCCACATCTTCTGCCGATAATCGACCAACAGAGGGAGTTGTTTCAACATGACAATGCCCGCCCTCATACAGCTCGTGCAACAGTGGCATTCCTACAGAATTCAAACGTCAACGTGATGCCGTGGCCCTCCAGATCGCCAGACATCAATCCTATCGAACATCTGTGGGACCAGCTGGATCGTCGTGTTCGTGCACGTACACCACAACCGCACACGTTGGTTGAACTGGCCGCAGCACTCCAGGAAGAGTGGAGAGCAATCCCCCAGGAAAACATCCGCCGTCTGATTCGTTCTGTTCCGAGGAGGTGCACTGCTGTGATTAGAGCTCGTGGCTCTACAACGAGATACTGAAGACAACGCCCCCCCTAGCCGAAATTGAGAGTTCGATACTGACCTGCATTAACTGTTACCTTATACCGTGCTGACCTAAGGTTCACCATGTCAAATTTCATGGCATTATCTTTAAAAATACAAATGTAATAACCAGTTAAAATTGATATAAACATTACAAAATAAAACAGGGGTTGCGTTTCTTTTTTGAGAGAGTGTATGACGACGTGCATGCGTGTGTATGTGTATGTGCGGCTGCTTGTACTAGCCCACACTTAAGCTGGTTTTATAGTGCTAGTCCACTGAGATACCAGGCCGCAGTGAAGCATGAATACCCCACTCAGACACATTATACTGACTCCGAGCCGACCAGTCCTTGTTGTACCCATTAATGCCGAGCGCCAGGCAGACACCAACAAGTACCATATTTTAACGTCTTTTGGTATGACGCGGTCGGGGACCGAACCCGCGACCTTCCGCTCTCCGGGCGGACGCTCTAACCACTACACCACGGAGGCGGGCGTGACCTCATGAGCATCTATCTACGCCAATTAGGATACGATGGCATCTATGACCACCCGATCCCAAACGGGTCCATAACGACAACTGTATATTAGATATGTACTGGCGTGTTAGTTTAATGTTGGAGAATATCCCAAAGAGTTGATATAGCCATTTTACTTTGGTCAAACCTACGTGTACATACATGCATGATGCTGACGAACACTGAAACGAAATAAGATCGAATCTGGGACTTCGACCCACGATCTCAGGATCCTGGTATGTTAAAGGGACACAATTATCAGTGCGCTAATTCATAATGACAACTGTTAGGTAAACGCATTAGAAAATATGTTGAGTGAATTTTTAATCCTGCAGTGAGAAACTTTAATCAAAGCTAGCATTAATCTTGTATGGGTCTGACAAACAAGGGGTTTATTGCATGAGCCAAGATTCAGTCCCCCACATGTTGTGACCAGTTGATTCTCAGTCCAGTCAGCTCTTACGATTCCCATAGGGAACCTTTGTACATATTCTGCCCAAGATTTTTCAAGGCAGTGGGTCCCATTTACACATACAGCACTATTGCATATGGAAATACAAAACATGGGATTCAGCAATTTCTATAGATTATGGGAATCATATCATATCACCATCCCCCCAAAAAACCAAACCAACCATTTTTTGTTTGTTTCATTTTCTTCCCACCTTAAAACTTGAGTGTGGCCCTCCTTTGGCCTGGCATACAATTGGGTTTTATATTTTCCAAGGTCTCACTGAAGACATGTCCAAGTTGACCTCAAACATGATTGGTATATTTACTACCGATAATTAGTGAGGCATATCTATAGTGCAAACAGTAGCCAAGGACGATGTCCATGGCGCAGATTGATTTTGTGGCATCAAGTGACTCAGAGTCTCAGTTAATCGATATATTCACTAGTTCTGGTCGTAAGTCTTCGTCTCAACTATAAAAGCAGAACCTGGGCGCTTTGAATGGCTACTGAGCACCTTCATTACCCGACCACCATTAGGTGAGGTGAGGTGAAATTGGGTTTAACGTTGCGCTGGAGAATATTTCGCTCATATGACGTGTGTGTATGTGCGGCAGCTTGTACTAGCCCAGACTTAAGCTGGTTTTATAGTGCTAACCCACTGAGATACCATGCCGCAGTGAAGCATGAATACCCCACTCAGACACATTATACTGATTCCAAGCCGACCAGTCCTTGTTGTACCCATTAATGCCGAACGCCAGGCAGGGACCAAGTACCATATTTTAACGTCTTTTGGTATGACGCGGTCGGGGATTGAACCCGCGATCTTCCGCTCTCCGGGCGGACGCTCTAACCACTACACCACGGAGGCGCCCTGACCACCATTAAATTTCATAACAGTTGGTTAACATACATCAAAGTGGCCATTCAGTTTGAAGATGCTGACTCTTTTCCACATTTAAAAAAAATGACAATAACGATGAATAAAGATATATTTCACACATTTATTTACGAAAGATACCCACCCCAGCAGATGTAGTAAAAGAGTTCACAGTATAAATTCTGCTAGGCAAGTGTGAGTCAGGTTTAATGCCATATATATTCTTTGAGTGAGTTTAGTTTTACCTGCTTTTACCAATATTCCAGCAATATCATGGCAGTGTACACCAGAAATTGGCTTCACATACTCTACCCATGTGGGGAATCGAACCCAGGTCTTCGAGTAATGCGTGAACACTTTAAACACTAGGCTACCCCTATATTCTTTGTAGAGTTGAGCAGAATAATGAGGTATGTTAGACAGATCATTTTGCCCTTGCATCCACACATATATCAGTTTCCATACATAAGGCCTTGAACCAAGCAATTGTCATGTTGATCTCGATGCAATGTGGTCTTGGAGTTATTCTACTAAGAGATATGACTGAACATCTAATCATGTCATGTATGTATGTCAATTTGCATAACTTTAACATTAAATAAATAAAAAAACAAAAACTAACAACCCCCAAAATGTGGTCTTGGAGTTATTCTACTAAGAGATATGACTGAACATCTGATCATGTCATGTATGTCAATTTGCATAACTTTAACATTAAATAAATATAAAAACAAAAACTAACAACCCCCAAAATGTGGTCTTGGAGTTATTCTACTAAGAGATATGACTGAACATCTGATCATGTCATGTGTGTGTGTCAATGTGCATTACTTGGGATGGAATGGTTCAGGTTTGTGGGCTGTCCTGTGTTTACAGTTTGTCAAGACTTCAGAATTTAGGACCATGAGGTGTCTGAAAATCCATCTTTCATTCTGTCGCATACAGGTACCCCATTAATGATTAAGTACAACTGTGCTAAAACTGTAGTGAGTAAGTGGGTTTAGTTCTACGCCGAACTCAGCAATATTACAGCTATATGGCGGCGGTCTGTAAATAACTGAGTCTGGAACAGACAATCCAGTCATCAACAGCATGAGCATCGCTCTGCGCAATTGGGAACCGATGACATGTGTCAACCAAGTCAGCGAGCCTGACCACGTGATCCTGTTAGTCGCCTCTTACGACAAGCATGGGTTACTGAAGATCAATATTCTAACCCGGACCTTCACGGGTCTGCTAAAACTGTACCAGCCAAAGAATACAAAAAATGTCCAAAAGTTTCAAACATAAACATTCCATTCCATATGTTTCAGGTATTCTTTGTCATGTCGTATGCATAAAGTATCGCATGACAAGTGCCTGAATTGGCACATATTGCAATTTGCAATACAATTTACTTGCCAGTACATAGCCCCTATCATCTAGGAAGTATAATTTAAACTGGTCCTCAGTCTACAGCAGTAGCTCTCTTGGATAAGTAGTCAATAGCTTAAAATATCACCAGACAGCCACGGATCAAAAGATGCCGTCTGCTGTTATTCAAATATTTACAGCATAAAAAGTACCCCTGACTGACATGAACAAGGTGTGACGACATGATAAGGAGACAAGTACAAGCTCAGCTCCCTCAATTGGGAAATTTTGGAGGTCAGAGAGACAAATATTCATTTTGGGAAAATATGCAGTTAAAAGATGAAAATATCACAAATAATAGTAGATATAAGATGAGGCCTCCACTGACGACACATTCACCAAGTCATTACATTGTTAACATAAATGACTGAGTATTGGCATTAAAGGGACTCAAACCTCCTGAACAAGAAAACATGTTTCCTATTTAAAATTTCAACTTCATTGGTCCAGTGGTTTCAAATGAGAAGATGGCGGATGGATGACAAGCATGACGAAAGGTTACTTGCCGTTTAGTCGGGTGATCAGAAAATGCCTCAGTACTAACCCATTACTGGCAAACAAGGATATGTTGGACCGGCGCAGCGAACGCGTTTATGAGAAGTAGGCGCTGCATGGCAAATGAGCAAACTCAAAGGTAGACTGACTGACTGACTGAGTTTGGTTTTATGCCGCTTTTAGCAATATTTCAGCAACATCACGGCGGGGGACACCAGAAATGGGCTTCAGACATTGTACCCATGTGGGGATTCGAACCCGGGTCTTCAGCGTGACGAGCCAACGCTTTAACCACTAGGCTACCCCACCACCGCTGTGAAAGGTAGAGCAGATGTAGGCTAGTGCACTAGTCACACTACACTTGATCGCAGACATCTTGGGTCCCCTTCGCTAACATTGGCAGGCGCCAGTGGGCGGCACTCATACATGCTAATATGGGTCATTTGTCAGGTCGGTGCTCAACTTATCCTTGTTTGCCAGTAATAACTATCCCTAACTAACTATCCACAACGTTACTCCAGATGATCTATCCAATCACAGTCGATGGGTGAAGCATACTTTGTTCATGGATACTCCACATCTTTCTTAGACACAGGGACAGCAACAGCTAAGAAAATTCCAGTTGGATTTATCATAACTTGCAGTTTGTCTTTTGCTGCGAATGTTCCGAGAGGCTTCCCATCAAATGCTTCCGTGACATTGTAAGCAGAGACTCCATTGAAGTCGAACTTGGTTTCTCCAAATGTCACATTTACTTCTGAAGGTGTTCCCCTAAAGTTTCCGTTAAGCACTGCAAGAGCGTATGATTTGTTCTGCAAGGGCCTTGTCCACACATCAATTTTGTTAAGCTGTAGAATAAAGGAAACTGATGAGATAAACTTCAAAGATTGTTATGTGCGATGAAAAATAATTTGGTCCATTTCTTGAAATGCACAGTAAATAAGTCCTTGTAATAAATGGGGACACACTACCCAAGTCAATAAACTATTGTGTGATTTCTGGAGTGTCTGTAATGTGTTGAGCCTGGAGGGTCTGGAATGTGTCTGTGGTGTCTAGAGGGCCTGAAGTGTGTCTAGAGGGTCTGGAATGTGTCTGTTGAGTCTGGAATGTGTCTGTAGTGTCTAGAGGGTCTGAAATGTGTCTGTAGTGTCTGGAATGTGTCTGTAGTGTCTGGAATGTGTCTGTAGGGTCTCGAATGTGTCTGTAGTGTCTGGAATGTGTCTGTAGTGTCTGGAATGTGTCTGTAGTGTCTGGAATGTGTCTGGAGGGTCTCGAATGTGTCTGTAGTGTCTGGAATGTGTCTGTTGAGTCTGGAATGTGTCTGTAGTGTCTGTAGAGGGTGTGTCTGTTGAGTGTGTCTGTAGTGTCTAGAGGGTGTGTCTGTAGTGTCTGGAATGTGTCTGTTGAGTCTGGAATGTGTCTAGTGTCTGGAATGTGTCTGTAGTGTCTGGAATGTCTCTGGAGGGTCTCGAATGTGTCTGGAGGGTCTCGAATGTGTCTGTTGAGTCTGGAATGTGTCTGTAGTGTCTAGAGGGTTTAGAATGTGTCTGTAGTGTCTGGAATGTGTCTAGAGGGTCTGGAATGTGCCTGTTGAGTCTGGAGGGTGTCTGTTGAGTCTGGAATGTGCCTGTTGAGTCTGGAGGGTGTCTGTTGAGTCTGGAATGTGTCTGTAGTGTCTAGAGGGTGTGGAATGTGTCTGTAGTGTCTGGAATGTGTCTGGGGGGTCTGGAATATGTCTAGAGGGTCTGGAATGTGTCTGTTGAGTCTGGAATGTGTCTGTTGAGTCTGGAATGTGTCTGTAGTGTCTAGAGGGTGTAGAATGTGTCTGTAGTGTCTGGAATGTGTCTAGAGGGTCTGGAATGTGCCTGTTGAGTCTGGAGGGTGTGGAATGTGCCTGTAGTGTCTGGAATGTGTCTGTAGAGTCTGGAATGTGCCTGTTGAGTCCGGAGTGTGTCTGTAGTGTCTAGAGGGTCCAAAATGTGTCTGGAGTGTCTAGAATGTGTCTACAGGGTCTGAAATGTGTTTGTTGAGTTTGGAGGGTCTGGAATAAATCTGGAATGTCTAGAGGGTCTGGAATGTGTCTACAGGGTCTGAAATGTGTTTGTTGAGTTTGGAGGGTCTGGAATAAGTCTGGAATGTTTCTGGAGTGTCTATATGTGTGTGTATATTGTGTATAATGTCTGTAATGTGAATCTGTAACGTTTGTCTGGAATGTGTGCTTGGTTAGTAGTATCCGTAATGTTTGGAGAGTCTGTGTAGTCACTCTATTGTATCTCACCTGATATAACCTACTGCCCTGTATACCGAGGGGATCCTGGTTGATGGCGATGACACGCTTGTTGAGCAGCAGGCCCCGGGACTCGGGATTGATGGTGCGCAGGTCAACAGACATGAAGAGGGGGGAAGCCATAATAGCCCACATCCCCATCTGAACACGTTGCTGTTCCCAGCTCAGTCCAAAGTCGCCGATAATCAACTAGAAAAATTACAACATCAGACCTTGTATTTTCTTGTTACAAAGAACTTTGAAAAAATGAAGAAAAAGAATTCAAACAAACTAAACATCAAACTTTACGTTGCTTATTGAAAACAATATGACAGGGTGTAAAATAATTGCAGCATAATTCAGCTATTACTGTAAACGTATTATATTTCGCGCAGGTTTTATTTTTGCGCTTTTTGCTCAAAACATTTTAGCGCGAAAATTTATACACCGCGAATAAACCTGTCATTCATTCAGTCTTGCCACGCTCGCCCCTGAGTTGTTACCATCATACATCAAGTTTGAAGACAGAAATCTACGGGAATCTTAAAATGACGACTGATAGTAGCATAACGAATCATACTTAACTGTCGCTGTAATGGATTTCCCAAAACATAATTAAATAATGCGCCAAATCCCATTGCCGAATTAGCGAAAACAGCAATGTGTGTTGTGGCCGCCATGGAAATTGGTCACATGTTCTATTTCGGCCAATCGTAGTGACAGATGGTTTGATACAAAACAGATTACCATGAAACGACTCGGGGGTAGGTGCTTTCTTTAACCACATTCGCAATGCCATCGTCAGATCGTCAGAATTCGGAACATAAGACTGATGAGTTTTTCATCTCTTTATATACTGGTACTTGCATCACGATATCTCACTTCCTAAGCACTTAATACTTCCGTGAGTAAACGGATTACTGTGTACTAGTATATCGCACAGATAGGGATTTCCTGTGAGTAAGCAATAAACGCTGCCTGACAGGTTAAGCCACTCTGTTTGTTTTCACTGCTATAAGTGGCGGCCACAGAGACAGCTGGCAGTTCCGGCAATTACTGATTGCACGAATAATTGACCGTGCGATGTAGTCTAAACTGTCAATTCCGCAAAAATTGCACCACGTGAAAATAAGTACGTTTACAGTATTAGTTTCCATTCAGAACTGCATGACCATGTCTGTCCACAACATAGAGAAATCGGTTATGCTGCAACTAATGCTTACTTGCTTCATCACTAGAAACTTCACCTAACATCACATAATTCCTGTAATGTGTTTGTCTGATAAAATAAGTGGCAGTGGGGTAGCCTAGTGGTTAAAACGTTTGCTCTTCATGCCAAAGACCCTGTTTAATTCTGTCCAATGTGTGAAGCCCATTTCTGGTGTCCCCAACGTGATACTGCTGGAATATTGCTAAAAGCGGTGTAAAACGACACTCACTCACTGATTATCAAATATTTCCCATTAAGTCACACAGCAATATTCTACCTGATCAGGATCATTCCAGTTGCCAGGTCCAGCCACAGCGGCGAAGTTGTCGGGGTTTTTGCCGTAGTACTGTATAATACTATAGATACTGTCCCAGGAGTCTTCCACATCATCAAAGTTCCGCCACATGTTGCAGTTCTTGGCGATCAGCTTGTAGTCAGTCTACATGGAGAGAAGAGGCTGTAAAATCTACACCTTACATCCATAACACATTCTGACAAATTTCCCTTCATAGCCTCGAAGTAAATAGCTTCGACCCATCATTTCAATGTGTTCAAAACCACAGGGGCTTGTAATGCATAAAACTGGCATCAAGGTATATAATTATCACTGACGAGTTCTTTGTACAATGCCAGTTGTTTTTGTTATGACAGGGATGGAAATAACTTTAAAATTGCTAATGTACTCCGGTACAGTGGCACATGTGAAATCACTTGCCCTGATAATTTTTCCACTATACCGACCGTTTTCTTGTAGGATTTTTTAAATAAACAACATAATTAACATTGGAAAGTCAACTGGATGCCGGTACAGTGTGATATACAAATTTGCTTGCCCGACAGAAAAAACACTGGACTCGGACGTCGGGCAATGGGTTATTTCCAACCCTGTATGAGTCCCTGGGTTTAAAACAGTCCAAGTAACAAGAATTCCATAATATGATATTGACCTGTCTGGGTGTTCCTTGGCAAACCAGTGGATGACTGCATGAGCAGCAAGCCATGTCATCAGGTACAAGGACACACAACCAACTGACCCCCATAGTCGGTTGTAACACAAAGCATGGGATCCTGGGGATCTACTCTTTCCAGAATTCACATCCAGGTGCTCTTTTTACATTTCCATGACATTTAATCACATCACAAATGCAAACTGTCCTCTGGAATTCATTTTGAAAGTTCTTATTAATATCTTTCAAAACAAAAATGAGTTGACATCAACGTAATATCAATGTGTTTTCTTATCCCACTACAGCACTATACCTCGTGTCTCTATATGGTGGTCATCTGACATCCCCATACTACAGCAGTGTATGAAATAAGCCAAAACCCCAGACAGAAATCAGGGCGGGTAACTTCAAAATGTTACCTGTCCAAAATAGATTTAACCAGACCAGACTCTAAGATATGACTCGGATGTATATAACATCTCAGTTTTTTAACATACCATCGGGCTGGCTTGCTGTAAATCTAGACTGTCTGTCTGAAATCTAACCCGTCTCGGGTGGTTGGACGGACCTTATATTCATACACTGACTACAGCACCAGATCTGGGTGCCATGACCTTTGTATGCCAGCCAACTTATACCCCTCTACTACAGCACCAGATCTGGGTGCCATGACCTTTGTATGCCAGCCAACCTATACCCCTACACTACAGCACCAGATCTGGGTGACATGACCTTTGTATGCCAGCCAACTTATACCTCTATACTACAGCACCAGATCTGGGTGCCATGACCTTTGTATGCCAGCCAACTTATACCTCTACACTACAGCACCAGATCTGGGTGCCATGACCTTTGTATGCCAGCCAACCTATACCCCTATACTACAGCACCAGATCTGGGTGCCATGACCTTTGTATGCCAGCCAACCTCTATACCTCTACACTACAGCACCAGATCTGGGTGCCATGACCTTTGTATGCCAGCCAACTTATACCTCTATACTACAGCACCAGATCTGGGTGCCATGACCTTTGTATGCCAGCCAACTTATATCCCTATACTACAGCACCAGATCTGGGTGCCATGACCTTTGTATGCCAGCCAACTTATACCTCTACACTACAGCACCAGATCTGGGTGCCATGACCTTTGTATGCCAGCCAACCTTATACCCTATACTACAGCACCAGATCTGGGTGCCATGACCTTTGTATGCCAGCCAACTTATACCCCTATACTACAGCACCAGATCTGGGTGCCATGACCTTTGTATGCCAGCCAACTTATACCTCTATACTACAGCACCAGATCTGCTGAGGTGCCATGACCTTTGTATGCCAGCCAACCTATACCCCTATACTACAGCACCAGATCTGGGCCATGACCTTTGTGACCTTTGTATGCCAGCCAACTTATACATGGCCTTGCCATGACCTGCCAGCCAACTTATACCTCTACACTACAGCACCAGATCTGGGTGCCATGACCTTTGTATGCCAGCCAACCTATACCCCTATACTACAGCACCAGATCTGGGTGCCATGACCTTTGTATGCCAGCCAACTTATACCACCAGATCTATACTACAGCACCAGATCTGGGTGCCATGACCTTTGTATGCCAGCCAACTTATACCTCTATACTACAGCACCAGATCTGGTTGCCATGACCTTTGTATGCCAGCCAACTTATACCTTTGTATCCCTATACTACAGCACCAGATCTGGGTGCCATGACCTTTGTATGCCAGCCAACTTATACCCCTATGCCAGCCACAGCACCAGATCTGGGTGCCATGACCTTTGTATGCCAGCCAACCTTATATACCCCAGATCTGGGTGCCATGACTTTGTACAGCCACCAGATCCTGGGTACAGCACCAGATCTGCCATGACCTTTGTATGCCAGCCAACTTATACCTCTACACTACAGCACCAGATCTGGGTGCCATGACCTTTGTATGCCAGCCAACCTATACCTCTATACTACAGCACCAGATCTGGGTGCCATGACCTTTGTATGCCAGCCAACTTATACCTCTATACTACAGCAGCAGATCAGATCTGGGTGCCATGACCTTTGTATGCCAGCCAACCAATATACCCTATACTACAGCACCAGATCTGGGTGCCATGACCTTTGTATGCCAGCCAACTTATACCCCTATACTACAGCACCAGATCTGGGTGCCATGACCTTTGTATGCCAGCCAACTTATACCTCTACACTACAGCACCAGATCTGGGTGCCATGACCTTTATGCCAGCCATGCCAGCCAACTGGGTGCCATGACCCTAACACCAGATCTGGGTGCCGCTCTACTACAGCACCAGATCTGGGTGCCATGACCTTTGTATGCCAGCCAACTTATACCCTATACTACAGCACTACTGGGTGCAGCACCAGATCTGGGTGCCATGACCTTTGTATGCCAGCCAACTTATACCTCTATACTACAGCACCAGATCTGGGTGCCATGACCTTTGTATGCCAGCCAACTTATACCTCTACTACTACAGCACCAGATCTGGGTGCCTTTATTATGACCAACTTGTATGCCAGCCAATCTGGGTATACCTTTATGCTATGCCAACTACCTTAGCACCAGATCTGGTATGCCATGACCTTTGTATGCCAGCCAACTTATACCCAACTATACTACAGCACCAGATCTGGGTTTGCCATGACCTTTGTATGCCAGCCAACTTATACCCTATGACTACAGCACCAGATCTGGTTGCCATGACCTTTGTATGCCAGCCCAACTTTGCTACTGCAGGCGCCAGATCTGCCAATGGTGCCATGAACTTGCCATATGCCCTACTACGGCACCAGATCTGGGTGCCATGACCTTTAATGCCAGCCAACTTATACCCTATACTACAGCACCAGATCTGGTTGCCAACTTACCTTTGTATGCCAGCCAACTTATATCCCTATACTATACACAGCACCAGATCTGGTTGCCATGACCTTTATTATGCCAGCCAACTTATACCTATACTACAGCACCAGATCTGGGTAGCATGAACTTATACCCCTATACTACAGCACCAGATCTGGGTGCCATGACCTTTGTATGCCAGCCAACTTATACCCCTATACTACAGCACCAGATCTGGGTGCCATGACCTTTGTATGCCAGCCAACCTATACCCCTATACTACAGCACCAGATCTGGGTGCCATGACCTTTGTATGCCAGCCAACTTATACCCTCTATACTACAGCACCAGATCTGGGTGCCATGACCTTTGTATGCCAGCCAACTTATACCCAACTATACTACAGCACCAGATCTGGGTGCCATGACCTTTGTATGCCAGCCAACCTATACCCTATACTACAGCACCAGATCTGGGTGCCATGACCTTTGTATGCCAGCCAACTTATACCCCTATACTACAGCACCAGATCTGGGTGCCATGACCTTTGTATGCCAGCCAACTTATATCCCTATACTACAGCACCAGATCTGGGTGCCATGACCTTTGTATGCCAGCCAACTTATACCCCTCTACTACAGCACCAGATCTGGGTGCCATGACCTTTGTATGCCAGCCAACTTATACCCCTATACTACAGCAGTTGAGATGTATCCCAGCCACCCTATACCATGGCACTGTAACTTAGTGCCTAAGGGTGAGTATACCAACCAACCAACTCCTAAAACATGCCTACAACAGTACTGTACCTTGTTTCCAGAGCCTGTGTATGCAGGCCAGCTGCATGAGTAAAGCATTGGTCGTCCTGTCTTGTTTAAGAAAAATCCCATGGTTGGATAACCTGAAAAATGTCATGAATGAGGTTGAATGAACCAATGTCTATTGATGACAAGGTAAATGTCAGCTGACAAAAAGATACATCAGGATTACATACACCTGAACAATAGCCAGTGTGTGAGTGAGTGAAGTTTACACACAACTGCTCTCACTACAGTCAGCAATATGACAGTGGGGAACACCAAGACCATTCACGGCACTTATACCCTCAGTGGGATTAAACCCAAGTGACAGGCAGCAACCTTTTCCTCTGGGGAATCCCATCTTTGCAAACAGTTATGGTTCTTTGCCAAATTGTTTGGACCATATTTGGTAATGAGTTTTGATTAGTTTCTGCTTAGGCCAGACCAATTTTATTTTATTTCTTGTTTTACGGATCTGCCGGTCGTATTTTATCAAGAATAAGAAAAAACATAAAAATAAATTTTCCCTGATGTAAAAATAAAATCCTAATGTTTTTATTGGCGAAAAATGTAAACTCACAACAACAACAAAATTTTGATTGTTTTTTGCCCCATATTCACTTCATAAAATGCCAAAAGTAAAACACTCTTAGTATTTAAAAGTAATATTACTTTGACTGGTGATTTTTATTTTTATTTTTTTCCCTCCTGCCTCTAGGTTTTCTGAGGACAAAAATCCATAAAACAAGAAATTAAATTGGTCTGGCCTTACTAAGAAAGGAAATCATAGACAAAACTACATCATCAACTGTGATAGTCTTGCCAGGTGATCAGACATGCCAGTACTGAGAACTACGGTTGTAACAAACTCTGTAATAAAATACTGCAGAACAGACATCCTGCTAAATGCATGATTCCAAACTTGGAGGCCTGGGTTGGCAAAGAACAAAAACAGTAATGATGTAGTTCAAATTCTAAATTCTCACTCTCTCGAACTCTTCTCACGAAAACATTCAATAAAAACTCAGTCACTTCAGTTCACTACTGTTGTCAGTGAAATGCTGGACACTTCTACAAAATCATATTACCTGAAAAACAGTCTAAATTCCAAAATTACACAATTTGGGGGAATTTTTAACTGACATTTGCAGCAGATGTGGGAACAAATATTGGCCTCTAAAAACATGTAGATAAATTCCTGCAAAAGCCAAACTTGTGCATAGATTTTAGTCTTAAAAGCATAAGATCTAACAAGTTAAAGAAATAAATTGTCACTAAAATATCTTCAATCAATGGAGTAGATAGCAACTAAATATTTATTTGCCATTCCAAATCCAGATTTTGCTGTTGTTTCTCACTCTACACGTTTTGAGTATACATACCGATGCTCATATCAGCTCGGTCGGCATGGCAACCATCAAGCTTCAACATGTCCACGCCCCAGTCAGCAAATGTCTGGGCATCATCGGACAAGTAGAACTCGCTGCCTGGGTAACCACCACAGGTTTCTGTTCCGAAGTCTTCATAGATACCTAACAACAGGCTTTTGTTGTGCATCTGCAACAGATATTCAGAGTGCATAAAACATTACAATCCATACCATGTAAAAACTTCGTTGCATACGCTCATGTTGTTACAATTTGTGTTCATTTTCATATCAGTCATGGCTTTAGAGACATATATGTGTATTTGCACAAACATACCAAAAATATATAGGTCACTAAAGTGAAAATGTGAATGTTTAAAATTCTTGTATTGGCTGTTTGCCTACGGGTGGCAGTGATGTGGCAGTGATGATATCAGTATGATAACCATGGTGTATACCCTGGGAAGGAGCTTGCTCCTGTTGTGTCAAGGGAGGTAATCATTTCTGCAATACATAAATTGGCACACTCTAGATTCAATGACCGTTACAGCTACTGCTACATGCGTTACAGTCTGATAGAGAAACTTAATGTCAATTCACACAACTTTCATACCATATCGGGGAGGTGATGTAGCCTAGTGGTAAAAGCGTTCGCTCGACCCCGGTTCGATTCCCCACATGGGTACAATATGTGAAGCCAATTTCGTGTGTCCCCGCCATGATATTGCTGGAATATTGCTAAAAGCGGCGTAAAGACATACTCACTCATACCCTCTCAGAAATTTCAGACTTCCCTAACTTAATGGATCTGCACAGTGTTATCCATTGTGTAACTATCTTCCAAGTATAATATTTTGTATAAGGGGCTGTTCATAATTTATGGCTGGGGGGATGGGGTGTGTGATGATGATTATTATGGAGAAGAAAGTACAATGTGAATGACCCCCCCCAAAAAAATGTATGTACAAAGTAAGTGACCCCCTCCCTGCATGTCATGTACAAATTCAATGACACCCCTCCTCTCATATATTTTTCATATTTTTATGCACAAAATTGCTGACACCCCTCCCCCAGTACATGTGTACAAAATTGATCACCCCCCCACACACCTAACTCCCAAGAACAAAATGGGTGAAACACCCCCACCCCCCACCCCTTAAAATCATCATCATCCGTCCTAGCAATAAATTTGGATTACGAACGGTCCCTAAGTGGCTAATCAGCAATCCAAGCCAGTGTGCTATAGTGAGACTTGTGCTATATTTGGATGTGTAATAGATTGAGGGAACTAAAACCCTATGGTTTTGTGCCTTTTTCTTTTGTATATAAGGGGAGCTAGCTTTGCCCTTCATCACACATGACATCACACATGGCATCTCAAGTTACTAGAAGACCCGCATTGTGTGTGATGCTCATTACACCGTGGTTGGTTGGTTTGTTGTTTAACGCCGCACTCAGCAATATTCCAGTATATGGTAGAGGCCTATAAAAATCGAGTCCTTACCAGACACTCCAGTGATCAACATCATAAGCATCGATCTATGCAATTGGGATATGATGACATGTGTCAACCAAGTCAGCGAGCCTGATCACCCAATCAAGTTAGTCGCCTCTTACGACAAGCATGGGTCACTAAAGACCAATTCTAACCAGGATCTTCATAGGTCCATTATACCCTGGTAACAATGCATAGGAAAGTTGGCCGACTATTGCTGATAGGAGAATATTACATCACTGTCTTCTTTACTATACTCACTGCTCTTATACTTGTACTGCCACATTTTTGCCTTCTTGTCACATATGGACATACAGTATATGGCTCATGACATTGTTATCTCTTTCTTGGTTCTTGATTGAAAATTCAAAGCTACAAGCTCAGGAGAAAACTTTAAGCCTTGGTCTTATCCCTGCACAAGGTTTTACATTTTCAATGAAAATCGAGCAGGACTCCTTATCTTTACTAACAAACACACACACTAACCATGAACATCTTTGCTGATTAGAGCCCAACTTACATAATCTGCCAGGAATTTGATCCCTCTTGGGAAGCGGTCCGGATCGGCTTGCAGTTTCCCATTAGCATCTCTCTGTTTGGCCATCCAGCAGTCGTCGATAGACACGTAACGGTATCCTACGTCACGGTAACCATCAGCAGCCAATCGGTCAGCAGTGTCCATCAACAGTTTCTCTCTGAAGATAACACACCCAAACTAAAACAACAATGAGTGAGTGAGTTTGGTTTTACGCAGCTTTTAGCAATTTTCCTGCAATATCACGGTGGGGGACTCCCGAATTGGCTTCACACATTGTACCCATGTGGGGAACACAACACGAGTCTTCGGCCTGACAAGCGAATGCTTTAAGTTTAACCACTAGGCTACCCCGACGTCCCAGTACAAAAATGAGTGAGTGCCGTTTTTACCAATATTCCAGCAATATCACAGCAGAGGACACCAGAAATGGGCTTCACACATTGTACCCATGTGAGGAATTGAACCAGTGTATTCAGCATGATGAGAGGACGCTTTAACCACTAGGCTACTCCGTCACTCATATACAACAAACAACAAACTGAGGTGAGGTGAGGTGAAATTGGGTTTAACGTGGTGCTTGAGAATATTTCGCTCATATGACGACGTGCATGCGTGTGTATGTGTATGTGCGGCTGCTTGTACTAGCCCAGACTTAAGCTGGTTTTATAGTGCTAGCTCACTGAGATACCATGCCGCAGTGAAGCATGAATACCCCACTCAGACACATTATACTGACTCCAAGCCGACCAGTCCTTGTTGTACCCATTAATGCCGAGCTCCAGGCAGGGACCAACAAGTACCATATTTTTTAACGGCTTTCGGTATGACGAGTCGGGATCGAACCATTCCATCTCGGTGGGCGGCTCTAACCACTACACCATGGAGGCGGTCCACTACATACTAAAGACTATATTCATGGTCTCCACACATCGCAAATAACGTGATAACAAGAAGACAAAGTCATCAATATCCCCCGCAATGGCAAAAAACTCTTCATGATTATGTCTACGAGTTATGATTATGTCAAATATTTAGGTGTGTATATAGAAAAGTGGAAGGAGAGTATTGAAAGGTTTTTAAAGTTCTGCTCCAGAAAGCAGCAGCACTACATACAATTTCAGCTAAAAAGAGCAAACTTTCAGGCTAAGTCAAACTTGCCATGGAAACACCAAAAACATTTTATTCAGAATTCCAAAACTACCAAAAGGCACCAGTACACCACCAGATCTATCTATGTGCCAAGTTTGGTGAAGAAATAGTGAACAGTTTTAGAGTTCTGCTCCGGAAAAGAGCACTACCACCTATTTCAGGCTAAGTCAAACTTGTTGCCATGGAAAAGTCAAAAATATTTAATTCAGAATTCCAAAACTACCAAAAGGCACCAGTACACCACCAGATCCATGTATGTGCCAAGTTTGGTGAAGAAATATTGAACGGTTTTAGAGTTCTGCTCCGGAAAAGACAAATGTGCACGGACGGACGGACGCACGCACGCACGGACGGAGTCCATTTTAATACCCCCCGCAAAACGCGTTGCGGGGGATAATTAGGGAAGGTTGACAGCTACAAAGTTAGTTGTTTAACGCTGTATTCAGAATTATACTAGCATTATGATGGTGGTCGGTGAATAATAAAGTCTAGACCAGACAATCCAGTGATTAACATCATGAGTATCAATCTCTGCAACTGGGACATAATGACATGTGTCAACCAAGTCAGCCTGATGACCTGATCCAGTTAGTCAACAAGCATGGGTTGCTGAAGACAAAGTCTGGATCTTCACCAGTCAGCAGCTAAATGAGTATACAGAATATATATGAGTATATGTTCAGTCAACTTCAGACTATGCATGACCAGATTTTTTCATACATGTATTTTAATAGATTTTGTCAGGTAAAACAATTCCCATATAACAGACATTTTGCACCCAATTCAAGATCTGCAGTAGTTGCCAAGGTAGGAAGCCATATCAGTCAAGCTGGTAACATAATCGGCCAACTTACCCAATGCAGTTATCTGGGTCATTCTTGCAGTCAATGTTACACCGGAACCTCTCCCAGTCCATCCAGCCCATTGGGGGTGTCCTTGCAAGGCCATTGTCCAGACTGTGGACCACCCCTAGCAGCATACAGCTGACCAGCCATATCAGATTACTTGCATGAAGCATCCTGTTCTAGAAAACATCAACAGTTGTCTGAGTTTTATCTTTACCTGTGAAATTACTTATCCAGAGGACCTACAATCACTATTTCAAAGGTCCTTCATGGAAATATGAGAATACTGTAAAATAATGAAATGGTGTAGATTGCTGTTAGGTTTGATAAACTTTAATTGCAGGAATAAAGAAATGTAAGTAAAGACAGTGAGTGAGTGAGTGAGTGAGTGAGTTTAGTTTTATGCTGCACTCAGCAATATTCCAGTTATGTGGTGGCGGTCTGTAAATAATCGAGTCTGGACCAGATAATCCAGTGATCAACAGCATGAGCATCAATCTGCGCAATTGGAAACCGATGACATGTGTCAACTAGTCAGCGAGCCTGACCACCCGATCCCGTTAGTCGCCTCTTACAACAAGCATGGGTTACTGAAGGCACATTCTAACCCGGATCTTCATGGGTCGAGTAAAGACAGAAGAATAAAGGAAAAAGAGTGTAGACAGGAATAAGATGGGTAAAGACAGGAGTAAAGAGAAATCAGTCAACTGCTCTTGTGTAAAAATTACTGTTGACAATTTCTGTTGATCCCTGCCCTTTTAAGATGGATAAATCGTATAATTACTTTGCCAGTAGTTTGGATCCTTGTTTATCAAAATCCTAGATCCACTTGTATTTCAAAAAGTATATGACATGTAAATGGTTTTAAACTAAGTTCTTCTAAGCTTATTTCAGTAGCCACACATCAAACATCTTTATCCACATTTATTTAATATACTAAATAACAACATACTTTCTTGGCATGTTGAATTTTTATATGGGTTGCCATTTTAAAAACAGGTAAAAAAAATTCACATTTAACGTCTTGCTGCTGAGAATGAAATATTGACAATAATTCTTGTACCAGGGCTCGAAAATTTCAAAAATCTGCACTCGCCCTATACAGCGAATAATATGAACTTTCCACTCGTCCTTCTAAACTTGTACTTTCCCTATAGATCATGCATCACAATGATTATAAATTTATTTTATTTCAAAATGTTTGCTTGGAATAAAACTACAATAAACATTACTTACTTTGCCTTCTGTACAAAATCTTTGACAAAATTGAATTCGTTCACCATTTAAGATAGCTGAAGGAAAAAGAAAAATCTTACTTTTGGGTCAGAAAACATACTCATCCTCTAGGACGAACAAATTATGTTTTTCAATTGCCCCGAAACAAATTTTACTCATCAATTCGAGCGGACGAGTGGAATGTTCGAGCCCTGATTGTAGTACAGAGTGAAGATCTTGACCTTGGCAAGAGAATACCACCAGTATTGATCGTCATGATAAGACACTAATAGTGAGTGACATCTGTTATTTGTGTCAGGTCTGAGTAATCACCTTCACTTTGACTGCAGGAGATAAAATAGTTTTATCAGCAAAATGTCAGCGAGTAAAAACGGCAACAATTTGCAAACATGTAACCTCTCACAGAGCAAAAATGGCTGCTCTTGCCACGTGAAAACTTTACTTGTTTTACATTGGTTTCTTAACACAGGAAATAACTAAAATTAATTAACACAGATTCATATACAAACACAAATAAAAGTGAGATTTTAATCGACTTTAAAGGCATTTCCATTAGAAATAATTTAGCATCTTTTCAAATTTACTTCCATGACACAGATTGTGAGGCGCAAGTAAAAGTACACTACATACTTTAAAGTTGAGGTATCTGTGCACAATTTAACTCAATTGTTTTATTGTGTTGTATTTAAGATACATGACAGGGTGCTGTCAGATCCCAATTCTTCACTATAGATGTGGTGTATGCATTTGTGAGTACAAATGACATTACAACAGATGACTAAACCACAAAATGAAACAATCATTTTAACCTAAGTTAAGCTAAATATACTTCCTCAATAGCAGAATGCACCAGTTCTGCACTTGCCTGATACAAATTTAAAGACAAAATTCCTGAACACCTGCAGGAACCAGTGTATGCCTGGCGTACATACAAAGTTGCATGATGAGGAAATGAAAAGTTAATGAGTTATGCTCCAGAAAGGAAACCTGAGGGATAAACCCTGTTTCAACATTTCCTGGAAAAAAGTTTGGGCCGGGCGGGTCTGAAAAAAACACCTTTAGTTAATGCGTACATGTAAGTATTTTCATAAGTATACATCAGATGACAGTGATGTATTATTTTTGCAACTATGAAGTTCTGTTCATATTGAATATTCTCAAAACAGGAACCTGACATAATTTTTGGGCAATAAAGTTTCGGTTTCATATTCCTTGTCCATGTTTGGTGTTATGAACCTACACCTGTCGCTGACATTGACTCAGTTAATGAATTTGCAGCTGCTAATATGTCATCATGCCATAATTGCTGTTAGAGAGTTTGGTTGAAACCCGAGTTTACTACCCCTCAATTTTTTTTTAAGCTCTCCCTCGCTAAACCAATGAGCTGCTATTTATTATGGTCTCTGGTTTCAGCGTTGTAAAGAGTGTGTAGCATTGTGACAAAGAAACATGACACGGAGAACACCAAACCAATGGATAAAGCACTCCAGATAGTGAGACAAATATCACATTGATATCAGTGGATAATCAAACATGACAATGATAGGAAATGGAACGCAAACGAATGAATAAATCGCGATGCAGGTCATGTCTTGATCTACAAATTACAATATCAGTTTTGAATGCCGTTATAATCAGTTTGAAGTGCCGTGAAAGGGGTGCCATTTTCACCAGATGAAACTGGTGACGTTTTGCTGTGGTTCCGTTTAATGCCACATCCATATAACTGACTATGATCACAAGAAGATTAACAAACCTCCAAAATCACGCCTCTTCCACCGTACAAAGTTTGGTCACATGATGTTCCACATCACGTGACGATCGATGGGCTACAAAAATAAATAAGAGACTGATATTATATGCATAACCTTTATGATTTGTTTATTTTGGACAAACATCTTTTTAAGAACCATTAATATTGACAACACATAATGGGGAAATATATTTGCTGCGGATTCACCCCGCGACTTTCAACTATGGCCGCTTCCGGAAAAAATGTTCGTAAAATGTAAACAAAAGGAAATATTCAACGAAAAATGCTCAACCCTCTTGTGTTTATCAGCTCTGTGTAATGGATACATAAGTGGAAGGGAAGTTAAACATCTATAACACAATGGAAGCTGCACCAACCGAATATCTCTCAGCGGAAGAGCTTCGCAACAGACTATATCACAGTTTACGGAATCGTGGACTTGTTGATTCTGTCAAGGTATTTTTATACGTCTTAATTGTGCAATTGATGTGAAGTAACCGATTTCATGAAACCATCTTTGCAAATTCATGACAGATTGTCAAATGCTATCCTTTGTTTTCCATTAAACGTGGTAATTTGCCGTTTCTTTCCATGAGTTTTATTTTGAATAACATGTCAGCACATGTTTTCTATGTAAGAATGTTTACGAACCAGATGGAATGGCTTATATCACATATATGGACGTTTTTACACTGCAGTTAGTGACTTATAATACCAACATTGGCAGTATAATTTTACTTGATAACCTGCCATTCTGTCCCTTTGATCCAATTTGATAACGTTAACTTTACTTTGAGTCAATTTAATTGACTTTTTGATGTAGTAGTAGTAGTACTAGTAAGGGATCGTTCATAATTTATGGCTGAGGGGTGGGGGTGATGATGATGTTAAGGCGGGTGATGTGGGGGTGGAGGAGATGGGGGGTGGTGGGTTGTCACCCATTTTGTTTTGGGGAGGCTGTCCACTTCAGATCAGAAGGTCCGTGGTTCAAATCCCAGCATGCAGAATTTTATGGCCACTACATTCACATATACTATTAGAGCGTCCGCCCGGAGAGCGGAAGGTCGCGGGTTCTATCCCTGACCGGGTCATACAAAAGACGTTAAAATATGGTACTTGTTGGTCCCTGCCTGGCTCTCGGCATTAATGGGTACAACAAGGACTGGTCGGCTTGGAGTCAGTATAATGTGTCTGAGTGGGGTATTCATGCTTCACTGCGGCATGGTATCTCAGTGGACTAGCACTTTAAAACCAGCTTCAGTCTGGGCTAGTACAAGCAGCAGCACATACACACGCATGCACGTCGTCATATGAGCGTAATATTCTCAAGCGCAACGTTAAACCCAATTTCACCTCACCTCACACATATACTAGGGAAGGTCATCAATTTTGTACATGACACGCAGGGTGGGGGGTGTAACTTACCTTATGCATAAATTGTAAGGGGGGGGAGTCATTCACATTGTACACGCTTCTCCATACAAATCATCATCATCACCCAACTGACTAGTTGCATCATCATCATGACCAGTTGCATTATGTCAATCTCCGAGGATTATAGCTGATTACAATGAAGTCATTCATGGATAAAATGTTTACTGATAGCACTGAAGAGTTTTTGAAATCACACACGTCAAGATGCTCAAAACAAACCAATACTTAAGCATGTAGATAATTGCAAGAAGAGCTTCCAATTCAGTATTCATTCAATATATCATCTTGATTATTTACTTTTGAATTTATTTTACAGTCTCAGTTGAGGAACAGTATTGTAACAGAGCTACAGACTTCCTTGCGAGGACAGCTTTCACTGCGGGACCTGAATGTACCAGATGAAGGCACTCTTATCCATCGTGCAGCTAACAGTCTTGTTGCTGATCATTTTAAGGCCTGTCAGTATGACTACTCTCTCAGTGTGTTTCTGCCTGAAAGTGGCCTCTCCCAAGACAAGGTAATGATTTTTGTATCTGTTTCCTAAGGTTTTCATCATGTTCATTGTGTTCTTAAGAGTAAAAGTGACAGGGCTCCAGATAATTTTTCAACATCAGTCGTATATACTCCTTACTTATTCAATACAGGAGCACTGGAAAACCTTAAGAGTACATTTAGAGTACTGAATGGAATTTAATAGCGTACCAGTAATCTTGTATTCTATTTCATATAAGCACCACAACATTGCTACTCTTGTGTAAACAGGCCAATAATAAATAAAACAATACTTTAGAGAAATACGTCTGTAAATGATTCTAAGACCGTACACCATTGTTGTGGCGTCGTATCTGCTACGTTTTCTACATTTTTTCCTACCATATCGTGCATATTTTTTATCCGTACGCCAATACGGCCCTTATCTGGAGCCCTGAGTGAATATGATATTTTGAAAATTACATCATAGTCCATGCTTGTTGTAAAAAGTGACTAACAGGATCGTGTGGTCAGACTCGCTGACTTGACACATGTCATCATATCCCAATTGCATAGATCGATGTTCATGGTGTTGATCACTGGATTGTCTGGTCCAGACTCGATTATTTACAGACCTCCACCATGTAGCTGTAATATTGCTGAGTGTGGTGTTAAACATCCATCTATCCATCCATCCATCCAGTAATCCATCCAGTAGTCCAGTAATCCATCCATCCATCCATCCAGTAATGTCAGTGACCCTTGTATAGTGTTCATGTGGACTCTTCTTGCAGGTGTTCAGCATCCCAGACATCCTCCAGCTGCTCCACATCAGCCCTCAGTCCAGACTCTACACCAGACTGGTACGTTGGCAGCTGTCTCATCCAGTGATACACTTATCTTATTCACATGATTACACTGGATCAAGTGGTGATCATGATAAACTAACTGTATTTTGTGCAGTTCAAAATGTCCAACTTAACAGAACCTTTAATAAAACAAACCTTGTATGTCACTTTCGAGCATGCCTGTGATATGCTATTTGTAATTAATAATGTCCTAACTTTGTTTTTTGCAGACCTCCGCCATGAACTCAAGGTCATCAAAAGGTATTATTCAACATGAAATCTTGAATTTGCAGGATTAAATGATCAATGTCCTAGTATCCTAGTAATCAAACATAATCAATCACATATAACAAGTATAAATGCCTGAGCTGACAAAGGAGGGTGGGTGGCCCATCTTGTCAGGCTGAAGCCTGGATCTCTTCTCTCTACATGGCTTCCATGACTGAAGCCTAGCTTTGGTGTCTCCCTGTTGTGCTATTGCTGGAACAGCTAAAAGTGGCATAAAATCCCAACTCCCTTGTATTTTCAGTTTCTAAAAATATTTCATTTGAAATCAAATGCATGTTGTTTTTGAAGGGTTCTTGTGGCAGTTCCTGAATGAGATGTCAGCTCTTCACGCTGGTGCTACACATGAGTTTGGGGTTCAGACTGATCTGATCAGAGTTGGTCCTCTAACTTCATTGGGTAAGTCATCATCAACTGATCCTCCATCATCTACTGTGTCAACTTCAGTGAAATATATATTCATTCTTGTTCAAGGTGCATCATGTATGTATGGTAGTCTGCCTGTGATGTTGAAGGTTCTCCTTTGAGTGAAACATTTGTGACCTGATGTAAAATGAGAATGAACTCTCTTTTTGCCTGCGTGATACATATGGGTTGTATCTGTCAAACAACCAGTTTGGTTTCTTGATACTCTTTGACTTTTAGGCTATGATTTGTTGCTTTAGTGTATATATTGGCAATAGGTATACTTAAGACATGTTGTTAAAGACTTCCTGATCCAAGATAGTTGCGGAGGGTTGTGGAAGCTGCAGTAGTTGAGGTGGCTAGGCAGCTTATTTTGTGTGCTGGCGATTAGGTGATTGACTCTTAGGGTGTGGGTTCGAATCTCAGATAGGACTCAACCCAACAAAAGTACTAGAATCATTTATTTACTGAGAAAGTGTAATCTCAAATATAACGTGTTACATTTGACCACTTTCTAAATGGCATTGTGTATTCATAGGATTATAAGATGTTTTTTGAAAAGGACCTTTTCTGCTTCTTGATGCCTAAAATGTTTACGAATGATCTCAACGTAAGCAAGATATGTGATGTCATATCTGTTAATTGGACATAACTCAGTTCTACTAGGTTCAGTTTCATTGTTTAATGCTGTTTATTTTCAATACTACTGTGTTACTTGGTGTAGATGACAAGCTGCAGAGCCTAGAGGACCTGTATTCCTCTCGTCGAGATGAACACATGCGGACTGGTGTGGTGGCGGTGGAAGACAGGCTCTTGTCCTATCAGAGGCAGCTGGAAGACAGATACAACTCTGAGCTTAAACGGGAGGTAAGAACTACCAGTGTTTGAACTTTTTGTGTGAAGTCAATCTTCCTCTTATTAACCCAATGCTAACAGTAAGAGATATTGGAGGTTCCAAGATTTAAACAGTAAAGGATCAAATCTCAAGGAGCGCGGGAGGCCCATTAATCTTGTATACTGATTAGTAAGAATCTTAATTAGACTGTTGTACAGTCTGTTTTAATCTCACATCCAGTTTATCAAGTGCTGTATACATCTTGTTACAAAATGTTTTTGGCCTGTCTGATTGTATACATGAAAACAGGAGGTGGTTAGTGTGTGGCATGGGATGCTGGACATGTTGAAGGCGAGATTGAATTGTCCATGTGAGAACAATGTGTGAAGGCCATTTCTTGGTATTCTCTGAGAGGGGTGTTAAAGTCACTCATGCTTCCATGAACCAGAACTTCCATGAACTTGAATAAGTCCCTCCTTACATACTCTGTAAAGTGGTCTCTGAACCAGCATAGGATGTTTCAGTCATAGGCATATGTTGTTGTTGCTATTCAGCTTGCCAGGATGAAGGACACAGAGATAGCCCGGATACGGCTTGAGGAGAAGGAAGAATGTCGACGCCAGATGGACCAGCAGCGCAGAGAGGTATATTGAAAACAAATAAATGGGGCTGAGTAGGGAAGTATCACAAAGGGGCCTCCAAACCATAAACTTTGCAGACTGAAATTAACTTTGGTGGTATTGGTGGTCACAATTGCAGGCAGCCAACTGCCTTTAAAGGAAACAGTGAGTGAGTGAGTTTATTCTTTCATTTTAAAAGCCTACGACAGTTTTAACAATATTTCAATAAAATATTTTACCAAACAAAAAACTCGTTATGTGTGGTGAGACCACCCCTACAGGGCCCCGTAGAGGGCCCCCTAGAGCCAAGAGCAGGTAACTCTGGCTGTGTAGCTCGTACCTCACTTTTCATGCTGTCGTCGGCCGTGTAGGAAAAAGGGAATAAGAGAGCGATGAGTGAGATAGAGTCAAATCCTGTATGTATGGTTCCTTTTTATCGCACGGGCGCTAGTTGGAATCCTTGTATGACTTTTTTCATTCATGATTTGTTGTAACCTTACCGGCGTGTTCGCTGTCTCCAACCACGTGGCAGGCAAGATGGCGGACCGCGGGGTCCCGTTTCCGTTCCTTCTCCTGGTTTTAGAAAGCCTTGTAGCCTTGTTTCATTTTGTGGATTATACTTGCCTTAATTCCTTTTTTGCAGGTTTTAGGTAAGTTTTGCTTGAGTGATTTCGTGACGCGTTTACGTGTCGCTCACACATGTTGCTCTTTGTCACCTATGTACGCAATTACGCTTCGCTATTATGGCCTTGCGCTAGTATTTAATAGCTTTGCTGTAGCAGTTAAAATATCGCCCATGCGTTGTATTTTGTTCTGTTGTTGTGTGCATATTATATTATATTATGTCATACAGTCCTTGCTATTATCATAGCGTGGTTCTGTTTTTTGCAGCCCAAGGGGTGTGTTACCTGTAGCGGCAGTTTGTCGCCTCAGGATCGGCACCTTGTTTGCTTGCGTTGTTTGACGGAGGAAGCCCATGACGAACAAGGTTGTTCTATGTGTCAGGCTTTCTCCCCCCGCACCATCAAGTCCAGACGTGCAGATTTCATGTTCTACACGTCCTTACTTCAGGTGGGGGGGGGACATTTGGGGTCAGGAGCCTCCTAAAGATAGCAAAGATAAAAAAACAAAGAAAAAGAAGGCTTCGGCTTCTTCTCTTTTGGGGGATGCTGCTCCTAAACGGGCGAAGGGTGCGGGTCCTTCGGCTCCTTCACCTTCCATCCCCTCCACATCACAGGCACCTTCCCCCCCTCATGTCCCGGTTTCTAACCAGCTAACAATTGAATTACTTTCTGATTTATTGCAGAAGCAGATGGATTCGGTCCACACTCTAGTGTCTGATGCGATGGCTGGCCTCCGTCAGGAGATTGGCGTCCGGCCAGGTACGGGGGGATGTTCCGGATCTATGACGGGCAGTACTCCCTACCATAGCTTAGGCTCTGGTGTGGGGGTTTCTGTCGGGGGTGTGTCGGCTCCGAGTCTTGTCTCGGTTGCTGGCCATCCCTCCGCTGTAGTAACTACTACCAGCCCGAGCCATGGCTCTGGGTCTGGTTCAGTAGTTCGTGCCGGGTTTGCAGGCTCAGTCCCTGTAGTTGCCGCTACTTCGCATTTGGTCCCACCGCTTGCGCCAGCGTTGCCGGGCCATTCGGTGTCGGGATCAGTTTGCCTACCATTGAGGAATCCCAGCACGGGCTCTTCCTCGTCACGCTGCCACGACTCAGTGTCGAGTCTTGGGTCAGGTGTGCCGGGTAACTCTGCTCTGCTCGAGCCTTTGTCCCCTCGGATGATCCCTCAGAGCTCTCTCTGGTAGATACAGAGACCTCACTCATTGAGGATCGATTCGAGGAGGCTATGGAGGAGAAATAGGGTCGGGAGGAGTTGGGTATGCCTTTGGTGTCGCTCGGTGCGTCCCTGAGGCAGGTACGTGAGCGTATTGCGTCTGTCCTACCCCAGGTAGTGGTCAGTACTGGCGCACCCGACCCTCAGGAGTTTCGCCTCCCAGGGGAGGCTTTTGCTCCCACCAAGGTGGGTGACACAAGGCTGCGTATATTACCCTCTGTCTTGTCTGAGGTAATCAACCCCCTCCTCTGTGGTACCAGGTCCAGGTTCGATTTGCCAGAACTTGACCATCGGTACCTCATGGGGGAGGCTTGCCTTTATAATCCCCCAGTGGTTGACGATTGTGTTTACGGATCCGTCGCCCTGGGGGGTTCGTCGGGTAGCTCTTTGGCTTCAGCCAAGCAAGGTCGCCGGCTTCCGCCGTTCACGACTAACGCTACAGCGCTTAAATCCGCCTATCGGTCCTTTGAAGAGCAATACCGCAATGCGGTTCAATGCCTCAAAGTGACGATCCATTTCGCCTACATCTCAGTGTTGCAGAGGCAACTACTGGATGTGGGTGGGGTGGAGGAAGATTCGTCTCCCTCCACCTTGGCTAAGCAATTAGCGGAGGTACAGTCACATCTGGCGCTAGCGATTCTATCAGGTCGTCGGCTTGCCAAATGATGTCGGGCGGTGATGGGCCTCCGTAAGCCTGTGGCTTTCCGTGGCGAGGTATTAAGCCTGCCACGCAACAGGCTCTGCTGGCTGCCATTCGGATGGGTTCTACCCTGTTCCCCGGGGCAGCTACAGTAGTCTGGGAGGCCGCGGAGGCTGTCTCAACCTTCAAGGACTCTAAGCCCTTGCTGGAACAGCCTCACACGTCTCAAGCGCGACCTCCGGTTGCCTCCTCCGCATATCCTTCTGCCACGGCGAAGGAATCTGTTAAATGGGCTCAGCCCTTGCAGTCGCGGAGGGGTAAGGGCAGAGGCAGGGGCAAGGACAAGGCCACGGCGCCCCACCAGCCTTTTCAGAGGCAGGGGAAGTCAGCCCCGGCTTCCCAGCTATAATTCCTCCGGAGCCCTTGTTGGTACCAGACCAAGCAGTCGATTACTGCGAAGTCAGGTATTCAATGTCTCCGCCACATATCCCTGTGGGTGGCCGACTTTCACTCTTCCTGCCGGAATGGGAAAAAGTCACGTCCAATCCCTGGGTCCTGTCCACGCTCAGGGAAGGCCACATGCCACAGTGGAAGCGAGACCCGCCTCCCTTCTCCGGGATCCGTTGCACTGCAGTGCCGGTTGCCCTAGAGAAGGCGGAAGTGCTCGATGCGTCGAGGTCTAGTCGATTTGCTGGACAAGGCAGCCATAGAGGTGGTTCCTGTGGGACAAGAAATGTTGGGTTTTTACTCAACTTATTTCCTTGTCACCAAAAAGGACGGAGGGTTCAGACCTATTCTTAACCTCAAAGGTCTGAACGACATGTTAGAGGCACCATCCTTCAAGATGGAAACACTGCGTTCGGTGATTTCGTCTGTGGAGAAGGGAGATTGGCTCACGTCAATCGACCTCAAAGACAGCGTACTTCCATGTCCCTATGCACCGCGAAGTTCAGGAAATACCTAAGGTTTTCCTTCGGACGGGAGGTGCTATCAGTTCGGTACTCCCCTTGGCATCTCCACAGCCACGGTGTTCACCAAACTCATGCTAATTCCAGCTCAGGTAGCCAGGTCACAGGGCAGGTGCTGTCACCTGTACCTAGGCGATTGGCTCCTTCATGCGCTGCAGCTCACTTGAGTCGAAGTTCGCGACACTTTCTGTGATGAGTATTCTCACCAAGTTGGGTTGGATTATCAACCTCAAGAAATCAGAACTGGTTCCCCACCCAGGATCTGGTGTTCTTGGGAGCGAGATTCGAGACAGCGAGGGATAGTCTCCCTGTCTCCGGACCGCGTCACCAAAGTCCAGAGAGTTGTGTTACAATTTCTCGAGTTCCCCAGGGCCTCAGCTCGGACTTGGCTCCAGTTGCTAGGCAACATGGCGGCAACGGTGGATATCGTTTGGCGAGTGCGGTTGAGGATGCGTCCCATTCAGCAGGCTTTAGCTCAAATGTGGGTCCACACCCAGGGTTACGAGTTGATTCTCCACACTCCAGGGTGGCTAATTCCTCATTTACGGTGGTGGACACTGGCAGGGAATTTATCCAGGGGGCTCCCTTTGGACATCCTATCGCCAGATCTCTCAATTCAGACAGACGCTTCCCTTGTTTGTTTGTTTTAAACATATTTTATTCATGAGAAAAGGATTGGGTACAAGTTATACAACTTAGAACACCCTCTCCGTAGTATTTACATAGTATTATTTACATTCATTCTACAAGATGGACAGAGAAGAACAGAGCAGAAATATGGGAAAAAGAGGAACAATTGCAACAATTAAGAAAATCGTTTTGAATGACAAATATATGTTTGAACAATTTTAAATATGTTTTGATTTATGTGAACAGTCAGATCTGCATTGCCATGTAATAGTAACTCATAGGTTATATCCACATTTGTAATACTGCGTAAATTAGTCATCATGATAGTTCTCTGTACTGTATATAATTGACAGTCAAATAAGTAATGATAAGAATTTTCACAAACATTTCCACAAGAACAACTTGGGTTATCTCTTAAACCAGCACGGAATAGATCATAATTCAACTGACTACAGATGTAACGTATTTTTGTAAGGATGATGTTAGTGATTCTCGGTCCAGAATCAAAGTATCGAGGAGCAGTTTTATGTTTTATAACAATATTCACAGGGTGGGGGGGCGTGCTGGGCGCCCTGTCGGTCTCAGGCCTGTGGTCACAGAGCGAGGCGCAACTGCACATCAATGTGCTAGAATTGAGAGCAATCAGGTTGGTGTTCAAACGACTTCGGGAGCAGGTTCAAGGCCGTGTGGTCCGTCTCGAGATGGACAACCAGACGGCAATGACCTATATCCTGAAGCAGGGCGGTACGGTTTCCCCGTCTCTTCTGCAGGAGACATGGCAGTTTCTGCTCTGGTGCGACCGGTTCGACATACGGGTAATGCCTGTTTATCTCCCCAGGGGCGGACAAGCGTTCGAGCAGATGCACTCTCTGTCAGTCCTGGCCCCACACGAGTGGATGCTCCATCGGGGATATTCGGGGCTATCTCCCAGTTGTTGAGGTCGTTCCAGGTGGATCTGTTTGCATCTGGGGGACGAACCAGATTCGGTGTTTTGCTCGGATACGGATCGAGAACCATCGCCCAGGGCGCTTCCAGCTCGATTGGACGGACAGGGTTCTGTGGGTTTCCGCCACTACCCCTGATTCCCAAAGTCCTCTCGAAGCTGGCCACCCAACCAGCTCGACTTCTTGTGCTCCTTGCACCCCTTTGAGTCGGCTCAAAGCTGGTTTCGGTACTACTCAGGTTTCTGGCTCAGCCTCCTGTACTATTACCCTTTCGACCGGACTTACTATCCCAGAGCGGGCCGCACCCGAATCCCAGGATTCAGTGGGTGGCCTGGCCTCTGTCGGAATCGCCTCCACGCTGGCCCGGAATTCCTGCACCAGTTGCAGACACAATTCTGGCTTAATTGCTGAGGGATTCGACAAGCGTTCAGTATGAGGATAGATGGGCCTGTTATGCGCGGCGCTGGTGTGTCGGCAGAGGGATTCTTGATCCCTTTTCTTCAACTGTAATTGAAGTACTGGAGTTCTTGCAGTCTTGGTTAGGAGCGGTTTAGCAGCGTCTACTATCGGGGCTACTCCGCGGCAATCTCTGCCTTCCATATCCCCTGCCGACGGTGCTCTCTTGGGGCAGCACCCTCTAGTACAGCACTTTTAGCAGGCGTGGACAGAATCCGTCCGACTGTCCGGGCGGATTAGTCCCCGTGGGACTTGTCAATCGTTCTTGATTGGATGTCGGGTCCTCTTTTCACGATCTGTCGTCTCTTTCACTCCAGCTGTTAAGTTGGAAGGCTGCCTTTCTTGTGGCGGTAACGTCTGGCAGGCTGGTGGCGATAGCCATCGCGATGTCAGCGGATCCTGCTCTGACTGTCTTTCACAAAGACAGAGTCAGTATTCGGTTGCCAGACTCTTACCGTCCCATCAAGATAGTCGAAGCCTTTCATATAGCGGCGCTGTCGAACTCGCCAGCTTTCCTCAGCCTCCATCGTCCGGTTACTCTCTTCGGTGCTCCGCGTCTTAGATGTCCGTAAGACTCTCAGGCTTATATCAAGCGGACAGTTGCTGTCAGGAAAGATAAGCAGCTGTTCTGTTGTTATGGCGGTGGCAAGGCTGGTCTTCGGCGAACAAGCAGACCATATCTAGGTGGCTTGTCTCTGCCATTTGTAATGAGTTACTCTTCCAAAGGATTAACCATCCCTCAGGATTGAAGGCTCATTCGATTAGGGCAGTGGCTGACATCAAAGCATCGCGCGGCACTGCCCATTGAGGAGATCTGCTCAGCGGCTATCTGGAGCCGACCCGAGTCACGTTCATCCGCCACTATCAGCTGGACAAACACTCACCGGGGGCGTGCTCGGTTTGGCCAGACAGTTCTCACCAGTGGGCAGTGTCGTGATTCTCTAACCGATTGAGCCTTAGAAAACACGTTTGCTTTTCTCATGGTGTAGGTGTTAATAAATTCCTCAATTTTTATCGGTGGTGGTATCACATTGGTGGTGGTTTTTTCCGTACGTAGCGATTATCACTTTCGCTACAGTCACTGTTTCACCCTGCACCAGCAGCTGGTTTGGGTTGCTGAGGAATATATATTGGACTCGCCCATACTTTCCCTCCCATTTTGATGGTTGGGGGGTGGGACTTCGTCGGCTTTACAAATTACACCAATAGCCTATCGGCTCCTTTTCCCCACCTTTGCCCGCCTGATTGACATCAGCGGTCAGGTGACTATATTTTATTGCCGCACTCAGCAATATTCGAAAATGTTATATATGGCGGTGATCTGTAAATAATCGAGCCTGGATCAGAATATTCGGAGTTATCCAGTGATCAACAGCATGAGCATCGATTTATTGATATTGGGAACCGATGACATGTGTCAATCAAGTTAGCAAGACTGACCACCTGATCCTGTAAGTCGCCTCTTACGACAAGCATGGGTTACTGAAGATAAATTCTAACATGGATCTTCACGGTTCTGATTGTGGATGTAATTCTGACACTCATCCCCATGATGATCCTTGGTTACATATTTAAAAATTGGTGGGGATTATGTTGTTGGTAGTCTGACATGTGCATCATATATATCAATTTCGTCAATATGAATAAATGGAAGATTATTTCTCATGCTCAAGTATTTGTTTCTTTCCTTCTCTGTAGCTGGAGCGGACATACCAGTCCAAGTATGATGCCTTGGTGGAAAGAGAGAGGAATTCTATAGAGAGGCTTCAGCGTGAACAAGAGGTAAGTGGTAGACAATTTCTGATGTTTCTGGCAATGTTCCTAGCAATATGTCTGGTAAGGTGTTCTTGGTAATAAGTTTGATCTAAATGGTGATGTTTCTGGTGATGTTCCTAGCAATATGTCTGGTAAGGTGTTCTTGGTAATAAGTTTGATCTAAATGGTGATGTTTCTGGTGATGGTCATGGCAGTTTGTGAGGTGATTTTATTAGTGATGTTGATGATGTTTCTGGTGATGGTCATGGCAGATATGTCTGGTGATGTTTCTGGTAATGGTCATTGGTGATGTATTCAGGTGATGTTTCTGGTAATGTTGGTGATGTTTCTGAGTAGTGTCATTGGTGATGTTACATGATGTTTGGTGATGTTTGCTGATGATGTCATTGGTGATGTTACTGATGATGTCATTGGTGATGTTACTGATGATGTCATTGGTGATGTTTCTTGGCAGCGATGTGTCACTAGTAATGTTACTGATGATGTCATTGGTGATCTTGCTGATGATGTCTGGTAATGGTGATGTTACTGATGATGTCATTGTCAAATGTGATGTATGTCTGGTAATGTTACTGATGTCATTGGTGATGTTGCTGATGATGTCATTGGTGATGTTTCTTTTGATGTTTCTGGCAATGGTCTTGGCAGTATGTCTGGTAATGTTACTGATGATGTCATTGGTGATGTTGCTGATGATGTCATTGGTGATGTTGCTGATGATGTCATTGGTGATGTTGCTGATGATGTCATTGGTGATGTTGCTGATGATGTCATTGGTGATGTTTCTTTGATGGTCTGGCTAGCATGTCTAGTAATGTTACTGATGATGTCATTGGTGATGTTTACTGATGATGTCATTGGTGATGTTGCTGATGATGATCATTGGTGATGGTTTCAGCAGATGTCTCATAATGTTGATGTTGCTGATGATGTCATTGGTGATGTTACTGATGATGTCATTGGTGATGTTTCTTTTGATGTTTCTAGCAATGGTCTTGGCAGTATGTCTGGTAATGTTACTGATGATGTCATTGGTGATGTTGCTGATGATGTCATTGGTGATGTTTCTTTTGATGTTTCTAGCAATGGTCTTGGCAGTATGTCTGGTAATGTTACTGATGATGTCATTGGTGATGTTGCTGATGATGTCATTGGTGATGTTGCTGATGATGTCATTGGTGATGTTGCTGATGATGTCATTGGTGATGTTTCTTTTGATGCTTCTAGCAATGGTCTTGGCAGTATGTCTGGTAATGTTACTGATGATGTCATTGGTGATGTTGCTGATGATGTCATTGGTGATGTTTCTTTTGATGTTTCTAGCAATGGTCTTGGCAGTATGTCTGGTAATGTTACTGATGATGTCATTGGTGATGTTGCTGATGATGTCATTGGTGATGTTACTGATGATGTCATTGGTGATGTTTCTGATGATGTCATTAATGTTGCTGATGATGTGATTTGATGCTGGTGATGTTACTGATGTTACTGATGATGTCATTGGTGATGTTACTGATGATGTGGTGATGTTGCTGATGATGTCATTGGTGATGTGGCTGATGATGTCATTGGTGATGTTGCTGATGATGTCATTGGTGATGTTACTGATGATGTCATTGGTGATGTTACTGATGATGTCATTGGTGATGTTACTGATGATGTCATTGGTGATGGAGCTGGTGATGTTACTAGTGATGCTGTCTTGTAGATTCAGGAGAAGGAGATCTATGCCCAGAGACAGACTCTACTGGAGGAGATGGAGGTCATGAGGCAGAGAGAGGTTGAGGTCAAGAGGGAAAGAGAACTCACACACAGGTAAGTGCAAGGTTGCCTGAGGAGTAAGATAGGTCCTCTCCAAATGAATGAGATCAAGTGATTTGTAAGCAGTTTGCTGTCATTGTAAATTTCAAGCGAATAGTTTTCTTTGTGAGTACTTACTTCCATTTGATTTAGTGGTAATTTTTTATACATCTGTAATTTTGATATGTTGCTATGTTTTGTAATATTTTGACATGCTTGAACATGTATACAGAGATCGACTACCAAATATTTGAAATTGATGAACAGTAATCTTTCTAAACGCATTGAGTTAGAATGTCAAGTCACATCTAGATGCATGATCATATGTAAAGGATACAGTGATGGGAGGATTGTAAGTAACCTTGAATAAGCAATCGTGGTCATCCTGAACCTCTTCAAATGTGTCATCACTTTTAGATGTCATTACATCAGTCATCAGCAAGATACTTGTGAGTTCTCCATGTTGTGCCAGGAGGGAGATTTACTTTTTCAGCTTTAGGGACCGTTCATAATTTATGGCTGGGGATGATGATGATTTTAAGGAGGGGTCACCCATTTTGTTGGAGGGGGGATCAGTTTTGTACACATTTGTAGGGGGGTCAGCAATTTTGTACATAATAATATTTAAAAATATGGAAAGGGGAGGGGGTACTTACTATGTACATATTTTATTTTATTTTATTTTTTTATTTATTTAATTTTTTGGGGGTTATTGGACAAATCTGACCAGGGATAATGTACATGCTTCTCCATAAAAGTCCCTCATCAACATTCTAGCCATAACTTATGACGGTCCCTCATATATGGACAAAAATCTGACCATGGATAATCTGCTGAAACAGGATAACATTCTGTATGTCTGTGTGGACAAATCTGACCAGGGATAATATGCTGAAGAAGGATAATATTCTATATGTCTGTGTGGACAAATCTGACCAGGGATAATGTGCTGAAACAGGATAACTGCCGCCATATAGCTGAAATATTGCTGAGTGCAGCGTAAAACAAAAGTCACTCACTCTGTATGTGTCTGTGTATTGACAGTCGATTCTGTATATTTGCCATGTAGGGAGAAGGACCTGCAAGGGGAACGTAACCGCGCCAAGGAGGATGAGATTCGACGGAGGGAGATGGAGGTGAAGAGACAGAACACAGAGTTCACACAGAGGCTCCACAACGAGATGGCACAGTATGTACCTCTTTACTTCTGCAGCACAGTTGAAAGTACTCAGGGTGGTAGTTTCCTTTCTTTCTGAAGAGCATGGGTACAACAGGTCCCTTTTGGAGTACTTTATCTAAGTATCTTTCCATATGTGAAATTGACAATGTATTATGTCTGTTGACAGTTGTGTTAATTTGGAAATTATTTCAAATGTGTCTGACAGATTGTCATGTGTGACATTTACTTGCAGGTTCAAGCTGGACACACAGGCTCGTTTCATTGACCGGACACAGAATATTGAAATCAGAGAAACTAAGGTCAAAGGTAAGACTGTTCGTTTGTATGAAGACACAATCTCTGTATATATCTGTGGTGCAAAAATAGTTTCATGTATTGAGATATTCAAATGTGTTTGATTATTTTTGTTTCCAAGAATATAGAATATCCTCAAGGCATGACCTCTTCCTTAATGTATATTCCAGTTGAAGATGTTGACCAATTGAGGATATTAAGGGTTAAATTCCTTGCCTTGAATTATCTGCAGCAACAGTGGTATGATGTCATCCTAATGGTTTAAGCTTTTAGGATTACTTTTAATGCATATTCTTCTGTCAGAGATGGAAAGGATTGTTTCGGAAGAGAAGAGTAATCTGCAGTCCTACAAGGATGATCTGAGAGACAAGACTCACAGGGTCAATGAACTGGAGGTGAGTTTCTTTTTATAATTCATAATGTAAAAGAATAAAGCTTTAGCATGCAATGAAAAATGTTAATGCGAGAGATACTTGTGCCTTTTCTAGATTTCCTAACTGAAAGCCCTTGGAAAGCAAATTAGAGGAAATCCAACCACTGATGCTTGAAAGTAGAGGAAGCCATAACCGGATGTGTTTGATGTAATGTTATGGGATCAATGCTTAAAGGTCACATGCAACCAAAAAATCAAACAATTAAAACACAGTTATCACTTATTCATGACATATAATATACATGCTGGTTATGAAAAAAACATATAAACAAAATTATAAGCGTACAATCGCAAATCAAAAGTGCAATATTGTGTACTTGGGTTTACTTCCCAAGAAACGAAGCAGCCGGGATACCGAACCCAGTCAGAGCGGGTGGGTGTGCACTCAAGTGTAACGTCTGGTTCATTTGCAGATGCCCTCAAAGCTCATTGTGTGTGTATATATAGAGATGTTGGGTTTTGTAAATACATGCTCATTTTTTGTGTATAACATTTTGCAATCAACAGACATCATAACATGTCATGTGTTCAAGCATCACACCTGCCTGTCTGTGTAATTACATAATGTGACAGAGACCGAACTCGGGCCATAAATCAATGCATTTTGTTTATGGTGTATAGGATGATTGGTGTTAAGTTCAAATTGCATGTAGTCAGCTGTGTATTGAATAGTGTTATTAACAGACAGGCAGGCAGACACACAGGTGTCAATAAAACAAGACATTGAGTTTTGTCTGTGACAACGACATATCTATATCACAGTTAGAAATTCTGTCAACGCTCAAATAATGACATTGCTTTTAAGTATCGAACTGAGAAAGTGACTCGGTAAGAAGAACGTGTGGTGAAATAGACAAATGAAATTATATAAACAGTTAATTTACTGTCATAACATATAAAAAGCTCGCACCTGTGAGATATCAACAAAACATTAGAAAAATAGCTCACACCAAAGCCTTCACCGAGCATTCACCGGACAACCCGCTTCCAAGCTGCGCGAACCTATTTCACTGCGCACATGCTATGAGCGCAGCCCAGCTGTTGAAACCAGTTTTCCCCCGAAAAGTCGGGGGAAAATTATTGAAACGTTTGAACTCCGATTTCACGTGTTTTTTTCATCGTGTTATTTTTCAACTTTATATGTTGAATTTGCATTTTTGACGATTTGTTTCGATAAGTCCATACCGAAAGGTATCAGAACCTGCAAAGTTGTGTTTTACGTTGCATGTGACCTTTAACTCACATACGCTGGCACCACTCAGTAGTCTACAGTAATGCTGGCCCAAAATGGTGTGATTGTTTGTACATTATCACAGCCCTCCTAGGAGGGTGACAACTGGAAAAAATATTACCCACTGCCACGGTAACCGCCAAGCTCTCCGCAGAGAAGCTGAAGCGCTAACAATGGTATGACATCATAATATGACGTATGCCTTGCCGGGAGTTCGAAAATCGTTCGATCAGCTGTTTTTGTGTTCACTTTGTACAGATTTATTTTACCAACTTTTACTGCTTTATTTAAGCTATTTTATACATTGAGTGGTTTGCACACTCAGCTTAAACATAATTAACAATTTGTATAGCAGTTTTATGCTTGTCAGAATATGTTTCACTGATGTTAAAAATCCAGTCGAGAGGCAGACGCCATTTTGCGTTTGCATGACATATAGTCGGTAGTGATCTTTAAAATAAAATAAATAAATAAATGATGAACGCCTCTAGCAGAGTCATCCCTCGCCTACCGGCTCGGCTAACACTGCCACAAAGAGGCATACATAAGACCGTATTACCCTCGAGAGAAGCATACAACTTATAGTGACAAGCGGTGGGCGAGCTGGCTAAGGTGCCAGGCTAGTGGTCCAACGAGGTTAAGGTGTCGGGCTCGAGCCCACCTGTGACTGGGTGTAAACACCTTGGAGTCAACTTTGTGTGCAGACTCTTTCAGTGTTGTCACAACCCCTAGTGTACAGTACACAACCCTGTGCACTTAAAAGAACCCATGAATCCGTTGGTATATGACCAGATGGTGGCCACATGAATACATGCAAACACCTAGTTGTGGGTACAGCAATGTGCAGTGAACTTGGACAAAGTACTGTGACTATGTGTCCCAGTCGACCCAGCTGTGAATGGGTACCTCGTTAGGATGAAAAGCCACAATAACTCGGTGCGCCTAGTGGCTGCAAGAGCTGTATATACTCCCCAGGGAGTTGAGATTGATGATACGATGTGCCGTTTATATTGACATCCAGTAATCGAGGGAGTAAGTACCAGTGCCTTGAGCATGCACTTCAGTTGCCTGGATATGTGCTATATAAATATCCCATAATAATCTCATCGTACAGACCCAAGTATTAATATGTGTTGCAAAATATCTCATGGTAGTACAGACCCAAGTATCGACATATGTTGCAATAAAAATGGTCCAGATTATTCAGCATCACAAAAGGAGATAGTAAGATAGCCGGAAAGAGGGGCATTCAGTTGTTCACATTATATTTCAGACACTCCTTCAGGAATCCCGACACTCAGAAGTATCAGCCACCAGGCAGAATGAATACATCAACTCCAAACTCCGAGATGTAAGTGCAGATTATATTCTGAATTTATGATTTTAGATGTTCATTGTCTTTAAGGGCATACAGCCTATGATGCAAAGGTTTATTATAATGTATTACTTGGGACACATTGGTTTACGTGGTGTATGATGGTATAAAATCATCCATGTCACCAAGTGTTTGAATTGTAATATCTGGTGAGATATATGGCAATATTTGTGTACTGATGTTTACATTTTAGATTTTGAGATTGTGTTGTTCCTTTACAGATGGCTGATTACAAGACTGTCAAAGAACACAATTCTGTTCTTCGTAATGAAATGGAGACACTCAGGACGTAAGTATATCCAATACATGGATCGAAACTGTTCATTGGGTGTATATATATTCTCAAATTTCTATCCGATAGCGTCCTCCTTTTACATAATCATAATACTCACACTTTATAGGGACTGTTAATGATGGTCAGTATTATATTATTTGTAAATGATGTGCCTAGGTGACCTAGTCATCTAAGGCCCAATAATTCTCCATGATGTGCCTAGGTGACCTAGTCATCTAAGGCCCTCCAATTCTCCAAGATGTGCCTAGGTTGCCTAGTCATCTAAGGCCAAACAATTCTCCATGATGTGCCTAGGTGACCTAGTCATCTAAGGCCCTCCAATTCTCCATGATGTGCCTAGGTGACCTAGTCATCTAAGGCCCTCCAATTCTCCATGATGTGCCTAGGTGACCTAGTCATCTAAGGCCAAACAATTCTCCATGATGTGCCTAGGTGACCTAGTCATCTAAGGCCCAACAATTCTCCATGATGTGCCTAGGTGACCTAGTCATCTAAGGCCCTCCAATTCTCCAAGATGTGCCTAGGTTGCCTAGTCATCTAAGGCCAAACAATTCTCCATGATGTGCCTAGGTGACCTAGTCATCTAAGGCCCTACAATTCTCCATGATGTGCCTAGGTGACCTTGTCATCTAAGGCCCAACAATTCTCCATGATGTGCCTGTGTGACCTAGTCATCTAAGGCCCTCCAATTCTCCATGATGTGACTAGGTGACCTTGTCATCTAAGACCCTCCAATTATCCATGATGTGGGGGCCGTGGGGTAGCCTAGTGGTTAAAGCGTTGGCTCGTCACGCCATAAACCCAGGCTCGAATCCCCACATGGGTACAATGTGTGAAGCCCATTTCTGGTGTCCCCCTCCATGATGTTGCTGGAATATTGCTAAAAGCGGCGTAAAACCAAAACTCAGTCAGTCAGTCCATGATGTGGCTAGGTCGCCTAGTCATCTAAGGCCAAACAATTCTCCATGATGTGCCTAGGTGACCTAGTCATCTAAGGCCCTCCAATTCTCCATGATGTGCCTAGGTGACCTAGTCATCTAAGGCCCTCCAATTCTCCATGATGTGCCTAGGTGACCTTGTCATCTAAGGCCCAACAATTCTCCATGATGTGCCTTGGTGACCTTGTCATCTAAGGCCCAACAATTCTCCATGATGTGCCTAGGTGACCTTGTCATCTAAGGCCCTCCAATTCTCCATGATGTGCCTGTGTGACCTAGTCATCTAAGGCCCAACAATTCTCCATGATGTGTCTAGGTGACCTAGTCATCTAAGGCCCTCCAATTCTCCATGATGTGCCTGTGTGACCTAGTCATCTAAGGCCCAACAATTCTCCATGATGTGCCTAGGTGACCTTGTCATCTAAGGCCCTCCAATTCTCCCTGATGTGCCTGGGTGACCTAGTCATCTAAGGCCCTCCAATTCTCCATGATGTGTCTAGGTGACCTAGTCATCTAAGGCCCTCCACTCTCCCCTGATGTGCCTAGGGTGACCTTGTCATCTAAGGCCCTCCACTTCTCCATGATGTGTCTAGGTGACCTAGTCATCTAAGGCCCTCCAATTCTCCATGCACAGTTGTGTCCCTCAAGCATCAAAGAAACCTGTGCCCATTGGTTCAAATCCCTGTTTTCCCAGATTGTTTTTAGCATTGTCAGCAATATAGGTTTCACAAAATGGTAAAGATCTGCTTCACAGGGGTTCCCCTAAGGTTACATGCCTATATATAATTGAAATACTGCCTATGATACTGAAATGCATTGAACAGAACAAAAATGTAGTCCAATTCTGTTTCTGTCAGTTAATATTTCTATTTCAGGAGATTGTCTGAAGTTCTCACCATGAACGAAAGAGAAAGGGGAAGTAAGTTGACATTACTGTGTTTTGCATTAAGAGTTATCACACAAATGACATGCTGTACTATAGTGTGTTATGTAATTAGTTTTTGTAATTGGGATACTTATTTTCAGACTGATACTTCAGGGTTTGTAATGAGCACAATTACTAGTAACACCAAGGAAGTGCAAGTTACATGTCTTCGTTGACTACCACCTTTACCATGTGGTAGACTGCATCTCTGTTGCAGATCGTTATTGCATACAAATGAAAATTACAACTAATTACTGACCCTGATTTGACACTTGGAATCTGCACCACTGCCGGGTTGTTTTGACTGCACATGAAATTCTCCATGATGTGCCTAGGTGACCTTGTCATCTAAGGCCCTCCAATTCTCCATGATGTGCCTAGGTGACCTTGTCATCTAAGGCCCTCCAATTCTCCCTGATGTGCCTAGGTGACCTTGTCATCTAAGGCCCTCCAATTCTCCATGATGTGCCTAGGTGACCTAGTCATCTAAGGCCCTCCAATTCTCCCTGATGTGCCTAGGTGACCTAGTCATCTAAGGCCCTCCAATTCTCCCTGATGTGCCTAGGTGACCTTGTCATCTAAGGCCCTCCAATTCTCCATGATGTGTCTAGGTGACCTAGTCATCTAAGGCCCTCCAATTCTCCATGCACAGTTGTGTCCCTCAAGCATCAAAGAAACCTGTGCCCATTGGTTCAAATCCCTGTTTTCCCAGATTGTTTTTAGCATTGTCAGCAATATAGGTTTCACAAAATGGTAAAGATCTGCTTCACAGGGGTTCCCCTAAGGTTACATGCCTATATATAATTGAAATACTGCCTATGATACTGAAATGCATTGAACAGAACAAAAATGTAGTCCAATTCTGTTTCTGTCAGTTAATATTTCTATTTCAGGAGATTGTCTGAAGTTCTCACCATGAACGAAAGAGAAAGGGGAAGTAAGTTGACATTACTGTGTTTTGCATTAAGAGTTATCACACAAATGACATGCTGTACTATAGTGTGTTATGTAATTAGTTTTTGTAATTGGGATACTTATTTTCAGACTGATACTTCAGGGTTTGTAATGAGCACAATTACTAGTAACACCAAGGAAGTGCAAGTTACATGTCTTCGTTGACTACCACCTTTACCATGTGGTAGACTGCATCTCTGTTGCAGATCGTTATTGCATACAAATGAAAATTACAACTAATTACTGATTTGACACTTGGAGTCTGCAGTTAAAGGGGTGTTTTGACTACACATAGCAGCCTTGCTGGAAAACAAAAATCAGGTGTCTAATCTACTTTAAGATTCTTCAGGAGCAGTCACTTTGAGTACAACCTGATATGTTTTGACTTTACTCTGTCATGTTTTTGTAATGAATAGAAATGGCAATGCATTGTTAGCACTGCATCAATCAGTTTAGTTGTGTGAGAAAGGTAGAACCTGCAGACTTGTAGTCATCTTGTCATGAGGACCTTGCATGATGTTTATGTTGATTTTCAGGACAAGAAGAGCTGTTCCGAGAGCTCCGACGTCCAAGTCCCGAGACGCTGCTGATGCAGAGGGACTTGGAACGGGCTCGGGAGAACCTTCGACAGGAACAGGTGTTGTTTGAACAACAGAAACAGCAACTTGAGACACGGTTGAAGGATGAGGTATGTTACATTGTTGATGTGGTATGCCTTTTCATGGAGGAAGACCCTCGAGTATGCTTTATTGTGTTTCATGGGGAATATGTTTTCCGACAGTGTTTTCTGGTTGTTATTTCTATTAGCTGTTTATATTGGTCATTTCCTGCATTAGGGATCTGTGGTTTCTGGATTATTGCAGATGCAGTTGTTGGTGTGGGTGAAGTTGTGGTGATGAGTGCTGTTGTGATTGGTGTTGATGTAGAGGTAGATATGGTTGTTGATGTATGTATGAATGTAATATGAGAGTGTAGTGTTGATGTGGTTCTGGATGTTGATGTTGTGGATGTTGATGTGGTTCTGGATGTTGATGTTGTGGGTGTTGATGTGGTTCTGAATGTTGATGTTGTGGGTGTTGATGTGGTTCTGGATGTTGATGTTGTGGGTGTTGATGTGGTTCTTGATGTTGATGTTGTGGGTGTTGATGTGGTTCTTGATATTGATGTTGTGGGTGTTGATGTGGTTCTTGATGTTGATGTTGTGGGTGTTGATGTGGTTCTTGATGTTGATGTTGTGGGTGTTGATGTGGTTCTTGATGTTGATGTTGTGGGTGTTGATGTGGTTCTTGATGTTGATGTTGTGGGTGTTGATGTGGTTCTGAATGTTGATGTTGTGGGTGTTGATGTGGTTCTTGATATTGATGTTGTGGGTGTTGATGTGGTTCTTGATATTGATGTTGTGGGTGTTGATGTGGTTCTTGATGTTGATGTTGTGGGTGTTGATGTGGTTCTTGATGTTGATGTTGTGGGTGTTGATGTGGTTCTGAATGTTGATGTTGTGGGTGTTGATGTGGTTCTTGATGTTGATGTTGTGGGTGTTGATGTGGTTTTGATGTTGATGTTGTGGATGTTGATGTGGTTCTGGATGTTGATGTTGTGGGTGTTGATGTGGTTCTTGATGTTGATGTTGTGGGTGTTGATGTGGTTCTTGATGTTGATGTTGTGGGTGTTGATGTGGTTCTTGATATTGATGTTGTGGGTGTTGATGTGGTTCTTGATGTTGATGTGGGTGTTGATGCAGTTCTTGATATTGATGTTGTGGGTGTTGATGTGGTTCTTGATGTTGATGTTGTGGGTGTTGATGTGGTTCTTGATGTTGATGTTGTGGGTGTTGATGTGGTTCTTGATATTGATGTTGTGGGTGTTGATGTGGTTCTTGATGTTGATGTGGGTGTTGATGCAGTTCTTGATATTGATGTTGTGGGTGTTGATGCAGTTCTTGATGTTGATGTTGTGGGTGTTGATGTGTTGATGTTGATGTTGTGGGTGTTGATGTGGTTCTGATGTTGTGGGTGTTGATGTGGTTCTTGATGTTGATGTTGTGGGTGTTGATGTGGTTCTTGATGTTGATGTTGTGGGTGTTGATGTGGTTCTTGATGTTGATGTGGATGTTGATGCAGTTCTTGATATTGATGTTGTGGGTGTTGATGTGGTTCTTGATGTTGATGTTGTGGGTGTTGATGTGGTTCTTGATGTTGATGTTGTGGGTGTTGATGTGGTTCTTGATGTTGATGTTGTGGGTGTTGATGTGGTTCTTGATGTTGATGTTGTGGGTGTTGATGCAGTTCTTGATATTGATGTTGTGGGTGTTGATGCGGTTCTTGATATTGATGTTGTGGGTGTTGATGTGGTTCTTGATATTGATGTTGTGGGTGTTGATGTGGTTCTTGATGTTGATGTTGTGGGTGTTGATGTGGTTCTTGATGTTGATGTTGTGGATGTTGATGTGGTTGTGGATGCTGATGTTGTGGGTGTTGATGTTGTTGGTGATGATGTACTTCTTGATGTCTATGTAGTTGTTGATTTCAGTGAAGTTGTTAGTGTTCATGTAGTTGTGATATGGTTTTGGATGTTGATGTTGTTGGTGTTGATGTGGTTTGGGATGTTGATGCTGTGGGTGTTGATGTAGTTGTGATGTGGTTTTGGATGTTGATGCTGTGGGGTGATGTGGTTTTGGATGTTGATGTTGTTGGTGTTGATGGGGTTCTGGAAGTTGATGTTGTGGGTGTTGATGTAGTATTGATGTTGTTTTGGATGTTGATGTTGTGGGTGTTGATGTAGTTGTGATGTGGTTTTGGATGTTGATGTTGTTGGTGTTGATATAGTTGTGTAGTTGTTTTTTATGTTGATGCTGTGGGTATTGATGTACTTCTAGATGTTGATGTAGTTGTGGATTCGAGTGAAGTTGTTGTTGGAGGCTGTGGAGGCTGATGTATTTGGTTGTCTTCAGATTGACCGGAACCGAGAGCTGGTCCGACACTACGAGGAGCAGACACTACAGATGAAGGAGATGAACAGAGAGGTGATTGACCTACGCCAGCATCTCGCCATGACACACCAGGGTAGGTCAGGATACATGGATCATGCATTTCAAAGCACTTCTTTACAATGTTAACATTTTTTATCTTGCCTCACACATAAATGTCATTTTCTGATTGGCTGAGCGCTCTTCTATTATTTTCAATTTACCCTGCTTACAAGCGATTAACATTTTCTATATACCCCGCTGGGAATGCCAAACTCATTTGGTACTTTGTAGCAGTAATTCTTTATCTCGAATAATATTGAATCACGTATGATGTACGGAAATTACCGATGTTTTGCAAATGCAAATCGATGAAAGGGAGATAACTCTAAATTTGTTTTTCTTGTCGTCTTGTCGTCTGGTACTCCATACTATTATCCGATACCCGTCCTTCAAACAGTTCAAAATTACCATTGAGGTGTTCGGTAAGATAAATACGTTGTTCACTGGTCCCTCAGGACCCATGGGTTGATGTACCCTCGATGTTTCTTTATGTTCCCCTCTCCCTTCGGGCTCAGGGAACATAAACAAACATCGAGGGTACACCAGCCCATGTCCCCCTTGAGACCAGTGAACAATGTATAATGTCAGTTTTATTAAGTTCCAATTTGTAGCAAACTTGAAGCAATGAGACATGGTTAAGAATTATGGCCCTAAAATGCCACAATCAGTCAGTGAGGACAACCTTGACTGGAATTTTGCTTGCCATCACCACAGTATGATAGAGCTGGGTTTGCATGATTTTCACAGGCAGAGTTTGTGAGGAAGAGTAATTGTGTAAGTGTGGAAAAAGTGTAAAAATCTGACGGAGCCACAGATCATTTGAAGAAACAGCATTGTCTTTGTAATGCTGTACAGCCAAGTTCTTTGTGTGTCCTCCTGTAGCATTTTCATTTATGTACTCTTCATCTCTTATGTTGTTTATTTCAACTCCACAGCTCTCAACAATGAGGTGTACAGAAAGCCGCACACAGAGGAAGGTGGAGTGTAAGTCTGCATAGCTTCGTGTATGATATGTGGGTCTTAGGGGCCATAGTTTGCTGGGCAGAGTTGTGTCCCCTTGGAATTCCAGGAATCTATTGTTCCTAATTTAATCAGGTCAGGCTCGCTGACTTGGTTGACACATATCATCATATCCCAATTGCGTAGATTGATGGTTGTGATGTTGATCACTGGATTGCCTGGTCCAGACTTGATTATTTAATGATCACCACCATATAACTGGAATATTGCTAAGTGTGGCATTAAAACAAACACAGCACTCTGATCCACTCAGTGACCAAAACATGAGCATAAAGATATCTAAACTGTTCTACTTGTGTGAAGCAGGCAATTCTTACTGTTTTCAAGCCACATTGTAAATATCATGTAGTGATGCAGAAATAATTTTTACAAACATTTATGGAGATTTATTTGCGATGGATGCAAGACAAAATCAAACTTCAACTTTAAGTCAGACATACATCAATAAACTGTCATGTTTTCATGATTTCAGACTTCCAAGTGCATCTCACATATCAGTAGGCCAGGAATCAAGACTTCGAGACACGTCTAATGTACGACTGTCGAGTAGTTTAGGTCGTCTCTCCAGCAGTCAAGGTCATCCTGGTCGATATGACGCCCGGGATGTGTACAATGATATTGATGTTGACCTTGACTTTGGTGGTGGTCGTCATGGAGAGATATCCGAGGAGGAGGTGTCGTCAGCAGCATCAGCTGATGTTGTAGCGGAGGCTAAGTATCGACTAAAGAGTCTGGAGAAGGAAGCTCAGGTGAGAGACAGTTCTCGGGTTCCTCATAAAAGACAGGTGTGAGCTGTTTGGAATAAAAACAGGGGAAATAAACTTGTTGCTTGGGAGGATCTCTTAGAAATGTGGATTTTCAGTTTCTAGTACAAAAACCGCCTTTCGCATGTTGGACAAAGTCACTGCTCCAGTAGCATTTGATTCATTCCTGGCCTTCTTTTCTGCTTCGAGAGTAACTTAATACAAGCATAATAAGTGTAAATACTGGTTATGTCTTTCTTTATAAGATTTTCCTCTTCTTTGTCAGCAAGAAGTGATGAAACATGCAAAACAGCCTGATATTAATTCCTAAACAAAGTTATGGAAATTGAAAAGCAGAGGTCTTAGTAACTGATAATGGGTGGAGATTCATGTGGTGTATCCTGTATTGTTACAGAATTTAGAGCGAGCATATACCGACTTCCACTACCAGATGACCAACGTAGCTTCTGTCCCGGACAGACTGTCCCCCACACGGGTCAGCCAGGGAGCATCCCGAGGTAGGAGACACTGTCACACGGCAGCAGCAATAATGGTGATTGATTGATTGATTGATTGAGTAATATTACAGCTGTATGGCAGCTGTAAATACCTGAGTCTGGACCAGAGAATCCAGTGATCAACATCATGAACATCGATCTGTGCAGTTGGGATACAATGACATGTGTCAACCAAGTCAGCTAGCCTGACCATTCGATCCTGTTAGTCGCCTCTTACAATAAGCGTGGGTTGCTAAAGAAAAATCTAACCCGGATCTTCATGGGTCGGAGATTTAATTAATGATGTTACATTGTCTGTAAAGAACATATCTGATGTCATCACCAGACTGGTAAGATCATAGAACATGGTAACAATGGTAAAATTATGAAACACTTTCGGAAAATAATTGTGCTGATTTCCTGTTAATTTGCATTTAATATCGCTTTTGGTTTCGTTGGGCGGTGAGGTAGCCTAGTGGTTGATGGGTTCCCTTGTCATGTGAAAGGTCCCCTTATGGATAAAATAAGTGAATCTGATTTCAGGTGTCACCTGCCTGGATTTTAGTGGAATATTGCGACAGAGTAATATAATAATCAGTCACTTACACTTCAGATTTTGGAAATGATTGATCAGATTTGAGTATGTTCTTAAGTCTCTACAGCATCCTCTCTGTTGCCTAGGTTCCCATCATGCTGAGTCCCCTGCTCAGAGTCCCATCATGCAAATTCGACCCATGTCTTCCACTCCATACCAGCAGGCCAGCAAGAAGTCGTCATCGGCTGAATATGACAATGGTAACTGCACTTAAACTAAAAGTACCTTTCTGTTTCTATAATAAGCATAAAACATAACTCTTTCTGTTGTATTTGCTTTTGTTTAGTGGTGATCCCAAAATAGTTTCAAAGCTTCAACGATTAAACTGCAAGTTCAACGATTAAACTCCTAGTTTCTACACGCAACATGAAGCACGACTACCATGATCTACCTTGTCATGACTCTTATCCTCACAGAACTTGTTCCTAGTTAGGATAGAAAACAGAGACACACTGAACTGAAAAATACATGTAAAACAATGCATAAATTTCTGAGTTTTTCAGTCATGCATTCATGTTGTATTTGCAGATAGTTTTGAGGAGTTGAGTGTAGGTCGAGACAAGGGCCGGGGATCGGTGGAGCCTGTGCCGAGGTTCGACATCTCCAACATGTCTGATGATGGGCAAGACAAGGGGTAGGTGGGGACAGGCTTACTTTGACTTATGAACAATGTGTTCTGCTGATGTGCTGTTAAAAATCACACAGAGCTGGAACTTATTTTGTTTTGTGTGAAAGGTGGTGAATTTAAGTCAATTTTCTCATTAGTCCAAATAAAACCATCTTTAATTTAGTTCTTGTCAAATCAGACCAAGAGTAAAGGTAATCCCAGTGGATTGAGGTGTTTGCTCAAGCTGCTGTAAACTTGAATTCCAACTCAGGTACAGTTTTGTTGCTGTCCGTTGTCATGGCGTTTCTGCAATACTTGATCAGGTGTCATGACCTTGCTAGCATGTAAAAGGTAGGCTGAAGTTCCACAGTGCTGTTACATAACTCCAACACTAACAATCTTTATGATCTTACCCATTATGGATGTCTATTTCCAGAAGCCTTTGCACTGTATACATGTGAACAATGAAATGGCCAACACAACCTGCTCAGATTAGGAATTGAACAAAACTTTCTGAAATTGTTTAAAGTGATTGTATACAGTTAACTACGGTTATAACAAATTCAAAGGAACCAACAATATTATTTCATTTGTACCTGCAGTTTGTTGTGCACATTTTGATGGAAGTATACCGCAAGTGGGAGGGACAGTTCGCAATATCTGTCTGTTCACTATGAGCGTGTTTGTTATAAACATAGTTTACTGTATGTTCAGATGAATGATAGCTTAACATTGTTCATTTTAACAGTTGCATCAGGGGTGGAAATAACTTTAAAATTGCTAGTGTACTCTGGTACAGTATCACATGTAAACTCACTTGCCCCGATAAGTTTTCCACTATACCGGCCGTCGTCTTGTTGATTTCTTAAATAAACAACATAATTAACATTAGAAAGTCAACTGGACACCGATACTGTGTGATATACAAATTGGCTTGCCCGACAGAAAAAAACACTGGACTCGGACGTCGGGCAATGTGTTATTTCCACCCCTGTGCATCTCTGGGACTGTAACACAACAACATAACCACATTGTAGTTTGAAGAATGAACCTTTTCACTCCCCTTAGCCTATTGTACGTATTCAATAATGTCGGAAGTCAAAATTTCAAGTGTAACTCCGCAAAAATCTCCACGTTAGCCATTTGTGTATGTCTGGTAACTGTTACATTTATGTTTCAAAGTTTTATGCAACTTTCCCATAAGTTTGACATTTCAAGTGGTACAATGAAAGATCTTTTTGTGAATTACCCTTTTGGAGAAAAGGCTCTTTAACATAACAAATATGACTTGTTAAATATGGAGCTGTTTAGGATGATGTGAGATTGATGTGTTGAAGGGAGACAACTCTGTATTTTCAGAAAGGAGATGCGAGTGAAGCACCGTCCGATCACAGTATCAGACCTGAGGCGAGACCAGGGTCTCCTGGCATCATGGTGGTAGCTGCATCTGAGTCAAGCGATGGACATAGTCCGGGTGATGGTGAGTGATTCACAGTACTCAGTCCTTAGCCTGTCACCTGCAGTTTAAGCTATTTGACAAAGTTGGCCTAAACTCATCACATGCAGTCTTAGCTATTTCATGGTGTTGTTCTTAACCTGTCACCAACGCCTTGAGCATGTAGTAGGTGTGCGGATATGTGTCCTATATAAATATCTTATAATAAAAAAAGAAAAAAAAATATTAACATGTAGTCTATGCTATTTCACAAAATATACTGTGCGCTACTTTTAGATGAATAACTTTGCAGATATAAACAGAGACCCTTGAAGTATTGTAGTTCCAACACAGTTGCCTGTCAATCGTGGCTGGTAAAATGAGCTGTATGGAGTTTAAACCTCTGAATGTTTTGGGAGGTGGGGTAGCCGAGTGGTTAAAGCATTCGCTCATCACGCCGAAGACCTGGGTTCGATTCCCCACATGGGTAGAATGTGTGAAGCCCATTTCTGGTGTCCCCTGCCGTGATATTGCTGGAATATTGCTAAAAGCGGCGTAAAACTAAACTCACTCACTCACTCTGAATGTTTTTAACTGACATCTTGCCAAAGTCTAAACCCACCAGTTCGTATTGATCATCCATAAGCTAGTTCTTCAAGCCATTCTTGATTTTCCCAGACCGTTTACACCGAGTTGAAACACAGGGTGAACGTCATCAGAGGGAGGATCTAACAACACCAGTTCTTCCTCCCCCAAGTCTTCCTCCAGTCTCCCTGGACGCTGCATGGAAAGGTAGGTAACTCCTGACACTTTCAGACAAGACAGAATGTCACTTGTTGGAAAGTCCCCAAAGTTCCTGAATAATTCATCCAAATCAGATCAAGAGATAATCATCACATATATAAATGCCAAAATTTATAGAAGCCAATTCCTATTGATAAGTATGATGAAATAAAGAACTGCCCAGACTGCTTAGTGAAACAGGGGCCCCAAAGCCTAGTGGTAGAATAGTCTGGCTCGTCAGTCTGAAGACCAGGGTTCGATTCCCCATGGTGCACAATGTGTTAACCAGCCATTTCTATTATCCCCAGCCAGGATATTGCTGGAATATTGCTAAAAGCAGGGGTGGAAAAACTAAAAATTCTAGTCAGTCAGTCAGTAAATCTTGCCCTGAAAACATTTTCCACTCAAAATAAACTCTGTAGAATAGTCTGAAATCAGGGATATCATTCAGTGCAATATTGGAACACCAGCAAACACCAGCAATTCTATTATCACCCAATCAGGAAAAAGTCCATTAGTGGAAGAGGCCTTATAATGTTTTGGGCTTAGTGAAGACATGAATGTAAAAATATTTCCCTGGTTAACCAGTCTAATGCTACAAAATCACCTGTAGTATATTTATAGGACCTGATTATTGAACCCTATACTTTTGTGTGGAGTCCAGTGTGTTCACATATAGGGTTTATGTTAAGAATATGTTACTTCATAAGCCTCGTGTCCCTAGGTGGGGAGGTAGATTTAGAGGAAGAGCGGAGGAAGTTGGAGGAGGAGCATGAACGTCGTGATGAAGAGAGACGCAGGATAGAAGAAGAAGCTTTTGAAAAGGAACAAGAAGAACTCGATCGACTAGAAGTAGGTTTCTTATTCCCAAAATGAGTGCTGATGCAGTGTCAAGTAATACTCACTCACTCACTCACTCACTCACTCCTCCTCCTCCTTTGACTCACTCACTCATCTTGAAGCAAAATGAAATTCCATCATCTTCATTAGAGGCGTCACAATTGCCAGGGAGTCTCTGTTTTATTTAATGTGAAAGGGCAGAGAATCTTGAATGAGGACAGGCCCCCAGTAACCTAAACTGTCTGTAGGAGTCAACTATGTGAATAGAGTGGTCAGGATTGGTGACATGGTTTATTCCATCTTATCATACCTTGATGGCATGGATTGTTGCTCCTAATGTTAATCACTGGATTGTCTGGTCAGGATTGGTGACATGGTTTATTCCATCTTATCATACCTTGATGGCATGGATTGTTGCTCCTAATGTTAATCACTGGATGTTAATCACTGGATTGTCTGGTCAGGATTGGTGACATGGTTTATTCCATCTTATCATACCTTGATGGCATGGATTGTTACTCATAATGTTAATCACTGGATTGTCTGGTCAGGATTGGTGACATGGTTTATTCCATCTTATCATACCTTGATGGCATGGATTGTTACTCATAATGTTAATCACTGGATTGTCTGGTCAGGATTGGTGACATGGTTTATTCCATCTTATCATACCTTGATGGCATGGATTGTTACTCATAATGTTAATCACTGGATTGTCTGGTCAGGATTGGTGACATGGTTTATTCCATCTTATCATACCTTGATGGCATGGATTGTTACTCATAATGTTAATCACTGGATTGTCTGGTCAGGATTGGTGACATGGTTTATTCCATCTTATCATACCTTGATGGCATGGATTGTTACTCATAATGTTAATCACTGGATTGTCTGGTCAGGATTGGTGACATGGTTTATTCCATCTCATCATACCTTGATGGCATGAATTGTTACTCATAACGTTAATCACTGGATTGTCTGGTCAGGATTGGGTTATTTAGAGGCTGCTGTTATAAAGTGATGGAGTTCTTCATTGGTTGCTTCAGGGGCGAGATCCACCCAAGGCACACAGTAGTGCAGGAAGAGGAGAGACGCAGGAGAAGTCAGATGATGACGGGATAGACCCAGTGATGAAGCAGTACATGGCCATGGTGCAGAAAAACAAGGAACATGAGAAACAGGTGAGTGATGAGTAACAGGTTCTTGATGGGAAACATAGGGTTGATAAGCAGTGAATAGGAATGGGAGGAGGATGAGAAATGGGAAGTGATGTGCAGGTGGGTGATGAGGAATAGACAGTTAATGAGGAACAGAGGGGTGATGAGCTGTGAATAGGAATACGTCGGTTATGAGAAACAGGAAGATGATGAGGAACAGGTAGTTGATGTGGGACAGAGGGGTGATGAGGGACAGAGGGGTGATGAGCTGTGAATAGGAATAGGTCGGTTATGAGAAACAGGAAGATGATGAGGAACAGATAGTTGATGTGGGACAGAGGGGTGATGAGGGACAGAGGGGTGATGAGCTGTGAATAGGAATAGGTCGGTTATGAGAAACAGGAAGATGATGAGGAACAGATAGTTGATGTGGGACAGAGGAGTGATGAGGGACAGAGGGGTGATGAGCTGTGAATAGGAACAGGAGGGTGATGAGGGACAGGAGGTGATGAGGAACTGATGGGTGATGTGGGACAGAGGAGTGATGAGGGACAGAGGGGTGATGAGCTGTGAATAGGAATAGGTCGGTTATGAGAAACAGGAAGATGATGAGGAACAGATAGTTGATGTGGGACAGAGGAGTGATGAGGGACAGAGGGGTGATGAGCTGTGAATAGGAATAGGTCGGTTATGAGAAACAGGAAGATGATGAGGAACAGATAGTTGATGTGGGACAGAGGAGTGATGAGGGACAGAGGGGTGATGAGCTGTGAATAGGAACAGGAGGGTGATGAGGGACAGGAGGTGATGAGGAACTGATGGGTGATGAGGATGAGACAGTTGATGGGGAACAGAAGGGTGTTGAGCTGTGAATAGGAGCAGGAGGGTGATGAGGGACAGGAGGTGTTGAGGAGGAGAGGGGCTATGATCAAGTACTGTAAACGTATTATATATCGCGCAGGTTTTATTTTCACACAAAATATGTTCCTGCGGAAATTTATACACAGCGAATAAACCTTTCATTCATTCAATGTATTATTTGCAGGGATTAAGATTACCGTGTATTTGAGCCGGAAATTGCAATCAGCTGTGCACACATATCCCGGCGATCAAGTTCAAACATGCACAATTCCTAAGGTTTTCATCATGTTCATTGTGTTCTTAAGGGGGCGGTGGGGTAGCCTAGTGGTTAAAGCGTTCGCTCGTCACGCCGAAGACCCGGGTTCGATTCCCCACATGGGCACAATGTGTTAAGCCCATTTCTGGTGTCCCCCGCCGTGATATTGCTGGAATATTGCTAAAAGCGGCATAAAACCAAACTCAGTCAGTCAGTGTTCTTAAGAGTAGAAGTGACAGGGCTCCAGATCATTTTTCAACATCAGTCGTACATACGCCTTACTTTTTCAATACAGGAGTACTGGAAAACCTTAAGAGTACAGTTAGAGTACTGAATGGAATTTAATGGCGTATCAGTAATCTTGTGTTTCATTTCATATATGCACCACAACATTGCTACTCTTGTGTAAACAGGTCAATAAACAATAAAACAATATTTTTTCTGATAAATACGTCTGTAAATGATTCTAAGACCGTACACCATTCCTGTGGTGCGTATCGGCTACGTTTTCTAAATTATTACCTACCGTATCATGCATATTTTTTATCCGTACATACGCCGAAACAGCCCTTATCTGGAGCCCTGAACAATGATACTTTAAAGTTTAATTTCTCTTCATTTGAAAACGGATGGTGATAGATTGTATGACCTTATTTGCTTTGTTCCAGGAGAGCTCCAAGGTTTGTATAGAAGCTATGGTTGTTGCTTGCATGTAGTCAGTCTTACTGGGGTCAGGTGGTCAGATGCATGTTAATCCCAGAGACTAGAACAGATCTAACCTATACCATTGCAAAGGGTTTACAATGTCTGTAGTTCTAACTTGTAGTTGGAGGTAGAACTAAATTTGATGTACATTACCTATGATATTGCCATGATTGCATGTTGGCGGAGGTACTGACTCAGCACAATCACCAGGGCCTAGATTTTCGAAGCTCTCTTAGCGTTAAGATAGTCGTAATTGCCATTCATTAACATTAACTTATGAATATCTTAGCACTAAGAGAGTTTCGAAAATCTAGGCTCAGGACTAGATGTTGGAATGCTGGTCAATGTTGTATTGTATTTTCAGTGTAAAATACAATTGTTGTTTAATCCTTGTTCGTGCACATACAGAATCACAATCTGATAACATCTATATGATCCTTTGTTAGAAGTACAAGGACCAATGTCCAGTCTCATTTATATCTGATTGTTTACCTGTTACTGTTACTAGGGTGAAGATCAAATGTTCACCTCCATCCTGAATCAAGGATGATTGAATTCTTTATCAACCAGATAACTACAGCTTTTAAAAAAATGAGTTGGTCTCATAATATTATTCTTACTACTTCAAATCAGAAATATTTGTTGTAGCAACAGAAAACTCCAACAAACACAATATAGGTTCAATCGCTCTCCATTGTGGGTGTAGATTCCTTGGTGCTCAGAAATGACAGTATGTATAAAATATTCACATCAATATAATATAAAGAGCAATTGTCTTTTTTGTACCCAAAACACTGAGTCAGTATTTCTTTTCAAGATGAAGAAATCAGATATATCGTAATCTGAATGCTTCACCCTTTTTCAATAGTGAAGTTGTTTGATCTTCACACAGCAATCTGTTGTATTGGAGTAAAAGATCTTATTTTTCCTTATCCTGACTCATGCTCTTTTGCTTGTCCCCTTCCTCTTGCGAACATAGTGGAACACTTGTATCTCCTTAATTGAAGCTCCCTTCAATGTAAAATCACTAATTGGTACTCACCCACGAGTTACCTCCCCTGCCGTAAGCTCGGGAACAGGTGTCGCCACCCTCTGGCCTCATGCTTCACTCTCTCCTTCTTCGCCCAGTGAGCAGGATGTGAGAGCTTCTGTGTCTCCTTACACACTATATCCTTTGGTTTTTCTTAGTTAGTTACCTTTATAGTTTACTATAAAGGTATAGCTAGTATCCTTCAGTTATTTGCGCTAATAATTAATCGTATTTCTACTGTTTATTCACGGAGTTCGCGATTGTTCAGCTAGTTTTACATTGATGAAAACTGTACTATTTGTAGATTACGCTTTTCCGCCATGGGATCCGCATGTGGTATGCCCTAGTTGTACTACTTTGTGCGCACTCACTCTTGCAGTTACTGCATAAATTTAACCAATTCTGCCTTTGATAAATACCATCTTTATGCCTTGAGACGGTTGCAGATAGGTCACGCAAAACTAGGTGTAGACATGGCCGATACGCCGGATTGCCCATCCAGTCAACTGCTGTCGAGTGATCCCCTCCCGCCTGGTGTTCTGCTTGAGACCCCATCGGAAGAGGGACGGGGATGCAGTCCGTCACCTCTAAGAAGCGACCGCCTCTCCAGACATCCAGTCATCGCAGACAAAGTCCAAGAGGGCCTCAACGTCTTCTCAACGCAGACTTCGTACTTCCAGGGCAGCGCCTTCCTCCAAAGGAAATTCCACGGTCATCGAACTTTCTCAGACGATCGCTCCAGCAGCAGAATTGGGCCTCTACGATGACCAGCCGATCATCATACCCGACATACGCCACAAGAAGCTTACCAGTGACAGCGACAGTGACGCCAGCAGAGATCAACAAGCAGCCTGATGCCTCTACACTGATGTCAGACGAGATCGCTGAGGGCCCCACCGCTTAACACAGCAGAAAGGGCACCATCTACTACGCCGCAGATCATCCCAAACGATCTTATGAAACAGATCATGATTATGATGGAAGGCCACTATAGACTGGAGAAGCAGCCATCCCAGGGTCCGAAGCTCGCTGGAAGGCTCCAACGAGACAGCACCCCAGGGCACCATCTGTCAACGTAGCAGCCACTGACAATGCAGCCTTCGCTAAGGAAGTCACAGACCACCTCGAAGGACCCAGATGTACAGCTCTTCGCTGGCTCGGCTAAGGCGGAAGAATCATCACCTTCTTCGGCGTCATACTCAGATATGGAATCTGATCACCAGACCACACGCAAAGCCTTCGCTGGTCATATCATCGCTCCCCAGGACCGACGATATCGAAGCTTCGCTGGCTACGTCACGAAGGACACCTGAACCCAGATCGCTCTTCATCTAAAAGATCAGCAAGGGACTACACAAGAGCTTCGCTGCTTATCAGTCCCCTCATAGATCGCCAAGAAGGTCAACCTATCGATATAGATCACCAAGACGATCACCTCACGGCCATCACCACGCCGATCACCTCACAGGTCTGCACATAAGCCTACAACTAGATCTCCACAAGCGCCAAACGATATAGAGATAGAGCCACACAGCCCTACATCAGAAGAGCAACAACCTCTTATCTATGATGATGGAATGGAAGATGATGGAGGAATTATTTTCAGATGCAGAGATAAGATATTGATGGTCAATAATCTAGATCTTCATCACCTTCCAAGAGTGGCAATAAGGCGCAGACTTATCTGATGAAAGAAGATGACGCGAGATGCTATTACACTACCCCCAATCGACCCGATTATGCAGTACCTCAGAACCTAGATACAGCATTTAACAAAGCCACAAAGGTTCAGACGCCACATCTGCCAAATTTCAGCCAAGAAGTTCTCCACGCATAATATGGAACCCTTCTTCAAAGCACAAGACATCGATGAGAACTATAAGCTGATCTCCGATGCCAAGAACAAGTACTACAAGATTGATGATCGGAAATTGGTTCAGATAGAAACCATGATTTGTATGCGATGTTCTTCGGTCTAAATAGATCTAGAACAATAATGAGACACTTATCTCCAGATTTCGAACACCTACACTCTGAAGATGACAGAATGATTTACTCGGCCCTACTGATGCAAAAGAAGGACCAGCAGTTTTAACAGATCATCTGACGCCTGTCTCAGCAGCACTGACCTTAGCTCGTCGTCAAGGCCTTCCTAGCTTCCTGCAACTGGGGTGAGAACTTTACAGCTCCACTATATACAGCCCGTGGTCTTCCCCATCCATATTTGACGGAGGAATAGACACAGTCTCCAAAGAAGTCACCAAGGATTCTAGAGAAGTCCTGATGATTAAATCGATGGACACGCTTAGCCAGTGTCATTCGACAGACTTCACAAAGATACTCAGGGAGATCTAAATTCACGGGCCTACAAAGAGCTAGAGACAGGAAGATTGCCAGTTCCAGGGGAAGAGATTCTTTCGGCTTCATATGGCAACTATAGAGGAGGGTCAGGACGCAGGCAGGACACCCAGAGGTTCCCGCGAACTATAAACGCTGAAAGACAGGTTCGAACGACTGGAGTCTTCCACCCCCAGCCGCTCCAGTACAACCGCCACAAGTGGGTGGACGCCTTCAACTACACTGGGAAAACTGGGAATACTTCAAGACACCTATGTCTCCAACATTCTTCAACGCTGATTTCGTGATCCCACTACAGACCAAGCCTCCACTAACAGTCAACCCTCACAAGTTCGAGGTAGAGGCACAACAACTACTAAAGTTAAGAGAGGCGGTTACATTACTCCTAACCAAGCAGGCCATAGAAGTAATAGAGCAAGGAAACATCGAACCAGGTTTCTACTCCCCAGTTTTCCTAGTACCCAAGAAGAACTCCAAGGAGAAATACAGACTCATTTACAACATGAGCTTCTTCAACAAGACTTACTTAAACAAACCACCCAGGTTCACTATGCTACATCTACCGCAGCTACGGTAAATGATTCGCCCCATGGACTACATGGGCAGTATAGATCTACAAGATGCTTATCTGCACATCCCAATACATCCCTAATCCAGGAAATACCTTCGGTTTACGCTTAGACGGGTTACATTACCAGTGGAAAGTACTCCCATTCGAATAGCATCAGCCCCATGGTTATTCACGAGGATAACTAAACCGATTGTTATCTATCTACATCGCCAAGGGCTACGCAGTGCTCTTCCTCGACGACGGGATACAAGTAGATCAAGATCCACAGCATCTCAAACTACAGTTAAACTACATCATAAAGCTACTAACACAGCTGGGATGGTTAGTAAACCACACAAGTCGGACCTAGTACCATCGCAAGATCTGCAATTCCTAGGAACCGATTTATCACCAATCTCAACCGTGATAGTCGTATTCAGAAGACCGCTGGCTCAAGATCCAACAGATCATTCCACCAGCTCTACTGTCACCGCTACCACTTCGACAATGGCAGAGCTTACTAGGTCTTCTAACATCAGCCCAAGACTTGACAGTCATAGGCAGATTACAGTTACGCCCGCTACAGGTCTTCGCCAATACACATCTCGACGCACCTACAACCATTCAGTCTACCGATACATCTCAGACCTCATCTATTATGGTGGACAAAGAAATCGAATGTCTGGCGAAGGGATTTGTTTAGCAGAGCAGGAATTCAAAACCCATCTATATGTAGACGCTGCCGCCCAAGGTTGGGGAGCTCATCTCTCCAACCGACGGCATCAGGGTTATGGACTCAGCTAGAAAGCAACTCCACATAAACGATTAGAGATGAAAGCTGTAATCAACGCCATAAGACATTGGAGCAACATTCTACAGAATGCGCACCTGATGATACATACCGACAACTCGACAGTGGCGCTTTATGTGAACAGACAAGGCTCAACGAGATCGCTGGTAACCTTTTGAATTTAACCTTTCAACTGTTCGAATTAATCCAAGATCTAAATCTACATGTCAAAGCATGCCACATTCCCCGAGCCAGGAATATACTAGCAGACGACTCTCTCGCCACATCTACCGTCACGACAGAATGGATGCTCAATACAGAGATATTTGCACAGATAATCAAGTAAAATAGGAGCCGCTAGTAGATCTATTCGGCCACAAGGTTCAACAATCAACTACGACATTCGTGGTCACCAGTGCCAGACCCACAAGCATGGGCAACAGACTTAAGCATTTCATGGAAGGCCTCAATGCGTACGCAGCGTTGCTCGCTTCAGCAATAATACCTCTAGTATTACAGAAAATCAACCAAACGCAGAGCCTACAACTCACTTTGGTCGCTACTATTGGTCGGGCCAGAACGCAGTTTCCCGCCTTAATACAAGATATCGGGTCAACCGGCACTAGAACTACCTGCCGCGAAACCTGTTAATACATCCTCACACCAAACAGGTGCACAGAAACCCAGAAGTATTCAAACTTCACGAGTGGACTGTATTAAAATGTGTTTAAACAAGAGAGATATTTCTACCAGGGCGGCAAAGCGTCACGCTTGCCTTTACGATACTAACGCTTAGACTTGTACGATGACAAGTGGCAAAGTTTCAAAAATTATGCAACAAACAAGGGTTTTACAGCTTAGAGATGCTACGCGATCCTCAAGTGGCAGACTATTTGTGTTACTTACGGCAAAACAAACATTTAAAAGGCTCGGACATTGTCAACATATCTTGCCGCTTTAGTTCTGTGATTTCTATGAGAACGGGTGTTAAATTAACAAGAACACCAGAGTTACTGGCCTTACTACTTGCTTTCCTCGGATTGAGGACCAAAAGCTGAAATTCCACTTCCAGCTTGGGATCTGAATGTAGGTTTTACCTACACCCTCACAAGTGAGGATTACTTAACCATTGAATCGCATAACGCTTGAATTTCTCTCACAGAAAACAGTCTTCCTGTTATCGCTAGCCACGGCAGCCAGAATATCTGAAATTCATGCTCTAGATTATGAGAGGATACAGTTTGATGAAAATCAAAAGACAGCGCACCTGGGATTAAGATGGGATTTCATCGCTAAAATCAACTACCAGGTCAACCAGACAGGTTATTTCCACATCCCTGCGCTTATCCTCAATTCTTGATCTCAAGATACATTGACTTATCTCTATGCCCAGTACGAGCCTCATAATCTATTTACGCCGTTTCCAAAACAAGGCTAAGATCGCCAGAAGATTGTTCATCCCGCTATCGCCTACAAATCAGACAGAAGTCTCTCGCACCACCATATCAATATGGATAAGAACTGTCATTTTACGCCACTCTATAAGGCAGCAGGATTGACCCTCCAACAGCATCAAATCCTCATGAAATCAGGGCATTGGCATCCACCCTTTCATGGTAACTGTTCATTGAATACAATTATGGAAGGATGCTTTTGGAAATCTAACATGGTGTTTGCTAATCACTATCTCAGAGACATCACCACCGAGGACGCCTCTGGCATTCATCATTTCGGTCCTTTGGTCCTCGCCAGCAATTGATAGTCCCTCGAGAGGCTTAATATTCACCCCCACTGCAGATTATTAGATATATGATACATATATTCACTAGCTTATAACCCATGGAGTTCTAGGGCTATGTACATATTTAGCTTAGGTTATTCAACCTTAAGCTCATACTGAGTTATATTCAGTGTACAGCCACGTTAGAGTAGCAGTTTAGATATATATATTGATATATCAGTATATTAGTAAGGTAATACCCCACTTATAGTGTATATATCTATGGCTTATTATAAGGAAATATCCTAAGTCTCAATGCCTTATGAAGTTCCCGCAGGGGGGCTATTACAATATCACTTACTTAAATCACTAATTAATCCAAAGTATTCTGTTTACCCACCACCTCCCGTGGATTCTACAAGTTAAAGATATGAGTCAGGATAAGGAAAAATATGTAATTTTCTGAGTAAAATTGATATTTTATACTTATCCTGACTCATGAGGTTAGTTCTCCCATCCTCCCCACATAACACTTTTTGGATTTCCTGTAAATTCAAGTGTTGGGCTCGCAAAATCAGGAGAGAGTGAAGCATGAGGCCAGAGGGTGGCGACACCTGTTCCCGCGCTTACGGCAGGGGAGGTAACTCGTGGGTGAGTACCAATTAGTGATTTTACATTGAAGGGAGCTTCAATTAAGGAGATACAAGTGTTCCACTATGTTCGCAAGAGGAAGGGGACAAGCAAAAGAGCATGAGTCAGGATAAGTATAAAATATCAATTTTACTCAGAAAATTACATATTTGTTATGACATTGGACTGATGACAAGCAATATTTTGTTACGTTATGTTCACAATCTACATTCTTTTTGGATTTCGACATAGCTTCAAGCTGCTATAAATGCGGCTTATGTATATGATGCTGTTTCATGAATTGTATGCTTACATGATGTTGGCGGTCAACTGTTAAGATTGTTTTTCACAATATTTTCTTCCAATGGATCTCCAGGCCAGATTAAGTTCCCAGTACATCATTATTGTCAGAAAATGCTGCTAAAATGTGGCTAAGCATGTTAGGCTCTGTAACGAGATGCTTGTTTTTGTAACCTGATTCTTTCACAGATCTAAACATGATCAAACACATTTTAGCCAGAATATTGCTGACTGTTGCTCTCAGAGTGATATTTTAGCTGCAGAGATGCAGGAAGTAACTTCAAGAGGGTATTTCTCCATATTATCTCTCCCACTAGAAATATTGACATGTGAGATTGCTTCCCTGAGTGACGTTGTTGTGTCAAAAGTGCTATGGTTGGACAGTCAGATAAGTGACCATCCATAATGTATGGCTAGGGTGGGCTTATGATGAGTTTAAGGGGTAAGGGGGGAATTTCACCCGTTTTGTTCAGGGGTTGGGGTGGGGTGACTTCAATTTTATACACATGTACTAGGGGTGGGAGGATAATTGATTTTGTACATAACAGGGGGGACTTACTTTGTATGTAAAATTTAGGATGGGGGGGGGTGGCTTTCACATTGTACATGCTTCTCCACATAAATCATCATCATCCCCCTAGCCATAAATTTTGAACAGTCCCTAAGGTGCCATTATTTTCAGTACTGAGGTATGTCCCTGAGACATGTGCCAGACATCTATTGTGGGTTTGAATCCTTGTTTGCACTGATTATGTTTCTTGGTTTGTCTGTACCATACTTAAGCTCTTACGTAAATCTATAAACATCCACTGCCTGCAACACATGTTTCCCTCCCACATCAAGATGACATGTGGTATTATGGAATTACTGTTAAGTTCAGCTTTGACCCAACTTGCATGAGTAAACTTGTAAATTTGTACATTATTCTGAAGAATTTGTTAGATATCATCAGTGATAGGAATGATCTAGTCAGAGATCAGTGCCAGTCCTGAAGGATGTGAAACAGAGACACTTTGTAACCCCTCTCTTCATCATCAGGATCAGTGTCAGATGGTGTGGGGCGGTGGGGTAGCCTAATGGTTAAAGCGTTGGCTCGTCACGCCGAAGGCCCGGGTTCGAATCCCCACATGGGCACAATGTGTGAAGCCCATTTCTGGTGTCCCGCCATGATGTTGCTGGAATATTTCCTGAAAGCGGCGTAAAACCAAACTCAGTCAGTCAGTCAGTCAGCAGTGTCAGATGTTTGGTGTTCATGTTGCAGGTTGCTCAGAAGACTGTTGACACATGGTCACAGGGTCACAAGGTGAGTTCTCAAAGAATGATAAGCATCGCTAGGTATAATATCGCCAAAAGGCCTGCTGCATTAGTTATCCATATGTAGTGCTGAAATCGCTTACTGATCATAAAGTGAATTATTTTGCCAGATGTTAAGAAATTGTTACGATTTTAAAACATTTTTGCCTGTATCTGTATACATTGGTGCGCTGCCTGCCTTGTGATTCACCCTAAGCCAACTGTGTTACATGTCAACTTTCAGCAGCAGGAAGGATCTCCATTGCATACAGATAATGACATCTCCATTGCTGATGACCACCACAGGTAAGGGGTGTTCATAGTCGTCCATGCTGAGGGATTCCGGGTTAGAGTAGATCCCCAGCAGTCTATGGTTGTCATACAAGAACTAAATTGAATGGATGATCAGGTCATCTTTTGCTCATTATGTTACTCATTGATCATTTGATCCATTTTCTACACCTATTAGATCAGACACAGGTTCACATCTACCCGGTACTTGTCAATCTACTCCTGTGTATGTCTTGTAAAAGATACATTATAAAGCAAAGCCCACTAGAAATGCACTTTTAAGAAAGCCTTCATTCATCCATTAATATTATAAGAGGTGATGAATGGGATCAGGTTTTCAGCCTTACAGCCTTGCTTGTAGTGTTGCAGGGGCGGATACAGCTTTTTGAGAAAGGGGGTGCACACATCATTTTCACCCGAGTTTCAATGGTCATTTAACAAACTTTCAGCACAAAAGGGTGTGTGTGCACCCCTGCACCCCCCATCAGGATCCGCCTATGTGTTGACACATGTCATCGGTTCCCAATTGCACAGATCAATGCTCATGTTGTTGATCACTGGATTGTCTGGTCCAGACTCGATTATTTACAGACCGCCGCCATATAGCTGGAATATTGCTGAGTGCAGCATAAAACTAAACTCACTCACTCATTTGCTTGTGGCATGTCCTTCTATACTAGTATCATCGATTGATGAGCATGACCACCTTTTATTCACATTTTATATTCTTTCCAATATTTATTGTCAGTTGATATGACTAACTCCCTGTAGTGTGAATTGGTCCCCAGCAATCTGTGCTGGTCGTCAGAGGGGAACAAATGGATTTGGTCAATTGTAGTGACTTGGTTCCTGTGGTAGACCCACTGTACTGTGATAGTATGGGCCATTGTCTTCAATATTGAAAGTGGAGTCCAGAATTGACTACACTGTGACTGCTGGCATTAGCTGGAATATTGCTGAATGCAGTGTCAAACAACAAAGAAACATTGGAGTGAGTTTAGTTTTATGCCACACTCAGCAATATTCCAGCTATATAGCGGAAAGAAACATTGGAAGCAGAAGCCTTAACTTTGTACTGTCTTGTTTTCACAGCCCAAAGGGATCTGATGATGATTTTGAATGGTGAGAGGCACTCGGTACCAATACTACCTCCAGTGAAGACTGTCAACATCCCATCAAGTATTATTCTACAAGGCCAAACCATTCCCTCAGACTCAGGAACCACCTTGACTCCTGTGTCGTCTCTATATGATGAATATACAACTCTGCCTTAATGTCTGTCCACAAACTCTTTTATTGATCACAATAGTTCACAAATAACAAGGAAAGTAAATGAAATGACAATTCTAAATGTGGGATGCTTTGGGATATTAATTCCATCCCTCAGGTTCTGCTGAAGGCTCACACACCCAGAATTATGACTTTAACCTGACATTTTCTCATCATACACACAGCGTTATCAGACCTGCTCACATGCTGTTTTTTGGCCCAGATGTAAAGCAAATGTCGTAGCAACTTCCTAAATAGGCATTATGCTGTTATGCTGTTCTAGTTTATTGACCATCAGTGTTCATTCAAGCATTTCCAAAAAGTGAGCCCAGAGTCCACCAGCCCTCAGTTCTGTGGGTCATTTAGAAAATATTGTGGGTCATGTCAAATTGCTGTGACTTTTTAGCCATACACTACTAGTTACTAGTATGAGGTCAGTTCCTTTTTCAAACTTCCAATCAAGGTGAGGTCAACAAGAGAAAGCAAAAATGTACTTGTGTTTTGCTTGAGTTGCCAAGCGAAATGATGCATTTCAGGCATTTATTGATGCGCCGACAACAACAACCCACTCGTACCTGTAAAAAAAAATTTTGTTTGTTATTTTATTTTATTTTATTTTATTAATAAATGGCACAAGCACACGACCTAGATTGAACACTGGATCATTGCCATGTAATTTGATGAGGAAGCAACTGTAACTCGATTTTCAGTGCTGTTTTACCAATTATGCTAAATGGACACTCTTTCAGGTTGTTATTGAGACTGGTTATTGGCAGGCATTGATGTTTTATATTTTACTAATAAGAGGAGAAAGAGGTGTAAATGTTTATTTCTACAACTGTGCAACATTCAAAGTAAAGACACTGCATTTTTAAAGAAATTATATTTTAGAAATCACAATTTTAAAAAAAACACCCCATTTCCCCAAAATTTGCTTACCAGAGGCACATAATTTGGAATCCCAACATAAAGCCCCAAAAGATGGCTTGGATATATTTACATCTACAGATTGCTGAGAGTGGCAAAACCCCAATACTCCTCCCTCTCTCATAAGACAAGTTACCACTGATAAACTGTCTAATCAGCATGTTAACATGCTCAATCATGTGCTCAGTTTCTATTGCAGTAATTAAATACTTTTGTTGTGTGTATGAATTCAGTTGTATAGAAAGTGAATATGTATAATGACTGTTAGTGGATTGCTTTGTGTGATCTCTGTATATAGTGGTAAGTTATTTATGCCTATGTCCAAAGTTATTGTCATGGATGTATGCAAAGATTGGAATGATGAAGGTCTGATATTTTACCTTGTATATAACATTTGCATATTTTTCTTAAAAATTGAAAATAAAATGTGTTTGTGTGTTGTAATGAATTTATGTCAATAAATTATGTCTGTTATACCTGTAATAGGTTTTTAGATAGAATACAATGTGGAATCTTGAATGAAGTAATTTGCTTCCACCCTTACCCACTTGGGATGACATAAATGTATTCAAATCTCATACTTTAGAACTTTTTCAATAATCATGACCTAAAATGTATTACTGTGTTTAACTGTATGTTTTATTACTTTTCACTGAATGATTTATATATGAATTACAACAGAAGAATTTCAAGTCCGTCCATTTATTGTTCATGTTAGTATCTGTCAATCAGTTATGTGAACATGCAGCCTGTATAAATATATAATTTCTGTAAATTGATGTGTTGTTTGTTTGTATGATAACATGGCACACATTTTGTATGATTTTGTGAATTGGTTGAGAGTGTTTCTTTGAGAATAGCGCCACTCTAAGTCACCTAACAATAACTACTCGTATCGTTCAACAGTTCGTAATTAACAATGCATGGTTGTTTTCTACAACTGCCAGGATCTGCTGATATTCGGGATTTGAACCCAGAATTAACCTGGAAATGATACTTGATATGTCAGCACTTTGCCCATGCTAAAAATATAGGGTAATGCTGGTGTGCCCACGAAAGGAACCGCAGTCGTGACAAGAAGATGATTTATTCATTAGACTACTCCAGCGCCATCTACTCATGTGTGATATTGTGATTATATATAGATTACAAAACAAGTGGATGTTGAATATGGAAAATATTCTCATGAGTTCTTTTTAAAGGTTTTGATTTATTCAGGAACGAAAGCGATTAAAAATATTGTGTTGGAATATTTTCCATATTCAAAATGCATTAGTTTCGTGATCTATTTACTACAAACAAGACAGGAAAACAGTGTGATCCATAATGACAAATCAAACAGACGATGCTGGATGTAAAGAAAACGAAAGGGAGGTGACTCTGTCACAACTACTTTATAGATGAAAATAAACAATTAAAAATACACATTTGAAAAACGCTACTAATCCCAAGGACACCGAAATTGAAGTTTAGTTGTCCACAAACCTAATATTTTGTTTTGTTTGCTTGACAGTTTTGGTCAAAAACTGCTTGAATGGAGTTAAAATGTTAATTTAAAATATCGTGGTGGCAACAGAAAGTTCGGCATTATGACGTCACTATCGTTCAATAACCTAGTTTGGTTACACAACACTGGTTGGACTTTCAGCTGGTTACACAACACCAGTTTCAAATAACCAAAATTATCTCATAAAGATATTCCGAGGGAATCTAAGGTACTTTCCCAGTACCACAAAATATACACGTTACGCATATTAAGAAATACAGTTCGCTCTACCACCATGTATAGTGTATTCTAAGATGCCTAGCGGTTAGAACAATCGAAAAAATAAGACATTAGCAGACAATAAAAGTATAGTTTTTTTATGACGTTACAGTTGAATGACGTTATCCCGTCACTGCGCCATTCTAGTGTTCCCCGTCGTAATCGAACCATTTTACATTACGTCACAATATAAACGACGTCACGATGCATGTCAGTTGTCATCGCCTCGTACGGCCTCCTACAGTAAACTACTCCGTTGCATCCCGTTTCTTGGTTTGCAGTTGCTTCACGCAGCTAACATCACTGGTTGAAACATTACGCTTATGTTTTACGATGGTTAAAATGTGTCAACTCGACTCACAAGTTTTCAGCGACACGGTAACGTTCGCGATGTTTACATTCCCACGATGCAATCGTGGAATGTCGCTTGACTACTCAGCTTCATCTGGATGTACTGATCTAAACTTACGTTGGTAGTAGAAATGCGACGTTCATATTGCCCCATATGGTTTACGTTAATGACAGATGTAATTAAAATAATTCAGAGAAGATATTTAATCTGAACGTAAACCGTCATCAATTGTTTTGTTTTTCTGGTAACGTTCGTCTTTAACGTAAAGGGGTCGCAGACAAATCAATAGAACAGCGAGCCAGTTCGCCCTGTGCGAGGATTCTTAACTTAGGTCACCGACACCGTCGTTTGTTTTCTGCCATAAATTAATCGTAATTATCCTTAGAAAGTATTAAATTTGGCATCTTAGAAAAGAAATACAGTTCGCTCTACCACCATGCATAGTGTAATAAAACACACTTTCGCCCTGAACTATTATAGTTAAAGTACGAGGACGCTTAGGTTCAGTATTATTCGTTTCACTGCTACACTGAGTATAAGCAGTGTAGTAATGATATTGAGCCAAAGTTAACTTAGACTGTCATGTTTCGGTCTTGTATGTTATGTTGTCGTGTTTGATATTTCAAACTGAACACCGGCTTGCCTTTGCATGTGTTTGTGACTGATGGACGCACCTGTTTGCTAACACATATCACCACCATTTGATAGTGACTCATAACCACATGCTGTTGATACACAGTAGGAATCGTACAATCGAGAGATTGTTTGTTGCTATGGGAAGGTTTTTTTTCTCTTTTATTAATTAACGGATTGCTAAGGTGAGAACACGGAGAAGAAGATATATACAATGAAATCCATCCTCTATATTATGCATACACGTCACAAAATGGACTTACTCTTGAACTCACCTCTCTCCGTTCATGCCTTCTAGTGATGACAGTCCAGTGTGTGAGTTGGGTTTTACGCCAGTTATAGCAATATTCCAGCAGTATCATGGTGGGGGACACCTTAAATGGTACATTGTGTGAAGTCCATTTCTGGTGTCCCCCGTCGTGATATTGCTGGAGTATTGCTAAAAGGTGCACAAAACTAAACTTAGTCAGTCAGTCGACATAAAGGTGTTTGTCTAAATGACGTCAGAGCAAACAGTCACCTCTGTAACCGAGCATCAGCTGTCGTGACCACCAACAATGGAGATGGTATCTAGCAATGCCGGGCTGTGGGTAATGAAGTCCTATCTTTAGATACAATCGGCCACATCAACAGTTGGACATAGTTCCATGTGCAGCTTGTAGATGTTCCGTACATGCGCAGTATATTGTTCCACATTAGGACACCATGTTGAAGAAAGCGATTCGGATGGTGATTGTCGTAAGTGGAGTTTTGAATTGTATCATCCTTATTGGAAATGTTTTCGACGGTATCAATATGTCACTAAATCCCGAAGCGGCGACTCTTGGGATGAATTTGATCGAGTCCTGAAAAGGAACTACTCCAACCACCAGCTTCTCCATTTACCACGTTGTCCAGATCTTCCAGCGCAGACAGGTAGGTAGTTAGGTAGGTAGTATGTATGTGTGTGTGTGTGTGTGTGTGCGTGCGTGCGTGCGTGCGTGTGACATGGTGACACATTTTGTCGTCAGTGTATTCAACGTTATTACAGAGACGCGAGTGGCCCGTTCATCTGAGGCGCCGCAATTTGCTGTACAGAGTTGTGACCCTTTAGCACTTCAGGAGCCTGGGATTGTGGGCTGGAATCCGCCATTATATTTCCCGGTTCTCATAAGCATACCACGTGCTCGTTCGTTTCACCAAAGTGGTAGACGCGGCTAAGAACGACATCACTTCACACTTTCATTGTGGGGGACACCCGTGATCTAAATAGTGAGTGAGTTTAGTTTTACGCCGCTTTTAGCAATACTCCAGCAATATCACGGCGGGGTACACCAGAAATGGGCGTGATCTATATAACGTACTGGGCTATGGCTAAAAGCGGCGTACAACAAAACTCACTCAAAGCGATAACAATGTTGACCATATCACAAACATTGAAAACACTTATTCTGAGCTTTTACCCGAGATTCAGACATGTTTGCTCTTAATAAAATGTCAAATGGTATATTTCAAGTGTTTGTTGTTCGATTATATTTTCTTACTTTCGATTCTCTTTCCACTTTTATTCAAGATTCAAGATTTTATTCTAGTTTATTTTTCTTACATTTTACTTGACCAGAAAGACATCGTAATTTCCAGCGAGAATCTGATTGAAAATGAAGGAAATTTCGATATAAGAGAGAAAATTATGCGGCGCCATTAGTATTTCGTATTAGCACCATAAGCATGATCTCTTCTGATGCGGAACTGAAGAGGTTGACTTTGGCATGGATATTTCTTCTTGTGGTTACATGTTTGTTTAAATCTTTTGTTTGTATCATAATATTATTTTTGTCAAACATGTCTACAAGACTGACAGACATTCCATATTATTGTCAACTACCTAAAGGGGGCGGTGGGGTAGCCCAGTAGTTAAAGCGTTCGCTCGTGACGCCGAAGACCCGGGTTCGATTCCCCACGTTGGCAGAATGTGTGAAGCCAATTTCTGGTGCCCCCCGCCGTGATAGTGTTGGAATATTGCTAAAAGCGGCGTAAAACTAAACTCACTCACTCACTAAAATACCTAAAGACAGGTTATTTTCACAGAGTGGATGCGAATCCCTAATATATCCGAAATCAGCCATGACGCTTTGAAGAAGAAATACTTGGGTGGAGTAGATGGACACTTTTCACCGCCCACATGTGTGTCGGAAGAAAGGACGGCCGTTATCATTCCGTCCGATGATAACCCTGACAACATCAGAATCCTTCTCAACAACCTCATTCCCGTCCTCAGAAACCAAAACAAGGACTTCACCCTCTTTGTCGTTGAACAGGTAACGTAAAAGTGGAACATTTCAGTTACATCAGTGAGTGAGTTTAGATTTACGCCGCACCCAGCAATATTCCAGCTATATGGCGGCGGTCTGTATTTAATCGATTCTGGACAATCCAGTGATCCACAGCACGAGCATCGATCTACGCAACTGGGATACGATGTGCCAACCAAGTCATGTGTGTGTGTGTGTGCGTGCGTGTGTGCGTGTGTGTGACATGGTGACACGTTTTGTCGTCAGTATGTTCAACGTTATTACAGAGACGCGAGTGGCCCGTTCCTCTGAGGCGCCGCAATTTGCTGTACAGAGTTGTGACCCTTTAGCACTCCAGGAGCCTGTGGTTTTGGGCTGGAATCCGCCATTATAAATCCCGGTTCTCATAAGCATACCACGTGCTCGTTCGTTTCACCAAAGTGGTAGACGCGGTTAAGAACGACATCACTTCACACTTTCATCGTGCATCGATCTACGCAACTGGGATACGATGTGTCAACCAAGTCAGCGAGTCTGATCACCCGATCTCGTTAGTCGCCTCTTACAACAAGCATGGGTTACTGAAGACCAATTCAGTTTTTTTCCAGATGATGAACTGAGAGCGTGTTTCTTAACTTTCTTCAGACTCCCGACACACCATTCAACAAAGCGTTGCTGATGAACGCCGGTTTTGTGGAGGCTGTTAGACAAGACGTCTTCACTTGTGTCATCTTTCATGACGTTGACCTCATTCCTGTAACCTACACCGTTCCATACGGGTGCCTGAAGAACCATCCCCACTATCTCTCCGTGACGACGTCAAACTACAGCACGTAAGACGTTTCTACAGAGATATCCTTTCCTATCTACCTTGCGGCGATCCACCATGTCCTCTTATATCTCTATTCTATGAAGATTAAATGCACTTGATCCAACCTCCATCATAGCTTCGTTGAGAGACCGATTTGATTGACTTGATGCTCAAAATAGCCATCAATTAAACAAGGAACGTCAGCGTCAGTACTAATAACAGATTCTCTGCAGTATCAATCTCAGTCAATCAAAATATGCACTCATATCATATGTCAAATCCACTCATATCCAACAATAGATCGGATAGCCTAGTGGTTAAAACGTTCGCTCGTCACGCCGAAGACCCGGGTTCGATTCCTTACATGGGTACAGTGAGTGAAAGCCCAGTTTTGGTGTCCCCCGCTGAAATATTACTAAAAGCGGCGTAAAACTAAAGTCACCCACTCACTCTTTAGGATTTTGTCTGAACTGACACGTGAAGTCGTCGTATACTTTGTCCACAGAGCCAAGGAGCACCGGCTGGGTGTTGTGGTGGCCATGACACCTCAACTCTTCAAGTCTGTTAATGGATTCTCAAACTTGTACTTTGGAAACGGATATGAAGACACGGATATGTTTCAGAGGTAGGAACCTTTCTTTAGCGGATGAGGAGAAACAGAACATATCTCATCTGAAGTTGGAACTGTTGGATGTATAATATTTGATAAGATACTTCATCATGTATGTGTATGTGAGTGTGTGTGCATCCTTGTATGTGTTGTTTCATATGTTGATGTAATATTCTTAAGAGCCTCATTTTTACAGCTGTTGCATCTGTAAAAACGGTTTCTATATTTTTTCGATATAACGTTCAGCTAGAGGTGCCAATAATTTAGACAGATAATGAGTGAGTATGGTTTTACACCGCTATTTTAAATATTCCAGCAATATCGCGGCAGGGGGCACCAGAAATGGGCTTTACATATTGTATCCATGTGGGTAATCGAACCCGGGCCTTCGGCCTGACGAGCAAAGGCTTTAACCACTAGGCTACCGCACCGCCCCCTTAGATAGATGAGAAGCCAGTAGGAAGCATTCCAGGAACTTTTGCGGTGTTTGCCTCAGTACACTGTGTTGCTCATCTGTCAAATAATAGAGCTTAGGTGTTGAAGAAGTGTGGTTTAACAACATTGCAAGTAGTATGACGGCGGGGGACATCGGAAATGTCCTTCACACATTTTACCCATTTGGAGAATCCACCCAGGACTTGACGAACTATAAAACATCGCCCCAACGACTTGGATTAAATATGTTAAATATGAATGCTGTAAGAACATAGAGGTCTGGTGCAAAAGTTAAATCGTGAACATTGGCTGCATGTAAACATGAAATGTATATAAAGGTTTATAAATGCTGGTTTCATGGAATATATAATCAAGTTAGCAGTCAGCAGTTATATCAGACCGGCTGTGGTTGCGAATAGGCCCGGTACTTATCACTAACTTTTCTGTTGCCGACCTTCAGTAGTGATGTATAGGTTGTAATAAATATATTCCACAAGCTGAATTGTTGCTTGGAGGGGCGCTGGGTAGCCTAGTGGTTAAAGCGTTCGCTCGTCACACCTAAGGCCCGGGTTTGATTCCTCACATGTGTACAATGTGTGAAGTCCATTTGTGGTGTCTCCCATCTCAAAACACACACACACACACACACACACACACACCCGCCATGATATTGCTGGATTGTTGCGCTAAAAGCGGCGTAAAACCATACTCACTCACTGTTGCTGAAAACCAATGTCTTACTGAACCTAGTATTCTCAGTGTTGAAAGCGGAGGTCATCAAAACACAAAGCCTTGGAAATAAATATTTTTGTTTTTAAGACGTAAGCTGGTTACGTCACACCTTTCATCGGATCGTGTTCGACGAAGTCAACTTCCTTTTGATGATTTTATACTTTAAAGGTTGAAGGATCTCAATATTTCGACGGTAGACGCAGGGAGAAGGGATGGGATATTTCTTCCTCGAGGAAACGCAGAAAGAAGAACAAATAGCCAAGATGAAGATGGGTAGATATTTGCAAACATCTGTTAAATATACTGTACTAGCGTGGAGTCACAGACCGAAGGGATGTAGTTAGAATGTTTCATAAATCATCATTTACTCTTCCATGGTCGTGCTCAAAGGCGTTTCCTTTATTGCAGACTAGAACTTCTTGAGGCAGCCTCCAGGCGAGCTGAACACGAAGGTCTTAACACGCTGAAGGCTTCCGTACAAAGGATAACGGGACTGCTGCAAGTGTTTACGAAATTTCACGTATCATTTGATGCCGACTATTACATGTAAGTAACAATCTACTGCTGTCGTGACCTCAACTTCTACTGTTACTACTACTGCTCCTACTATTAATACTACTACGACTACTACTACTGACTGACTGACTGAGTTTGGTTTTACGCCGCTTTTAGCAATATTCCAGCAACATCACAACGGGGGACACCAGAAATGGGACTACTACTACTACTACGAGGACGACTACGACTACGACTACTACTACTACTACTACTGTTAATACTACTACTGCTCCTACTATTACCACTGCCCGCCGTCGTGGTGTAGTGGTTAGAGCGTCCGCCCAGAGAGCGGAAGGTCGCGGGTTCGATCCCCGACAGCGTCATACCAAAAGACGTTAAAATATGGTACTTGTTGGTCCCTGCCTGGCGTTCGGCATTAATGGGTACAATAAGGACTGGTCGGCTCGGAGTCAGTATAATGTGTCTGAGTGGGGTATTCATGCTTCACTGCGGCATGGTATCTCAGTGGGCTAGCACTATAAACCCAGCTTAAGTCTGGGCTAGTACAAGCAGCCGCACATACACATACACACGCATGCACGCCGTCATATGAGCGATATATTCTCAAGCACGACGTTAAACCCACTTTCACCTCACCTCACCTGTTACCACTCGTATCACTCGTATCACTACTCCCTCTTCTGTTACCACTGCCGCTACAGCTACCTTTTGTTTAATACTACTACTGTTACGACTACTGCTACTACTACTACTTCTGCTACTATAAACAGAAAGTTTAGAAAACTGTAGGAGTAAAAAATCCCCAGCGATCTTTGCACTCACTAAATACAATACCATGGTGGCCTTAAAGTTTCCAAATACGTCTTTTTACAGAAAACAGATAGACACGATCTTAAAAGAAGAAGTCCTTTCTACTTAGTAACATCGGTCTGGAGGAATCGTAGAGGTTGCCCAGCAAGGGGGATAATGATGTTTTACACTATTTGTTCGTGTGTCTTGTACAGTCTATAGTCATCTTTAGAAATAAACCTTTTGTGACATACATGTTCGTTTGTTCACTCTATACTTTAGATAGGGCGCTGGGGTGGCCTTGTGGTTAAAGCGTTCGCTCGTCACGCTGAAGACCCGGGTTCGATTTCCCACATGGGAACAATGTCCGAAGCCCATTTCTGGTGTTCCCCTGATGTGATATTGCTGGAATATTGCTAAAAGCGGCGAAAACTAAACTCACTCACTTCAGTTTAGATATCTCTTACTCTTTCTCAGCCAATGAGACATCACTCCGATCCGAAACGTTCGATGAATGAAGGAAGGAAAGAAAGAAGGAATGACATGATAAAGACAACTGCGACATCCAAACGAGATAATGGTGGTTGGAGAAATTAAACATTTAAGATTAATTCAATGTCAAGGTCGCTGACAGATAAGTGAGATACCCTTTATATATTTGCTAAAAAAGGTGATGGGAATAGAGAGTTATTTGTTTTTTACATTTAAGTTTGTGTTTGTGAAAGGCCTTCGTAACGGATACCATCACGTTAACAGTGCACTGTGCACTTCCTCAGCATTCACCAGATGAAGAATTAACTCGTATAAAGAATAAAAATAAGTTGGTATCCATAAAAACGCGTCTTCATGTTAACAGTCATTCATAAATGATACTGTGAGTGAGTGAGTTTAGTTTTACGCCGCGCTCAGAAATATTCCAGCTATATGGCGGCGGTCTGAAAATAATCGAGTCTGGACCAGACAATCCAGGGATCAACAGCATGAACATCGATCTACGCAATTGGGATGCGATGACATGTTTCAACCCAGTCAGCAAGCCTGACCAGCCGATCCCGTTAGTGGCCTCTTACGACAAGCATGGGTTACTGAAGATTAATTGGTTGACACATGTCATCATATCCCATATGCATAGATCGATGTTGTTGATTAATGTTTTTGATCACTGGATTGTCTAGTCCAGACTCGATTATTTACAGACCGCCGCCATATAGCTGGAATTTTGCTGAGTGCGGCGTAAAACTAAACTCACGTATGCGTACGCATTGTAAACGAAAGGAGTACACCGGTTAAGAAGACGAGTATTTGAGATCAACATGAAGGTGTAATTGCAGCTGTTGTGAATGCCTCGCCCAATGACAGCCGCTTTGAGAGGTGACGAAACTTCATCCCGCCTTATCCCTGAACGTGAGTAATTGAGAGCCATGTCGAGATGTTATCACCCCCGTAACATATGGTGATTCTGAGCGATACAAATCTAGCTTCATATACAGAAGACATACCCAAGAAGTATATCAATACACCCAGTATAACCATTCGATAGTAAACTTACCCGATCATGCATCTGAACAAGAAGCTGTTTCTCTTGTCCATTCCTGGCATGTTGAATTTGATTATAATGATGAAATTTAACTTTGTCGGAACCGGCGTTCAAAAAACGAGCTGTCTTGAGAAGGATACCACGTGGACTGACTTTTTACATAGGCACATAGGGAACACCACGAGACAAGGAAACCTGCCACTCTGCCCTAATCCAGCCTTTTCCTTTGGTAAGTATTCTTTTATTGCATTAAAGCGAGTGACGGAGTGAGTGAGTTTAGTTTTACCCCACTTTGAGCAATATTGTGGCAATATCATGGCGCGGGACACCAGAAATGGGCTTCACACTTATTGAATTAAAAATATATTTACTCGGTTTTCTCCATGCAAGTAAGCTGTATTTCTTTTGTAAGTACTGTACATTTCTTGTGTAAGTACTCCTTTTCCCTGTTGTACGTATTTAAACTCCCTATGGGAGTACTCGTTATTCGAACCGAAATGAGTTTCAGTTAGAACTCTGTTTTTGATTGACTGATATTTCCACTTGCGCTTTGTCCTGAGTGATGACCTTTTCTCGTTTGACCTCATGGTAGATAGTCCACTGTGAAGCCACCTTCAGCATCTCAGAACAAAAATTGCCTTCTTCGGTGATGGTCATGTCATATGCATCAGCTGTTTTCTTGAGTTTTGTCATTAGTCAAAAATCGTTGCAAGAATCTTTCTGGATCAGCATAACACAGTGCTAGATCATCAGGAAGCATGTTGTACGTTTTGCGTCTTTTTAGCCGATGTCAGATGCTTTGTAGTCCAACAAACTGATACTTCATTGAAAATGTTTCTGAAATATACTGGACAAAATAAGTTAGGGAAATTGGTATTTTTAAGAATGATATTTTATCAGTGTATCAATGAATGAATAAATCTTTATTCATAATTTCAAAATTTACATATATCCCTAACTATTTTTGTCCAGTATACTTGAATGATCTCTCATGGGTAATGACAACTTGAATTAACATTATAACGCTGTCATTTTCGTCGGTCGGTGTGTCCGATCTTGATATTGACCTCACAGGTGTTGAAGAACGTGGGTCGTCTTCGGTGATATCCCTGTTTCTTTTCAAACACACTCTATACAGTAACATCCTTCCCTTACATACTACCCTGTCGCCATTGATAGCTTGTCGGTGGATGGCCATGACTCCATCGATGACTGTTCTCTAAAAGTACTTGATCATGATCACTTCGCACTACACAGGTTTGTTCATTTCTTAAAGGCAACAGACCTTAGCTTGTTTCACTGACCTGTTACAACTGTTAGAACCTACACCGAAACGTCTCTCTCACAGCAATAAAGAAGTTGTTCATCCATATATTGTTATCCTTCCTTGTTACAACTGTGAAGAAAAGAAAAAAGTGAAATGAACCAAAACCCCCAAAAAGATAATTACTTTTTACAAAAGTAAGTTTTTTAAATAGCACCTGGTGTTTGGTACTGTCGAATGCTTATAACTTGTACGTGTTTATTACAGATAAGACAGGAGTCAAATTGACAAATATAACCTTCGCACAGCTGAATGCAAAATACAGAAATGGCATCGATGGGCACTACACACCGCAGGGCTGTGCTGGAAGAGACAAGACGGCCATTATCATTCCATTCCGTGATCGACATCAGAACCTCACCGTCCTCATCAACAACCTTATTCCGATCCTAAAATACCGGAACAAGGATTTCACCATCTTTGTCATCGAACAAGTAGGACATGTGACTTATGTGTCTATATTTTATATTTGTTTTCGCATGAATTTTCGATGGGCTGTGTGAGAAGTTTCTAAACCACGCTTAACACTGCATCGCAAGGCTCAGACTAACGCTTAGTCTCTGTATATGTATAATTTTGACAAAAACAAACAATTCTTTTTAAATTGAAAAGGAGCGCCAGTGAGAAGGGAGATTCAGAGTAAATTTAGACATGTTTCATTTTGGGCGGTGGGGTAGCCTAGTGGTGAAAGCGTTTGCTCGTCACGCCGAAGACCCGGATTCGATTCCCCACATGGGTACAATGTGTAAAGCCCATTTCTGGTGTTCCCCGCCGTGATATTGTTGGAATATTGCTAAAAGCGGCGTAAAACCATACTCATTCACTTGTTTCATTTAGGGCTGTAACGTTGCCAAAGGGCAACCAGTCGCAAGCAAAGAACTCATAGGCTTCGTACAAAGCTGAAATGATGGTTCTGAGGATTGTCACAAGTATGCCTAACGACATGAAGGAAAGTATAGATATGTCATGGCAGCGACGCTGATTTGATAACATTTTGATATTTAAGATATCGACAGCTATTTCAATAAAAACCTTTTCGTAGTAAAGCTGACTGTACACTTCCGATTATATCATGAGCTGGAAAACCTAGTATTGACACCAGGTGTTCGCTAAAAGGTGAGGGTATCCTGTCCCACAAATGTCTTAGATTTAGTTCATGATGGCTATCAGTTTCTCAACCGTTGGTAACTGCGACAAACGGATCTACTGTTAGATATTCGGGGGACTGGGGAAACCAAATACATTTTCCAAAAATTATTTAAAAATATATGTAATAGTTTAGATTAAATGAAATGACTCATTTTGAAGCTGCTGCTGAAAAAGAAAATCTAGCCACTTACAAATTACCTTCTCCCATCTCCCACCAATCTTCCCCGGCATATTCGTGTATAAGATGGTGGTCACGAAGTAAATACATGTATGTAAAACATTTTCTTTCCTCAACAGGATCTTGATACAACGTTTAACAAGGCAATTCTGATGAACGCTGGTTTTATGGAAGCAATGAAACAAGATTACTTTACGTGCTTTATCTTTCACGACGTTGACTATATTCCTGAAACTCAAAACGTTCCGTACGAATGCCTCCTCAACCGCTCCTACCATCTCGCAGCAGCCGTGTCCGCCTTCAACTATACGTAAGTCATGACGTACCTGTGTAATACGTTGTTTAGAGTTATGTCCATTGGTCGTATCCGGATACGTGGCTTGGATCAGAGATGTGCCTTGATTATCATCCTTGTTTATTCTGCACCATACAAGACTGTTGGGTGCTCTGCGTCACTTTAAGGGCGGTGGGGTAGCCTGGGCCCCGTTTCACAAAGCTCTCGTAAGCTAAAGATCTCGTAACTTTCCTCGTAGCATTCCTACCTCCTATAGGATGTACTGTAACATTCACTTGCGATAGTCGTAGTGCTACGAGAGCTTTGTGAAACGGGGCCCTGGTGGTTAAAGCGTTCGCTCGTCACGCCAAGAACCCGGGTTCGATTCTCCACATGGGTACAAAGTGTGAAGCAATATTTCTGGTGTCCCCTGCCGTGATATTGCTGGAATATTGCTAAAGCGGCGTAAAACTAAACCCACTCACTCTGCGTCACTTTAGCATTGCAGTTCGATTCCGAACTCCTGATTATTATCAGCTTCATATCAGCCATGTTCGCGAGAATCACTGAAATCATTACTGTCGAAGACCTGTATCACTGGAGGCGTTCCTCCATCACCAGTCAGACGCAATGTCATATAACTGGAATACTGTGAAAGGGGTGATGCACTAAGTTCTCTCACCTACAGGGGCGGTGGGGTAGCCTAGTGGTTAAAGCGTTCGCTCGTCACGCCGAAGGCCTGGGTTCGATTCCCCACGTGGGTACAATGTGTGGTGTCCCCGCCGTGATATTGCTGGAATATTGCTAAAAGTGGCGTAAAACCACACTACCTTGTTTACTCAGTCGTACGTACTGATAAACAATAGTAATACTGTGCCTTGTCTATTTAACTACGAAAAACCATAGACAAGACATTAGTATTCTATGTGTTCAGAGACGTGCATAAAATAGATACAATATTTTTTATCGTGATTAACCGAATTACACAGCGACAAAAATATTCTATTTTTAACCCAAGACGAGAGTAAAAACCATTTTTGTTTATTTTGTCAGCGACCGCCTGAAATTTGCAGGAGGAGTAATGACCATGGCACCACATCTTTTCCAAGCTATCAACGGCTATTCCAACTTATATTTTGGATGGGGATTTGAAGATAACGACATGTATAGAAGGTATTTCTTGGCACTATAACTTCTCGGTCAAACTAATGCTTGTCGTAAGCTGGTAGTTATGTTCTTGCTAGTGGACCTGGATAGACACATGTGTCGTATGAATTTAACTGATCCCATTTTGATTTACATCTTTTAAATAGAGCTGATTACACTCTGAGCGAGATCTCGCGTGATTCTGTTGCTGATCACGTGATTCTGGATACGATGACCTTACCAAAGTGCACGCGTTCTACAGAATACCTAGAGAAACCGGCCAGCAACACCAGAACTAGCCAGAATATTAATGACACCACGACTCCCAATCAGTTAGCAAGCAGCTGACAAGTCAGGAGATGAAGACTCAAACTTATCGAGACGTCATCATGTGACACCGGAGTCTAGCAGAAGCCATTTTGTCCCTCGTTTTGTCACGTGATCACTACATCTCTATCAAGGCGGAGCTTTTGCGTTATTTTAATTCAATGATAATTTAATTTTCATTCCAGGCTATGTGTCTTAAATAATACACCAATAAAGGCTCGACTAGCTGATGGAAAATTCTTTTCCTTGACACACAGCAGAGATGAAGGAAATCCAAGGAATGGAGATGGGTAAATATTGAGTGTTGAGTGTTATCATAATGTTCTATCAGGGAGACTATATAAGGTTGTAGAGTATCCCTGGTTCTATGTAAAGGGGCCTTCACACAACAACACGTGTTGTCAGAATTAAAAAAGTTGTCAACCTTGCGTTTTCACACGTCAAACACATGTTGTCAAAGTGTCATTGGAGCGATTTCATTCTGTAGGTCGAGTTGACCAGACGACTAAAACGTCACGTGACAAGTTCGTTGACTGCGATTGGTTGTTTCTGAACAACACGAGTTTGACAACACTTCGCACGTCAAACGAGTTTGACAACACCGAACGTTTTATGGAACAGTTCATGAGAATAGAGACCGATCATTGTTCTCGACAACAGTTTGACAACTCTGAATTTGGTGTTGGTGGCGAGTTGTTGGAATGTTCACACTCACTTTGTTATCAAACTTTAGTTTGCCGTATGAAGGCCGCTATTATATATCTGATATGGTAATACAATGTATATGCAGCAGTGATGTGATAATTGATTTGAATGTGCACAAAATGCATACTCACAAACGTGCAGTCACTCTCACTCACCTACACACACACACACACTCATAAACGGTTAAATTATTAACACGATTGACAATTTTCAGGCAGCGTCTTTACTGGAAAGGCATAGAGCGGGCTGGATACGATGGTCTCAACAGTCTGAAATACACCGTTGTCAAAACGACAACCATGCCAATATGTACGTGGAAACGAATATCATTTAACGCCAGTTACTACGTGTAAGTATAAAACTATTTTACATAAACAATTATTAAATTAACTACATTTACAAATCAAAGAGAATCACTGCAAAGTAATTACATTGTCAGTACGCAATAGGATGGCAGGTCAAAATACATTCGCAGTACAATCTTCTATAGAAAGTATCAGTGAGTGAATTTAGTTTTATACCGCGTTTAGTAATATTCCAGCTGGTGGGGACACCAGAAATGGCCTTTACACATTGTACATATGTGGGGAATCGAACCCGGATCTCGGGCGTGACGAGCAAACGCTTTAACCACTAGGCTACCCCAGTATAGCAGTATGAAAAATATTAGCAGTGGCAACAGCAATAACTATACATATATTCACCTAGCAGCAACAGTGGTCAAGCTTATGAAATAGGTCCAGGTGAATGTCAAGGATGAAAATATGATCTTCACACAACCGCTGGTTTTGATGAAATGTGAGATACTGTAAACGTATTATATTTCGCGCAGGTTTTATTTTCGAGCTTTTCGCGCAAAACATTTTAGCGCGAAAATTTATACACCGCGAATAAACCTGTCATTCATTCAGTCTAGCCACGCTCGCCCCTGAATTGTTACCATAACACATCAAGTTTGAAGACAGAAATCTACGGGAATCTTAAAAAGACGACTGATAGTAGCATAAAGAATCATACTTATCTGTCGCTGTAATGGAATTCCCAAAAACAATGAGCCAAATTCCATCGCCGAATTAGCGAAAACAGCAATGTGTGTTGTGGCCGCCATGGAAATTGGTCACATGACAGATGGTTTGATACAAAACAGATTACCATGAAACGACTTGGAAAGAAATAATACAGCAGTATTTTATTTATTCATTAAGATTTTATTTACCAGTACATCATGAAGCAAATAGTCACTTAACACTCAATCATCTCATTCACAACAACCCGGCTTGTTTGAAATCACAAAGAGCTTCATATACAGTAGAAGTCAATTCGTCAGATCGTCAGAATTCGGAACATAAGACTGATGTGTTTTTCATCTCTTCCGTGAGTAAACGGATTACTGTGTACTAGTATATCGCACAGATAGGGATTTCCCGTGAGTAAGCAATAAACGCCGCCTGACAGGTTAAGCCACTCTGTTTGTTTTCACTGCTATTAGTGGCGGCCAAAGAGACAGCTGGCAGTTCTGGCAATTACTGATTGCGCGAATAATTGACCGCGCGATGTAGTAATAGCAGCGTGCGCTCGCCAACTTATGTAGTCTAACTGTCTGAATGCATCGTGGTGTAACAATACACTACACTGCCAAGTAACAGCTTATACGTATCTGGAATATTCCCCGTCGTGAAATGTTATGATTAGCATAAGCTCAAGATTCACTCACCCACTTCGGGGTAGTCTAGTGCTTAAAACGTTCGCTCGTCACGCAGATGACCCAGGTTTGATTCCCCACAAAGGTACAATGTGTGAAACCCATTTCTGGGGCCCACCGCCGTGATTACTTACTGTCATATTGCTAAAAGCGGCGTAAACCCTTACTCATTCACTCACTCACTCATTCCTTCCAGAGAAGAAATTGTTAAATTGTTGGAGACTAAATAGATGCCTACTATTTTCAGGAACCAAATGGATGCTATCCTAAAACAGTGAAGATACCCAGAAGGAAAGGGAGCTTGCTGTGTACGTGTATGTCATACTTAAATCAGAAATCGGAAAATGAAGTATTGACAAAGAATCCTTCATCAGCCAGTCCATTCGGAAGGCCCTGTCTGCACATATAGTTCTTACTATAGTTCTTACTGTTTTGTGACGCTGCCAGCTTGTATATAACCAAGTATGGGGACAACAAACCAATGGTTGACGTAATGAACAACGTCCCACGCCATCGGTGTACGGTAACACATTTAGGCCGTTCCCTGTGTCGCCTCTAATCTCTGGCTTTGAGTGACGAGTTCTGTTCGGAGACAGAATTACCCGCCCTTGGTGGTTATACGTGTGTATTGACGCCCTCTGGAAAATTCTCTTGATGTTCAGTTGTATTTTATAATTAACACCTGTGATATCACTGAAGACGCGACAGTGCTTGAAATAGCACAAGTGATCTTTCCACAGCAAGAAATGGTGTCGATTAATATCTACTGAATTGGACTGTTTACTCAACCCAAGGTCACCCGACAAACATGGCCAGTATTCACCTATTGTCGTTGGCACAGATAGACTTTCAGACTTGATTTGTGGGGAATGATATTTCCGTGTGTGTGTGTGTGTGTGTGTGTGTGTGTGTGGAAAAGAGTGTCCTTCAATCGAATGGTAAAACTCGCAAACGTTGTTGCATTGTATTCCATTGTGTGGATGGATGCTCATGAAGTTAATCACTGGATTGTCTTTTCCAGAAGCGTTATTGACAGACCACCGGAATTTAGCCTAGAATATGGCGTTAAATAGTATGACCAGAAATTATTGAGAATTTTGGGAGTATGTTTAATTGGATTTCTAGTATAAACAACCTTGACCAGCTATCAAGTGCTTGGTTTCATTCAAGAGAGACAACTCCGTTAATCCTTTTTCATTAGTTTGTGAAGAGTTATCCCCCTTTGTTTACTTGCTAGCAGACGACATTTTCAGTGATCCTCAGTATGAATGATTTAGAGAAGAGGAAGTTGATTGTAGAGTATTATAACAAGGACATCAGAACAGCTAAAGTGATTTCAAGTAGAACAGGCATCCCTTTGTCCACTGTTTATCGTGCTTTGAAAAATATTGCAAACGGATATGGCATTGAGCACCAGGGAGGCGCAGGTAGGACCAGAAAATTGACTGTCGGTGACAGGAGGCGGCTTGGTATTCTTGTTTCTAAAAACAAACGAAGGAGTTTAGAAAACTTAAGGCTGGATATGATTGATAGAGGAACTGTGGCTGTCTGCAAGGAGACAATTAGAACTGAGCTGCATGCAATGGGTTGGCAGAAAAGTCGAGGAATTCCATCAGCGATCATGAAACCTGAACAAAAGGAGCGAAGGTTGAACTGGTGCTTACAGCATAGAAATTTTAACTGGGACAATGTGATTTTCTCAGATGAAAGTTCTGTGTGGCTGTTTCCTAATACACTGAAATTCTGGACCAAACAAACTGAAAAACCTTTGTATCAGCGCCCAAAGTACAGTCCGAAATTTAACGTGTGGGGTGGCATATCTGTGTTAGGGGCAACGCCTCTCTGAGTATTTTAAGGGAATATATGCAGTGAGCGGTACACACATATTCTCGAGGGACATTTACTTCCATCTGCTCACGTGTTCTATGGAAATGTTTGGATTTTCCAGAAGGACAACGATCCAAAACATCGTTCAAAGCATTCACAGACCTGGTTTCGGACCCAAAATATGACATTATTAGATTGGCCAAGCTATAGCCCTGACCTAAATCCAATAGAAAATGTTTGGGGACTTATGAAGGAAAGTGTCAATAAGAAACATCTGACAAATATTGCTGAAATGAAAGAAGAGGTGGTCCGATATTGGGACAGCATGGACCACGACTTTCTAACTTCTTTGATCAGTAGTATGCCCCGCCGCATTGAAGCCTACATTGCTGCCCATGGTGACTTGACAAAATACTAACTGTTCACCTGTGTTTGAATCTGGAGTTATGTTCTGCTAATATTCACATTTAATACGTGAGTAATGAGTGAAAAAAATATAAAAACTTACAATCTTTAAATTCTCAATATTTTCTGACTGTACTGTACGTGAAACAGTTAAACAAACATTTGAACACATTACAACATGCCTACGTCTTTGCCGGAACAATAGCCCAACTGTAAATGTCCTCTCTTAGCTGTGTAAATACTCCATCGAACCCGCAATGGTACGTAGCATTGGTTTGATGACAGTATTGATTGAAACATTGTATAAGATTTTCACGTGGTGTGTTCTTTGAGAGAAAATACATCCGTCATGTGAAACTTGCATTTCTGAATAACAAAGACGTGTTTGTCTTACAGGTATCTGAGTGGCAGGCAAATATTACGTCTCCACAAACCATTAACAATTCGGGTGTGTGTTTTCATATTTAAACGGGGCCTATTTATAGCTATAGATATAAAACTGCACGATCTTATATGGATAATGCATTTTGGAATTGTATTCTTTACAGCAGAATTCGAACAAAACCTTTGTCTTCAGTTGAAACACATCAGCATCGTGTGTGGCGATACAAACCAAACACTTTACACGGATATAACGGTGCTTGATAATAGTGAGTGAGTGAGTTTGGTTTTACGCCGCTTTTAGCAATCTTCCAGCAATATCACGGCGGGGGACACCAGAAATGGGCTTCACACATTGTACCCATGTGGGTGGTTGATAATAGGTGATTGAACGAGTGTTGTTTGATGCCGCAATCCGTGTAATCCAAGCCATCTGGGAAAGATGACACATTATCACAGAGCCTGGTCATTGGATGTTCATTTTGGTCAGATTAAAGACTATGAATAGACCGAAAGGGGATACCTTTTCTGAACAGAACATCCAAAACGTCATAAGTGAGTGTGAGCGTGCGTTTTTATGTTTAACAATATTCCAGCAAAATCACAGCACAAGACAACAGAAAATCTGCTTCACACATTGTACTTATGTGGGGAATCGAAACCCGGGTCTTCGGCGTGACGAGCCAACGCTATAACCACTAGACTACCCCACCGCCCCATGTGAAATATATTTATTACAACCTATACATCACTACTGAAGGTCGGCAACAGAAGAGTTAGTGATAAGAACTCGGGTCAATTCGCATCCACAGCCGGTCTGATATAACTGCGTCTCATCATCATGAGTGAGTGAGTTTAGTTTTACGCCGCACTCAGCAATATTACAACTATATGACGGAGGTCTATAAATAATCGAGTCTGGACCAGACTATTCAGTGATCAACAGCATCTCCTCATCATGATGCACTTCCTGTACATGATACACAAAACATACACAATTCGATACAGAAAAACATTCAATTTCATGCTCTATGTTTCCTTCTGTCAATTTATATCGCTGTTTCTGTCAAAATGTATTTCCCCACAAACTTCTATGTTAATGTCCTCAAATATTTCAGTAACCTCAGCGCTGTACTTTGTAACATATACATTTACATTTTTTCATTTCTGCTTTTGTATCTACAACGACGGTCACATGAGTACAGCAGCTTTTCCATAAATCAGCGATGAGGCCGTCAGATCAGCAGGTTGAATCAATGATTAGCTTGATATGAAATCTCTGATTGGCCAATCAGAATTGCTTGTTCCAAATTAAGAGAAGAAGATCATCAACAATCACGTCAATGGCGTATTTACGACAAAAGAGTCATCTGTCAAGGATCCGTTAGAGATTTCCGGAATGACATCTGCTAACTTTATAAACTTTACGTTATTTTATGAAGTCAGTGAAGATTTGTTTTTGCAGCAGTCACCAATTTTACAGACCTATGACGGTTATCAGTAATTAAATCAGTGCATGTCAGCAGGATGATTGATTGAGTTTAGTTTTACGCCGCTTTTAGCAATATTCCAGCAATATCACGGAGGGGACGCCAGAAATGGGCTTCACACATTGTGCCCACGTGGGGAATCGAACCCGGTTCTCCGGCGTGACGAGCGAACGCTTTTTACCACTAAGCTACCCCACCGCCCCAGGTCAGCAGGAACAGTGGTCGTTAGAGGTATATATCTCGGGCCCCTTAAATTTACGGTAAGGATTGGTCTTCGAAGCCCATACCTGTAAGAGGCGACTAACTAGATCGTACGGGCAGGGCCGCTGTCTTGGCTGATGTCCAGTCTCCATATTGCAATTGCATAGATCGATGCTCATGATGTCAATCACATGTTTGTCTGGTATAGCCTTGGTTATGTAGAGACAACCGTTATATAGCTGGAATACTGAGGTAAACAACAAACGATGGAATGCCAAAGGGGTAAATACACAGCGAGTGTCCTTCATGAACATGTGGAAATGTATCCGTCATGCCTTTAAGAGAGAAAATAATAATATTGGTTATAGAATTCGACGAAGCAATCTTGGGGAACAAACACTGACATCCAATGACGAGAAACAGGACTTATTTATATATTTGCCAATTGTCAAAGCTCTTCAAAGAGTAAAATAGATATATTTGTTAAAAGCTTCAACATTTGTATTCAAAGAGTCCACGAACAGCTTTTGCCAATTACTTCGGCGATGTAGCCGCTATTCTAAACAATATGTCCACGAAGCTTATAGATTTCTAGTCTGGGATATTCGATCTGTCGATGTGGCTGTGCTTCAACTGAGTCCAGATGACAGACAGTACTAGGTCTGCGCCAATGAAGTGTTCTTCCTTACGTTCGTTTTGTATTGTGTTGCCACATATAATGAATCGATTCCAAACGGGGCTCTAACACCAGCTTATACATACACACAACACCAGAGCACATAGAAACGATCGATCATTTCAGTTTTTCTACGACAACACGAGTCGTCTCATACGCATGATGTCTTTTTGGTGTAAGTGTAGCATCAGGATGGATGGAGAACACTAGTAGGAGTCTGGAACCACACGGATCCATGCAGATGGATTGTGGATAACAACGTTCTTGAGTAGTATGTATGCGTTTTCTATTAGTTTATTGACAAATACTATATACTAGTAACTATTCATAAAATGTAAAGTTCTTATTAAGTGTGCTGGAATCTTGTGATCGTGGGTTTCAATCTCAGATTCGCCCTGATTAACGTATCATAATTTGAATCCAAGTGGTGAAATTCTAAAACCTGTATTATTTTGGGTTTGCCACCCATATTAAGCGAACATGTTGTCATATAATTCATATATGGATATGGAAACTGGTTTTGTCGCTTTTATGTGTTATTATAAACAACAATAAATATATAACTCCGAAAAGATATTTAACACGTGTGATGCTTAAGCATTGTTTATTAGAGAAAACAATAACTTACGAGTTAAAGAATGACACGATAAAATATATAGTAATGAGAATATTTATAACGAGCCTTTTCCTGGCAAGATATCCTGCTCAAAACACAATCTGATCATTATTATCCCAGATAACCCAAGCCGCCTGTTAGGTGCTAGAAGGTTAATAGTCTCACGACTTATTTCACCGGGTACCCATTTTCTGCTGGGTGAACAGCGGCAATTTTGAACAAACTCACTGGCTTAAGGTGAGACCACATGTATCACGATTGCTTCCGCGTGGGACAGGACAGAAGTCCTAGAAACTCTCAGGAGTTAAGCTGCCAAACACGGTCACTCATCCAAAGACTCTTCGCGCCCAACGTTGCTTAACTTCAACAGATTGTGACCTGAGCGATATGCATAGGACCACACGGCACAACACAACTCCTTAAAGGAGTTATCCTGGCTGTATTAAGATGGTAAACAGCATGTATTAGGATAAACACTATCCTAATGCATGGTATTTCTCATCCAAAAACGCACTCCCGTGCTTAAAATAAAACATCTTCTTTAACCTTTTGCTTTAATAGATGGGATGCCTTTACAGAAACACTTGTACAACTATAATTGTATTGTCAGTTTAAAGAGGGCGTTCCATGGTCAGCGCTTATCTTCAGTCAAGACCATGGCTTTGTACATACACTGAGGGAAAAGAAAGTTTCCTTTTTATGTAACTGTTCTTAAATTTGACTATGTCTATTAAACCACACCTCATTCCTGCAACAGTTCTATACTGGTGTTAGAAAGGAACCTGTAACCAACCCGTGAAGGTCCGGGTTAGAATATTGGCCTTCAGTAACCCATGCTTGTCGTAAGAGGCGACTAACGGGATCGGGTGGTCAGGGTGCTGACTTGGTTGACACACGTCATCGGTTCCCAATTGCGCAGATCAATGCTGATGCTGTTGATCACTGGATTGTCTGGTCCAGATTATTTACAGACCACCGCCATATAGCTGGAATTTTGCTGAGTGCGGCGTAAAACTAAACTCACTCACTCACTCACTGAACTTGTAACTACATGTTCAAAGATAAGATGTCACATATATCTTTTGGTTTGCGATGTTTAAAATTGTTTTGATATAACTATGCATTTAAAGTTTAACTTTTCTTTCAGAATTGTTAGTTGTATTTGCAAGCTTATAAATAGCCAGTACAGCACAGTTTTGGATATAAAACCACCGTTAACTTTCGATAAATAACTATTAAATGATAAAATGAGCTGAGAGTTCCTTTGCTCCTTCCTTCACCTCAATGTTAAATAAAGATATATAAAGAGGTGCAATTCATCAGCGTACGGTAGTGCATATATAAAGAAATCTACAAAAATAATGACACAACACAAAATTCCCTCCTAAACGTTTGAAGTTTATCTTCAGAGAAAGATCACAGTTAAAGATCATACTGTGACGTAACTTTATAAACACACAGCTGACACTTTGCAGTGTAAAACTAAGGAAAACTATTTCATTAAAGAATTGCGTCCATCCTTGAACAGGTAAACATGTATTTGAACTTTGTGCTTATCATTGTCATTGTAAGCCGCTAATGTGACGTCATGGCAACGGGGCGTCACAGTGTGGACATTACATTGTGATATATTTATACCATTTCTTGACTCTATATCTATTTCCTGAGCCAAGCACCTCTTTAAGTTTGTATCACGGAAAGCCTTCAACTTATCTCAAAGTAAACTGATTGTATGTAACATTGATATCAACCTACGCGTAACAGATAACTCAGCGGACAAAGGACTTGCAGTATATAGGTCGGAGCCCAAGCCAGTTGAAGTGTTTCACTCAGTCGGAACACTGAATAAATGATCGATCCTAACATTATTCTCATGGCCTCTATAATGATTATGTCAAAACGTTTTACAGCCTTGTACAAGTCTCTCGGGATCTGTGTTTCTTTTCACTGTCAGTTGCAGCTAAAAGGGGTTCTTTATATTTTATCACGTATTTTGCGCAGCAATCGTTCCATTACGATACGAATGGATGGCTGATTCTATTTCTAACGGGATCTTCACGGGTAGTTGATGTTGTGAGTGAGTGAGTGAGTGGGTGGGTGGGTATGGGTTTAAGACGACATATTCCCGCAATTCTGATATTAGAAGGACACCAGAAATGGATTTCCGGTTCGGGCGAACGGACGCTTAAGTCATCAGCCTATCCCCACAGCCTATCTCTCCCACACCTCCTCCTCCTCCTCCTCTCCTGAGTATACTGGAACGCACCTCGTTATCAGATCATGTCAAAACACATCATCAAGGTAATCGAAAAAAACTGATATGCTACATCACATGGAACGCAATTAAATTATTCAAACCCTGGTTTTGTGTTCCATCGATTCAGAGCCCTCTTTTTAAACTGAATTTAGAGGGAAGAAATAAATTAAACATAAACATTGAACAGTTCATACAGCAGACGGAGAAAGGTAAGTACTACATGTTCCTTGTGTGATCACAAACGCCGAAATCTGATCGTGAAACCTGAAATATTGATGAGCAGGCACAAGAAGGTTCCTTGTCAACTCGTAAAACCACTTTCAGAAATGTGTTATGTCCAATTTAACCTTATACTGAGTCAAAAAAACTTCACAAAATGTAATTTGAAAAATAATGAATAATTTTTCTCTGATGATACATCTATGTATCGAAATGGGATCCTATCTTTCGACTCTAGAAAAACGTTAGCAAAACCCTCAAACCCATCCATTCGTCGTGCAAATGACGTTGAGTGCCAAATCAGGTTTTGCACGTGCAGTCGATCACGTGATCTTCGCATCGAAGTTTTCTTCATATGCACGTGTTTGCATTGGCCTCAAAATTGAAAAACACTTTTAAACCACAGTTCTAACGGTACTTGAAATGCCACGATTGTCAAATGTGCAACGTGAACGTGCCGTTGGCATGTTGCAAGCGGGAAGATCAGTTATTGACGTCGCAAGAGCAATGGGATGCAGCCGTCGTACTGTGTATGACTTGCGAGGTCGTCTACAACAAACTGGCACCACTTCTGATCGCCCAAGGTCGGGTCGTCCACGTGTGACGTCACGAGCAGAAGACCGTCAAATCGTCCTACGTCACCTACGTGACAGATTTCTGCCGGCTACACGAACCAGGGCTGAGATGTTTAGAGGTCGACTGTCCTCACAGACCATTCGAAATCGGTTGCGGGCTGCCAATCTCCATTCTCGACGTCCATATCGTGGGCCAATATTGACGCCGTTTCATCAACGTCAACGTCTGCTGTGGGCCCAACGTCACCTCCGATGGACCCAGAGACTGGAATCGAGTCGTCTTTAGCGATGAATCAGGTTTACCCTCAGATTCGCGGACGGCAGGCATAGAGTCTGGAGACGACGTCGTGAACGGTATGCCCAATGTTGTGTACAGGAAGTCGACAGATTCGGGGGCGGAAGTTGCATGGTGTGGGGTGCTTTCTGTGGGAACAACCGTTCCCGACTTCTGGTCATCCGTGGAAACCTCACAGCTGCTGCTTACCGCGACCAGGTGCTCACCCCTGAACTCGTTCCTTTCATGGCGGCTCATGGCCCAGGTCTACAGTTCCAGCATGATAATGCTCGGCCGCATACCGCGATGTTGACACGAAATTTCCTTCAAAACGCTGGAATCAACGTCATGGACTGGCCATCGAGGTCCCCTGACCTTAATCAATAGAGCACGTTTGGGATGCACTTGGGAGAAGGCTTCGTGGTCTTAGGAACCAACCTCAGAATTTGCAGGAACTTGGCGCTGCCTTGCAAGAGCAATGGCGCAGAATCTAACCACGTGTTCACAAGCATCAGGCAGTCGATGAGGAGACGGTGTTTGGCAGTGGTGAATGCGCGGGGCGGCCATACACGATATTGAACTGAGAAATTTCGCATTTTTATTCTTGTGACTTGACATTCTGTATACCCATGTTTTGGAACGGCGGTGTAGCCTAATGGAACTGATTATGGCACTGTCAGTGTATCGAGTACATCACACAGATCTCAGCAATGAAATAATAACAATTTAACCATCTTACCATCTCTTGTTCTTTTATAGTGCCCTGAAGAAAGAATGTGAAGGTTTTTTTTTGACTCAGTATTATATTTAGTCGAGGGCTGTTTTTCAAGGACACCCCCATTTCAATCTTCCTAAAACATTGTCCAGATATGCAAGCTGGTACTGTTTACAATATATTGTGAGCTGACACTTATGTGACCATTCAGTATTTAGTTTGAACCCTTGACATCATGTATGCATAAGTGAAAACATTAGAATAAGCTATGCCCTTATGATTACATCATCTGAAAGGAGGGTGGGTAGTGTCTCCAAAACAAGCTCTTTCAGTCAACATAAAGGGGGGAGTCATTTTAACAAGCGATTGTAATTTCAAATTGCTTTTTTATGAACTTTAATATCTAAGTGTGATTCTAGGGGACTTCTATCAATCTCAAACACACAAAATATTTCTTGCATATTTTGTTTCGTGAAGTTTTTGATGCATGTATTGTAGATTTTGCGTTTTTTGAGGGTACCAAGATAAAAGGTCAAACAAAATGGGGATCGTGAGACTGGAACATATAGCAAAACCAAATTGCTTTAGCTTGACAGATAATATGTCGAAAAATAAAACATAAAAATAACTGCATTTGTATCGTTTTCTTGGTGATTATACATACTTTTTGATCGCCCCTCGTATATTAGGTTATTGGTTAAAGTTGCACGCGCTAAGTAAACAGTGCATCCTGGTATGTGTGAGGTATATTGTGTCACTCCACATATAAGGTTATTGTTTAACCTTGCACGCGTTAAATAAATAGTGCAACATTTGACTTGTGAATTGTGTAACTGTGCACTTGTTAGGTAAGTGTTTAACCTTGCACGCGTTAAATAAATAGTGCAACATTTGACTTGTGTAACTGTGCACTTTTACGTGTAAGGTAAATTAAGAAACCTGAGTAACCTTTTACGAACTGTAAGGTAAATTCTGTAACTGTTCATATATTAGGTGAATGTTTAACCTTGCACGATCTAAAGATCTGTACAACCGTGTATTGGCAAATGTGTAACCTATGTGTTATGAAAACTGTGCATTCACGTGTTCCACGTGTTAGGTGGACTGTGTAACTTTGTACATGTTAGGTGACTGTACAGATTAGGTAAATCCATAAACTTGCACGTATCATTTCCATATAAACATACACATGTTAGTTAAACTGGGTAACATTGCTCGTGTATCATATAGTGTGTAACCTTGTATCTTTCAGGCTTGACTATGCCACCTTGCACGTGTTTGGTGCACCATGTAATCTTGCACGTGTTGGGAAAATTGTGAAACTATAAATGTGTGGGGAACATCGATATGATATTTTTAGAGTTAATGAATGGAAATATTGAAGATGTTACGCTCTGGAGGCAACAATAGGTTATTCTGAAGTTGTTGTGACTGGTCAACAAACTCATTTCTTATTTTACAGCTAATGCCCACGCTTGTATCATTTGTTGTTATTGAGCAGAGAAGATACCATATCGATCGTATTGGAGATGTGGGCAGATATCAGCTTGGCATAGAAGTGAAGCAGTAGAGTTATTGATTGGGACATGTTTACCACCTGTATGTGCTGTCATGCATGAATTTAGTTGCAACGGTTGTTAATTATGATAGGTACGGTTTGAGGTGTTTGTGGGCGAGAACAAAACATCGATGGTTTGTTTTTGTTGTGATTGATTCAATAGTTCAATAAAGGATGCGCAATATAATATTTATGAACGAATTATAAAATAAATTGTAAAACAAACACGGGAGTCAATACACTGATGTAACAAAGAGATTGAAGTCTGGAATCTTAGAAGAACCATTGTTGTCGCACTGCAGCCTACATGTTAAAGAAGAAAAATATTTGTCAAGGCGCGAGAATGAGACAATTATGAGACAAATATTTGTCAGCAGAACAATAATGCGAAAATGCGTTAAATGCCCAAATTGTCGCTTGGTCTCAATGTCGCAATTTTGACACATTCATATATTTTATATATTGTCGTCCCTAAAATATTTATACATATATTGTCGCAATATCACCACTAAAACAATCGAAAAGTGTCAAATTGGACAAAGCATGAATTCGAAATGGCGACAGCGCGACATTTTGACATGCACATATGGTCATTATTTGTATCTTGGAATCTTTTCAAATGACTACAAATGAAGCATTATTCAAGTTACGTATGTGGCACCAAACTCAACTGTCCGATATAGATCAGTTGAAGAGCTAGGATATATAGAGAATCCCACCCAAGTGTCTTCTGATATCAAGTTGATCAAGTTGATAAAGTCGAGGCTTGCCGAGGATATTTTAACTATTATCAACGAGTGTTGATATATTTGATATCAGAAGACACGAGGGTGAGATTCTATTCAACATCCAAAATCACTCTTCGTTAATTTTCAATGAAAAATGTACATCTCTGAACACGGTACTGTCATTAGACTGCGGCGATGTCATAGCATTGTGACGTCATCAAGTACATGACGTCATAGCATTGTCAGGGCATTGTGCAAAATCTACTGTCAAAACGTTTGATCTCACACTAGCGATATCTCCTGTGGAACACAGTTTTGGGTGATAAATACTTTTTTCATAAAGAATACACCGAACGTTGTATTAAATATTCTTTGTTCTTAAATATACATTGAGAAAACCGACATATTCTTCAATAATTTTTTTTTTATAATTTGTCTGCACACCATGGAATATTGCATATTTGTTGGTTGAATAACGGCGACCTCAGCAATATTACAACTGAATGACGGATCCATACCAGACAATCCTGTGAATTGCACTACGACCCAACGGTCTGTGCAAGACATTATTAAGACATGCATCAACTATGTCAGCAAGTCTTACCCTGTCCCGCCTGTAACCTGTTACAAGCCTCGGTGACGACCAATACTTAGTCTGATATTAATGGTGCTGTTTCGTTATTATGTAATGTAATATATTAATCAAATAACGGGTCAATAATCTTGTATATTTTCCCAAATCATTAAAATTTATTGTTATGTAAGATTTAATCCTTATGAAACTTATGTCTTTCATCTTGCTTTATAAAGGAGACCAAAGCGGAGGAGAACAGTTTTATGTGTACTTATAAGATGCATTTAAAGGGATATACGAAGACGTGATTTCGGGGTAAACAATGTTTTTCACTTCTATATGTTACCCCGCCGCATGAAGAACTGAGGATACTTCCATCTAAATGAAGACATTATTCTATAGGCTAAAACCTTAAAGCAACTGTTAAAGTTTGATGTATCCATCCATATTTCACATATCAACACATTCCTCTATCAGGTGCGTCACCTGCAAACTTAAATTCTCATTAAACATTTATTTGAACATTTTTCCTTTCAGAGGTTGAATCATGGGAAGCGAGTACTGGTCTCACTACCGAAGCCTCCCTTCGATATTACCGTATCTACCAGATCGCCAGGACACCTTCCATAACGATGGCGACGACGAACGGCGTGTGGTATCAGAAGCCACCGGTTTGATCAGAGAAAATCCTGAAGATGTATGTCCAAATCATGGCTGGATCCTCCCTGACCACAGGAGAACGGAGTTTTACGTCCCTCCACCATTTTCGTACGTTCCTCCTCGTCTTGCCCAGGAGCAACATACCACGCAGGCAGACACAGTGACAGCTAAGCAATCTCTGGAAGAAGATGATCTCCCGCAGTCAGGCAGTCCCAAATCACTTCCAGAACAATTGTGCTGTTCACATAAATCACGAAAGCAATCGTTAATACCTGTTCCTGTAAGAAAGTTTTCTTCGCCATCGAGTTTACCTTCAGTTAAAACGGGACAACCTGTTTCTGAGAATGGCTCACAGAATCAAAGGCACACTGCTGACGGGAAACAATTTATCCCACATCAAGTTTCTTCTGGGCTGACTTTTATTCCTCTTGCTACTAAACGAAAATATTTGTCACCAGAACTGTCACGGAAACACTTTGTACCGCCACTTGCTGTTTCAAGGCGTACCTCGTCGCCCATGGTATTCCAAAGAAGTTCCTACAAGCCAATCCGTACAGGATTGGATGTATGGGCAACTCCTCGCTATCCTTTGAAGAAGAGGAGGAGCCTTAAGAATGAACCAAGGCCAATTTGGCGAATCTGATTATGTCATACATCTTCAGCTTTTATTGACCAATTTAGCACTCTATGCAATAGGCAGTTCTGTGATCATCATTTTGTTTTTTGCATGGAATACTTTGTTAAACGGTGCTATGTAACTGAATTGATGCAAATGATGCTGCTTCGAGCTCCTAAAGACATCGTCTACGATTTCAAAATCCGTCCACACTTGGAGTCAACTGTTGTAAAGAAGAGGTGTATGATATAGTTGATTATTTATCATTGCCAAGCGAAAGCAAGATAAACCAATTTAGGATTCTTGGTTAGAATATGTTCAAGGCAACCAAATAGCATGCTGGTGGTAAGATGATCTGTGGCAAGGCTCGTGATCTGGTTCATTGCGTACTGAACGACCTGGATTGATGCTCACAATGTTGACCTCTTCAATGTTCTGGCCCAGATGCGGTTATTCAGAGGTCGAATTTGTAAATATTGTACCATCTGCTTCTACAAGAGATTTCTTATGAATGTGGAAAGGGTTTTGTCGCTTCTATTTATGTCATTATTATCTAATTGATGATTGCAGAAATACATATCTGGCACCATTTATGACTGTTTTTATTGATGTCATTGTTATTTGTACCTGCTGTTAGTATGACTGTGTAAACTTTAATATAGAAATATGCATTTGGCATCATCTATTACAATTAAACATCGTTTGTGTGATGCGGTTATTGGGTAGTTTTAATGCCTCAAAATCATTTACCGAAGTGTATAATTATGCAGTATTATAGTTGTTCAACATTATTGCCGCAGCTTATCAAGGCGGTTCTTACATATATCTTCTTTTAATAATTATGCAGTCAGCGCATGGTGAATGCGTTGAATTCGTTCATTGAACGAGAGCGAGCGTGCATGCCAGCGCGCGTGATCTTTACGTTGTGTTCAGCAATTTTCAGCAACACAGCGGTGCCGGGATTACATGATACAGCGACTTGTATCGCATTTGCAAGTGATGGCTGCAAGACACGACTACTTTGAACAGGAGTATGGCCATTCCATGTACCAGTCCCCCAGGAAATACGATGACATCATTGGAATTCAATATTTTAGAAAGATATCTGTGTGACATATAGATGACAAAATGAGGTGAGGTGAAAGTGTGTTTACCGTCGTGCTTGGGAATATTTCGCTCATATGACGAAGTGCATGCGTGTGTATGTGTAGGTGCGGCTGCTTGTACTAGCCCAGACTGAAGCTGGTTTTATAGTGCTATCCCACTGAGATACCATGCCGCAGTGAAGCATGAATATCCCACTCAGACACATTATACTGACTCCGAGCCGACCAGTCCTTGTTGTACCCATTAATGCCGAGCGCCAGGCAGGGACCAACAAGTACCATATTTTAACGTCTTTTGGTATGACGCGGTCGGGGATCGAACCTGCGACCTTCCGCTCTCCGGGCGGACGCTCTAAGCACTACACCACGGAGGCGGTCAGATGACAAAATGAAACAAAACACTTCTTGTAAACAGGTGCATGGAAATATAAAGAAAATGTCCTTGAAAACATCTCTTTAAAATATGTTGAAAGCAACAATATCATGAGGACGAAACCTTCTCTTTATTGCTCAGAGAACATTTTCAGGTACAATATTTAAAAGGTAAGCATTTTCGACGTCTATCACTTGAGGTGTAATTTAAAAACCGGATATCGCTTGCGAAAGGAACATGTTTTCACCTATTTTTATAAACAGATTTATGATCTGTATTCTACTCCAAGGTTATTGTCAGACACAAACAACACACAGAATCAGTGTTGAACTTTTACTACCGCGCATGAAATGTTTTACATGGATAGACAAACGTTTCAAGGTATGGTAACAAGTAAAGAGCACCGCAACTGGCATGTGCAAATAAGCCACAATACAAGAGGTGTCCACAAGTAAATTCATACGGTCAGTATCGAGTATGTCCACCTTGTGCATTGATGCAGTCCTGGCAGCATTGCCTGGGGAGATCATTCTATACCCGAGGAAGGATTTGTTATTATTGCAGCGTTGTTGGATTATTCTGATGACGTCACTCCAGACGTATTCAAGGGGTGATAAATCAGGGATGTTGCGAGCTCTGGTAGCACATTATCATTGTTCCGATTACGATACTGCTCTACAAGTCGAGCAACGGCGTCTATGCTTGTCGTAAGAGGCGACTAACGGGATCGGGTGGTCAGGCTCGTTGACACATGTCATCGATTCCCAATTGCGCAGATCGATGCTCATGCTGTTGGTCACTGGATTGTCTGGTCCAGACTCGATTATTTACAGACCGCCGCCATATAGCTGGAATATTGCTGAGTGAGGCGTAAAACTAAACTCACTCACTCACTCGAGCAACGTGTTGTCGGGCGTTATCGTGTTGAAACGTCACTCCTGGACCGTTCAGTTGCAAAAACGTTAAAGCGGCCATTTGCAAAATCTCATACCTCACAGCATTCAAGTTCCTCTCAATCACAATTATTAGCGTCCTTGCTAAAGCTGTTATCCCTCGGGAGATCAAAACGTTCGACCCCCAAAACGATCTCCTGCCTCATGTAACGTTTACCTGCGCGTCTGTAGACACGTGACCTGCCGTCGGGTCGGTGAAGAAGGAAACGTGACTCATCAGTGAGGTGAACTCATCTCCATACATCTCCATCTCCATGCTTATCATCGCGATATTATGGTATCAGAATGGACTTTAAGGTCCGCCAGCTGGAACCTGCAGGAGGTGAGTTGTTCGAATCTATCGACGTGGGGTCGTTATTTGTGGGCAACCACCGGGATGGTCTTTAACTCCATTGTTTTGTTGAAAACGTCGGCATAAGTGCCAAAGTGCTTATAAGGAAGCATCACGGGCACCGTCACTGCCAGGTACCATACTGAAGCATACCTTTAGGTCTTCAGCAGTCAGTTGTCTGACCTTTTGATGTGAATATTTCTGGCCATTTTTTTAATATGTCATTCTTCTTGCTGTGCTGTTCGAACAACAACTATTAATATTCGTTTCTTCGACCACCTTAGCACACTCGTTCTCTGGTTCAAATCCAGACATTCATTTACAAGCTTATCAATGAAATAAATCCACGTCACAATTTTCGCGTCCGAGTATATTATGCAGATGAAGAACAAACGCTATCCTCATCCACCATAAATACATAATGAATACCTATTGCAAACTGCGAGCATGTGAGTATTGTGACGAAATTTATGTTCTGATTTATTATTATTATTTATTTATATATAATTCCTCTTCATGCTTGTCACAAGAGATCGTAAGCGGCTCGCTGATTTGTTTGATTGATGTCTTGAGATTTGATGCTCCTGATATTAACCACTGGGTTGTCTTTCCAGACTAAATGATTACAGACCGCCTTCATATACCTGGAATAGTGCTGAACGCAGCGTTAAACAACAAATAAACTAACAAAAATACCAATCTATATAACGCAATTATTTATATCTATTCCCCCACCTCATCCCATTGATGACATCGCAAACGTATTACCGCTAGACGTTTACCCTTAAGGCTAAACTAAAAAATCAAAAGAAGTCGCTCAATGCAGGGGCTGTCATAGCAGAACGTAACCAACAACAAACAGTCCATGGCGTTTGCTTCAGACTTCGAGGTTTCGTCGTACAGAAAGGACTTGCGATTAATCCACATTAAAATTGCATCAGAACCATTAACGTAATGAAAGTTTGTGGAAATCAATACCTTTCCCGACAACCGGCTTACTTATTATGGCTCTTAATGTAATGTTGATTTCCATATCTTAGCGTGTGTCACCATCACGCTTCTACGTTCTGAGGTTCTGTTAGCGTTAATGGCCGACGGTTTTATGTTTAGTAGGACAGAAATATTTTTGTCCTTCGTGATGATGGGAGTTCAATCAAGTTTAGGCTACTTTCCACAGAGTTGCAAGAAATATTTGCATCATGTTTTCGATCACTCAGTAGTTTGGGGTCACAGAGAGTTTCAGATCAAAATGGACAATTATTTGGAGAGATCTGTGGAAGGTAACGATTTCGTATTCAGGACTTCTGTACAGTCAAAGGGAAACATTATGATCATGTATTGAGCAGATGGGACTTATTGTAAATGTCCGTTGTCATTGGGTGAATGAATTTACCCTAAATCACATCACAGAATGTCAGAATATCCGAGAGTACACATATTTTGCATGTTTGTCCTAAGAGGCGACTAACAGGATCGGGTGTCAGCTTCTCTGACATGTTTAATGCCTGTCAACGTATCCAAATCCGATGCTCATGATATCAATCACTGGGTTGTGTTGCAAAAAATGGATTTTAAACACACACACACACACACACACACACACACACAACAAAGAAAGAAAGAAAGAAATGAAAAACAAACCTGCAAAAAATAAGTAGATAAAATTAAAAGATGAATCAAACAATCAACAAAGGCAAACATTAAAAAAATTCCCCAGACAATCAAACAGAATTCAACAAACAAACAAACAAATGAAATAGCAATCGTTGGTATTTGTGGGGGGAGCAAGAAGCAATAGCAATATAATCGCCCATACTGCCAAAACGTGATTTCGACTCGCAGTGCTGTTATCATTTAGATCTTGACATGTAGACACGTCTCTGCTTATCGACGCTCAACATAACGACATTGTTCTCAAAACGTCTCCAGAAGCTGACATAACACACCCTTCCGAGATCACTTGACATAAGACATTGTGTTGTAATGATTGTAACCCTTTTTGCCTTAAAGGCATTACCGTGTCTCGGAATCACATCTCGAGTAACCGTGTATCAAAGACGAATATATTGAGAATCGAAACGAGTGTCTTTAGATGGGAAAAACACGAGTCGATAAAAAACCATGCTCATTAAGACGTTTTAAACATTTATCGACAAGACTTATATATGTGGAACAAAATGATACACGCGTGAGATTCAATTTATCATCCAGAATCATTCTTTCAACTCATTCATTTTGTAAAAAATTTTTTATTCGAGGTAACATACATCGGCAACACAGCATCGGGTCTTTATTAGAATGTTAGATACATATAATGTACAATACAATAGTTGTCACAAAATGTTGAATTAACACAAGTAAATTTAGAAAAACGTAAACAATACTGGTTTCAGTTCATTCCCTGTCTTACACCTTCATCCAGTTTGTGACATTTTTTACATACTGAAAAAGGTAAATACGCAAGCTCCACTGTACATGAACGTATAGTAGCCTCGTCAGGCCACACGGTCGCCGCTGAAACGCTTAAACAAACTGTAACGAACTTTCATCTAAACACCTCCTGTAATTGTTGTAAACTTTTAACAAAAGGCACATATGTATATGTTTAAACAATACAAAGATTGAACAAAAACATGTTTTTGGAATTTGTAGACCAAATAAGACATGTTTCAAGCAATAGTTTCAAAGAAGTGCATATGCTTTATGTTCTATCACATAGAAGTTCCACAGATTTTGCAGAACACGTCTTCGAACAAGCCCGAAAATTGTGTTTATTCAAATTTAGAAAAGAAAATACAGTGGCAAGTTATTCATTATGTTATATCAACACACTAGACACATTTAGAGGGAGAAGTGTTTTGCTGGCTGGCTGACACAGGCCAAGCTGCATTTCTCACGTACATACTATTTCAGTGGCTCACTTGCTCCACTATTGTTTGGTTCCTTT